GAACATTGAAACAAACGGCATTGTCTTTCGTAAGGAACGCAGCACCGCGTGTAAATATTCGAGAAGAAAAAAATTACGAATGTACCTCACTACTTGAATTCAAATGAAACCGTCCGCCGGTCTTTCGAAGTTCGACGAACGTCGAACTTTTACCCTAAAAGTTCGAAGTTCGTCGACCTTCTGACTTTTCAGGATTCTAAAGTTCGAAACTTTTCGAATTCTCTTGATAAATAAATTCGAAAGTTCGAAATTCATCGCATTTTTTGGTCAGTCAAGTTCGGAAGTTCGACAAGCATCGAACTTTGCAGCGCAATAAGCTCGAAAGTTCGAAAAAGATCGAAGTTTTTTGCGTAATAAGTTTGACGGTTCGAAAAGCGTCGAACTTCTTAGCTTAACAAGTTCGAAAATTCGACTTCCGTCGAATTTTACGATGTAGACAATTCGAAAAATCGAAATCTTTCGATTCTTTCGAACCGCTTGATTCGATCATCGAAACTTCGATTTGAAAAAAGTTCGCGGCATCCCTATCCAGAACATGCTTTAGTGGCGCCCTCTCGCGCCGTCGACACGGAGTGCGGCAGCCGTGAGTGTTCGATAAGCCCACTACGCCTCCTCTAGTTCACGGCCACTCAAGCAACCAAGGAAGTCATGAGGGAGGTCATTTTTTGCTTGTTTTTGTAATTTTAATTTGTCTGTTAAAATAAAGCGAATTTCGAGAAAAGAAAGTTTCACTAAGTTACTGCGTTCAGTGCGCTCAGGTTCGGTGCAAATTAAAAATCAGTAAAAAGTCCTTGCAGGGGGTCAGCGCATGTACCAAGGCGCAAATGATAACGCGTTAAAAGCGATTTCTGTTTTATGGAGAGACACTTGTATACTCTGCTTCACCTTATGTTGTACCGCAGAGTAGGCTACAAGCGCGAGGTCCTTGCTCTAGGGCAGCGGCGTAGAGTTTCCATTTTCCCGGGGGGGGGGGGGCAGACCCGGAATGTGGCTCAAAAAAAAAAAAAAGGGGGTGGGGGGGGAGAGGAGGAGAAGGTCCTTGTTTTATTTGTTCCGTGGGTTCTCCCCATAAGGGTCACCTGCAGCAGTCGGAGCCTTTACCGAGCATTTTGGTAAACCCGAGACTGGAGAAAAAGGGACAAGGACATAAACAAACGGACACGGACATTGTGACAGCTAACTACCTGGTGTCCCCAAATAAGACGCTCCGCAAAAGAATGACCCGGAAACTTCAGCGGTTTGACGCATCCAGTAGAAATATCTCTGAATACGTGTTTTACTGGCCACATTTATGCAAACATATTGCAAGACTAAACTACCAGTACAAAAAAGCGAATCTTTTTTTTTTTTCTGCAGGGGTAGTTCGGGTCTAAAATTTTGTTGCATAAATGTGACCAGTAAAACACGTATTTCAGGAATATTCCTACTTGTTGCATCAAGGATCTAAATTTTGCGGGCCATTTTGTGTGTAAAGTGTATTTTGAGATGCCCATATAGTACCAAACTCCCCGAGTGGATACGCAGGCGCACCAAAAGTGTTAATTTTGAAAATGGTGAACAGGAGAAAATGAATCTGCTGTAACCAAAATATTTTAATATTTTTATTTTCGTGTGGTACATTTATAATGAACAGACACACGAGGCACACGTTGAGCAATTCTCAATGCAACGGTTACAAAACGCTTACAATTAAAAAAAAAGTATAGAGCAAACATACAAGCATTAACGACGTATCTGCTCGCGGGTTTCATCGTACACTGCTGTTTTTGTTTAGTACATTTCCTTAACATGCTCACTCACAAAAGCAGGAAGTAAGAAAAAGAAACAGAATGAACAGATTGTAGCAATGAGAACACGTGCATAAAAGAGACAGATAATTTCAGCCTTTCGCGGAAGCACGCAAGTTAAAATAAGAATTCTTCCAAATAATATGTCAAATAATGCTACGGAAAAGGCTTACGTTTCAAGAATGTCAATGGGTTCTGAGTTTAGGTTTCCATTTGCGGTGTTCGTGTCGGCTCACGGTTTAAGTTTCAATTGAACTTCGCTTGGCCCCGCTCGTTATTCCGGGACTCCAATCACGATCCTTCAGTTGCTTCCGTCTCTTTGTCAAATAAGCCTCAACCCAGGGGGTTAATATAAAATAGTTTCCACAGGTAATAAGCTCCGGTGACCTTGCCTCAAAGGAAGTGATCAAGCACTTGCTATTCTACTGACTGTTTGCGGCGTATATGTATGAATGCCTTCCCTGGGAATGTTCGTGAAGCCTATTCAGAATAAAACGGAAAAGGGGAGCGGATTGTGCCGCCTAGCGCCGCACTGTCCATACAAACGTTTTAAAAATGACAAAAGGAACACGTATCGGGCATGATGATTATTCTTTCCCCAAAGTTGGCCTTCGTAGAGACTCCGAAGGCCCAATCGCTCTCTTCCCCACAGGCTTTTGTTTCAAAGCAGTGTCCCTTTGTTTTTGTTGTGTTTTGCGATGCTGTTATTTGGCTTCTGGTGAGTATTTTATTGTCATGTTTTGTTTATTTTGTTAACACATGCAGCAGGGGAGAGTGGGGTAATGGTGGCACAAGAAGCTTTAATTATACGACTGACTTCAATTTTAAGAGGGCCAAAAATAATTCTCAGACGGTAGCAAAGACCATTTGATACCACTATACCTTGTGCGAAGCTGGGGTTACAAATTTTTCCGCCAAAAGTTGTTTTCTGGACGAGTATTCGAGTCGCTGTTCGGTGACAAGACTGGTAGTAAAGCCCTTCACTGACCAATCAAAAATGTGTACAATATTTTCTTGGCCGAAAGGGCATTCATTTGTAGACGCGCAAGAAATTAAAATTTTTTTCTTGGCGAGCAGGTCTGCAGAATCAGTCACTGACTCACTGTGTCGGGGATGCTTCCTATTCTCAGAAGCATTTTTGTTGTCTAAAAACCGACAGAGATGTCGCGACGCTTTCAAGACTTTTTTTAGCCTGTCATAGCTGAAGCGGGCACTTCAGCTGTTCATTCAGACAACATATTCCGCGCATCTAACTCCGTCTGAGGGGAATTTTCCACTGAATGTCTGACCTGTCACTGTCCCGAGATCCACCATTTAAAAGCCTGAAAGGAAATAAGAAGCGGGAATAAACAGGCCCCTGTGAAATAGCTGCCAGTCAGGACGGCCAAAAGTCCACTGTCGATGGGCGCAGACCCAAGCCAAGCTCTTTAAAAAAAATCCCGGGCCGGGGCCGGGGGGGGGCTCTGCCCCCCCGTGAAGCCGTCCGGGGGGGGCACGAGCCCCACTGCCCCCCCGTAGTTGGCGCTTATGCTCTAGGGCACATCTCGGCTGCACAAGCTCTCGTGCGTTAAAAGCAGCTCCAAACGCTATGAGCTCGCGCTTCTAGCCTTCTCTGCGGTACAACATAAGGTGAAACGGTGATAACGTCGAGGGAAAGAGACTAAAAATACCAGCACAAGCTGGCATGTTAAAATACTGTCCAGCTAGCAACACCAAACACAAAAAGACCGGACGGCACAAGTCGATGTTCTTCCCGGCTCGGGTCACTAATAATAAAAATGAAAGACATTTACAACTCCCTATAAGGCTGAATCAGAGCGCAGCTCTTGAGGTGAGGAAGGAAGGGTATGCCCCTTCTTCACTCCAATTTAGCGATAAATTTTCGCACATTTCCCGCTAAATTCAGCGGCAAAAAGTCACCGCTAAATTTAGCGCGGAAATATTTCCGCTAAATTTAGTAGGGAAATTTTTCTGCTAAATTTAACAAGAAAAAAGTATTTTTCCCGTTAAATTTATTGGGGAACTTTTTCCGCTAAATGTAGTGGGTAATTTTTACGCTAAATTTAGCTGGAAATTTTTTTTCACTAAATTTAGCGGGAGTTTTTGTTAAATTTTTGCACTACATTTTGTGTGAAATTTCCCCGCCAAATCTTGCAGGAAAAAAATATTTTCACTAAATTTAGCAGAGAATTTTTTCTGCTAAATTTAACTGGAAAGTTCTTCCACTAAATCTAGTGGGGAATTTTTTAGCTAAATTAAGCGGGGAACTTCTTTTGCTAAATTTAGTGTGGAAATTTTTTTGCTAAATTTAGCGGGGAATTTTTTCAGATAAATTTAGATGGGACATTTGCTCCGCTAAATGAGGCGGAAAATTTTCCCGCCAAATTTTGCAGGGAAGTTACTCCAACTAAATTTAGCGGGAGACTTTTTGCGCTAAATTTAGCAGAACATTTTTATGCTAAATTTAGCGGGAAATTTTCCCGCTAAATTTATGAATTTTTTTTTGTTAAATTTAGATGGGAAATTTTTATGCTAAATTTAGAGAATTTTCCCGCCAAATTTTGCAGGGAAATATTGTACACTAAAATCGGCGGGAAAAATTTTCAGCTAAATTTAGCAGGGAAGTTTTTCCGCTAAATACAGCTGGAAAATTTTTTCCGCTAAGTCTGCGGGGCATTTTTTCCACTAAATTTATACGGAAATTTTTTCCACTAAATTGAGTGGGGAAATTTTTATCTGCTAAATTGAACGAGGAAATTTTTCAGGTAAATTAAGCTGAGAAATTTTTTCCACTAAATTTAGAGGGGAAGCTCTTCCGCTAAATCTAGCAGGAAATGTCTTCTGTTAAATTTAGCGGGAACTTTTTTTCGCTAAATTTAGAGGAAAAATTTTTCTGATAAATCTAGCAGAAAATTTTTTCCTCTAAATTTAGCAGAAAAAATTCTCTCCTCCACCTTCTCTTGTGATGTCATTATAGGAACGTCCCATAATGCAACGTGCGGTTACATTGACGTCGCTCAAGCCGGAAACTGGTGTCTAAGGGCTACGCCCTAATAATATTTCATTTGCACATAGAAAAAACTACCCTGAGTGACGTGCTAGGCTAAGCAGATAGGTGGAAACCCACACGCAATGTCACCCAGGGGACAACTTACAGCTGCACATGCACCCACAGGCACCTCTGTGACATCCTCGAGGGTCAAAGCACTCGTGTCAGGTTATCAGCCCATCCATGTGCGAGTTTATTTCAGGTCCCTTCTAGACAAGCCTGTTGACTCTCGTCTTGGCTCGAAGATTCTTTTCAATCTCGAACTGGCGCAAGTCCGCCCTCTGCAGGAATGCTTGCTTCTCGAGGTACCCGTCCTTCCCACGATTATGAGTCTGGATCTCCTCTTCAATGCCTTTCTCTTTCTTGTAGCTCTCCCAGTCCAGCTTGGACTTGTCCAGGACACTGAGCTTCTGCTTTTTGTTCAGGATCCGACTCAGGACATGCTGGACCCCAGCAGGCCGCTTCGTGCCGGGCAAGGGGGTCTCTGCTCCCGAGCCACTCCCCCTGGCCTCCTTGGCATCCACCTCCGTGTCCACCAGGACAGTTTCCCCCGCAAAGTTCATGACTTTGGTGATTTTCACTTTCTTTTCCACCGTCACTGGCACGAGCTTCGAAGTTGTTGGACATGACTGTGCCGCAGCCGGTGGGGGCCGCTTCTTGGGAAGGGGCTCCACGTCCTTGAGGAAATCGGCCCACAGGAGGTCTGCTTTCTCCTTCTCGGCGCGGGTCAGCTCGCTCGGATCCTCGGCCGCTCGGTCCTCGGGCGTTCCAGCCTCGCAAGCGCCCGCGTCCAGCTTCGTGCCGCCTCTGCGCTTCCCAGCCGCTTTGCCCGTCTTGCCTTTCTTGCTGGTGGCAGCTTCAGCGTCGCGTTCGGCGTCATTCTCGCAATCTGCGAGATCTCCCTCGCTGTCTTCACCGGAGGGAACGTAGTCTTCATCGTCCTCGCTGTCCTCGCTGTCGGCCGGTCTCGTCAGGTCATACGTCGACATAATCGAAGGTGTCCGATAGTCACTCCAACACAAAAGAGCAAAACGTTAGAAGCGCTTCGAGTTCCACGGTTGACGGTTGGCGTTGGCCACAGTTCCGGATGTCGCACAGAGAGGCTGCTTTCTTTCGGTCAGGTGGCCGACCCCGCATCTGAAGGTCAATTTGGAGAACAATCGGAGCAACTGAACCACTCGCAGCAAACGCGAACGGCGCGTACTTAGTGCCGGACGCGCCTAATGACCGCTGTCGTTCCCCGCGTTCGCTGGGCAAGCACGCTTTTCTGGAGTTTGTTTTCTCGAGAGCAGCGCGGCAGCGCCACCGGCGGCTCAAGCGGCGTGCGCCAAAACTAGGCGCCCGTTTGGTTTCGAGTTTGTTTTGCCTGTTTCGGCGAGAGGCTGGTCCCCCTTCTCAAGACCGGTTCCCGGACAATGGGGGTCCGTGGGTCCACTGGTTCCTCGGAGACGTCGTCGTCTTCGTCGCATTCCTAGCTCCCGGGTGCGCGTCCCCGGATCCTCGATGCACCGACGGCGGACGCGGCGCGACACGCGGCCCGAACCCGGAGCGCCGCTTTGTTCCAGGAGTCGGGCTTCCCCACAACGCCGATCGATGCAAGGTGTGCGTGCGCGCTGCAATTGAAGGGCCCTGCGAAGAGCCACCTACTTTTCGGGGCTGCACCAGGTGACCGCGCCATGTTTCGGGCCACGATGTGGGCAGGACTGCGTGCGGCTTCTCGGACTCGGTGGGTCAAGGCGTGCGCGTTTGTTGTGGCAGTGCACGCGGCGCTGTCGCCCCTCCACTTGCACTGCTGTCAGTGGTGACATGGGCGAGGAGGCGTGGCTGGTCGTCGCGACCTGCCTGCTGGCGGTCGCCGACGGCTTCGTGACCCAGGTCGACCACACGCACAACCGTCCGGGCCTGCGGGTGTTTGCCCTGAAACCGGCCGGCGACGCGCCCTGGACGTACGATCTCCGCGCGGAGCACGCGGATGACGCCCGCCTCTTTCGGATCGACGCGGCCAGCGGTGACGTGCTCCTGCGGCACGCCGTCGACTGTGAGACTCTATCCACGAACCCAGTGTTGGTAAGGTTACGCGCCAACGGCCCGTCGTCATCCACCGAGCTGCCGCTGCGGGTGCGTTTCGCGGACTGCGCGGTGACGAGTCCTCTCGAAGACGAGACGGACAGCGTGCTGGTGTCTCTCAGGGACGTCGGCGACGAGTGCTTCGTGCGGAGCCAACCGATCGCGAGACTCGGGGACCTACTGCCGGTCCAGTTCGATAACGTGACTTTCGGGCGTCCGTCCAGCCAATGTTGTGCCATCGAAAACGTCGCCGGGGACCTGGTGGCGCGGAGGGACTCGTGTGGGCCCCTGTCGGAGACCGTGAGGGCCACGGTGCGGTTCGGCGACGGCGGGAGCCTCCGATTGGCGGTGAGCTCGGAGAGGCGCCGTACGCGGAGGCAGGCGCCCCACTTCGAGCGCGGCCTGTACATCGCCTCCGTGCCGGAGGGCCGGGACCGGGGCTACGTGGTGGAAACGGTGAGCGCGACGTCGGCCGTCTCGGGGGACCTGTCGTACTCGCTGCACGCCGTGCTGGACGCCCGCAGCCAGGCCATGTTCAGCATCGACCCGCTGTCAGGGGTGGTGACCACCACGACAGTGCTTGACCGCGAGTTCATCGAGGTGCACTACCTGCGCGTCGTGGCCGTGGACGGGGCCACCCAGCCACCCTCGACGGCCACTAGCACGCTCCAGGTGAATGTCCTGGACGAGAACGACCATGCCCCCACCTTTGAGCAAGCCACCTATGAGGCCTCCATCAGGGAGTCCGTCCCCACCGGATTCACGGTCCTCACGGTCAGGGCAACGGACCAGGACACGGGCTCCAATGCCAACGTCGACTACTCCATCCTCAATCCGGACGGGACCAATGGTGCTTTCGGTATCGACTCTAAGAGCGGAATCATCACAACGCGCTCGTCCCTCGACAGGGAGCTGACCTCCTTTTACGCGCTCGTCGTCCAGGCGACGGACTCCGGGCCCGTGACAGACCGAAAGTCCGCCTCTGCCACGGTCCAAATCACTGTCCTGGATGAGAACGACAACTACCCACAGTTTTCGGAGCGGTCCTACTCGGTGAAGGTCTCCGAAGATGTCAACTGGCTCAACCACCCCGAAGTGGCACGCATCCGTGCCACAGATTCTGACCAGGGTGCCAACGCCGCCCTGCGTTACAGCCTGATTGGTGGCAACACCCAAGGCCACTTTGCCATGGACAGCCTCACGGGGTCCGTGACCGTCCTGTCTCCACTGGACTACGAGTCAGCACGGAGCTACCGCCTGGTAGTCAGAGTCCAGGACGGTGGCACACCGTCGCGCTCCAACACCACACAGCTCCTCGTTAATGTGCTGGACATAAACGACAACGACCCTAAGTTCTACACGTCGCTCTTCCACGAGACAGTCCCCGAAAACGTTCCCGTGGGCCACAGTATTGTGCGGGTGCAGGCCTATGATGCGGACGATGGCGCAAATGCCGAGATCTCGTACACGCTGTCTTCGTCGGAGCGTCCGGACTTGCCGCTGAACGTGGACGACGTGACGGGCTGGGTGTCCACGACCCGACAGCTGGACAGGGAGGAGAGTGCCAGCTTCAACTTCCAGGTCGTCGCGCGGGACCACGGGACTCCTTCGCGCTCTGCCACAGCCAGCATCCTGCTCCGGGTTCAAGACGTGAACGACAACGACCCCGTATTTGAGCCGCGAACGTACGAAGCGACCGTCTCGGAGGCCGACCCCCCCGGCACCCCCGTGGTGAGCGTGACCGCGTCCGACCGGGATGAGCATTCCCGCCTCGTGTACCAGATCGCAAGTGGCAACACCAGGGAACGCTTCGGCATCGTGAGCCACAACCGGCAGGCCGTGGTCTCGGTCGCCCAGCCGCTCGACTACAAGCTGGAGCGGCGGTTCGTGCTGGTCGTGACTGCCACTGACTCGGGAGGGCGCTCAGACTCTGCTACCGTCTACCTGAATGTGAGCGACGCCAACACACACCGGCCGACGTTCGAGCGTACGCCGTACACGGCCAGCATCCCTGAGGACGTGCCTGTGGGCACGACCGTGCTGGTGGTGGAGGCGCGCGACGGCGACGTGGGGCGCAACGCCCTGGTAACCTACACCCTAGAGGAGGACGTGCCTGAGTTCCGCATGGACCCCTCCTCGGGGGCCTTGGTGACGGCGCGTCCGCTGGACCGCGAGCGTGTCGGCGGCTACACCCTGGTGGTCGCGGCGCAGGACGGCGGCAACCCGCCGCTCTCTGACACCACCAATGTTGAGCTGGAAATCGCCGACGTGAACGACAACACCCCAGTCTTCCCAACGGCGGGCTACACGAGCACCGTCAGCGAGGATGCCCTGGTAGGCACCAGCGTGGCGCACGTGTCCGCGCTCGACGCCGACCTCGGCCTCAACGGGCAGATCCGCTACACGTTTCTCGGCGGGAATGATGGCGGCGGCGCCTTCGGCATTGACCCCACCTCCGGGATAGTTCGCACCAACCGCGCACTGGACCGGGAGACGGTGGCCGCGTACCACCTGGTGGCATTCGCTGTGGACCGAGGCTCCCCGTCGCTGTCGGCGTCTGTCTCGGTCGTGGTCTATGTGGAGGACGTCAACGACAGTCCACCGCGGTTCTCGGCCGACCGCATCCGGCTCTTCGTGCCCGAGAACAGCCCCGTGGGCTCGGTGGCAGGCGAGGTGCAGGCGCATGACCCGGACGAGGGACCCAACGCCGTGGTGCAGTACGCCATCGTGGGCGGCCCCGACGCGGACGCCTTCTCGCTGGTGGCACGCCCGGGGGAGGCCGCCGAGATCGTGACGCGCACCGAGCTCGACTACGAGTCCCGCCGCAAGAAGTATGTGCTGGTGGTGCGGGCGTCCTCGCCGCCCCTGCGCAACGACGTGGAGGTGGAGGTCTGGGTGACCGACGTCAACGACAACGCCCCCGTGCTCAAGGTGGGCCCCCGTCTCGTGTTGAAGCATGTTGCAGACGTCTCTTTAACGCATCGTTCCTTATACTGTTGGGTTTCACGAGAAAAGCGACAGATTAGGCTCGACCAACATTCTGGTTAAGGTCATCTAAGCAATATGTGGTTTCTCTTTTGGGATTTTAGATTGTTTTTAAAAAGTAGTAAAATCTATATCAATGCGGTCTGTGCAGGTGAATTATACGGCCATGGGGACATAATATAGGGGGCTATTTGTCACGATAAGTTGGTTAATTAACTTTTAGAGCGCAGCTCTTAGGTGCCCATTTCCAGCTTGAGCATCGTCGTCGTCGGCATAATCGCGCGCTGCATTATGGGACGTTTTCCATAATGACGTCACAAAGGTCGTGACGTCATTATCGAAAACGTCCCATAGTGCACTGCACGTGACGTCACGACCTTCACAGTGAGTGACGTCGCGAAGGTCACGACCCTAACGAGGGACGAGGGAGGGAGAAGGAGGAGGGGCATACCCTCCTTTTTGTACCCTCCCCTCCTCCTCCTGAAGAGCTGCGCTCTAATTTGGCATTACAGGGAATAGTAAACGTCTTTATTTTTTTTAAGTAGTAAAAATAAATATATGGTTCCAATTAGAAACTTCCTCAGCATCATTGAACACTACTAAATCAGTTTTAGAAAGACTTGGAGCGCGGGGATTCGCTAAAGTTACCAATCGTGCAATAGGCTCGGGCAGTAGATGCAAATCTGGTGGACATACACATTTTCGTACTGCCATCCTTGCACCTATTGCATGAGCCTCAAGTCTGTTGCGCGAGTGGTAACTTTAGCACTCCGCCATTCTTTCCATGCACTTCAGATCTCTCTAAAACTGAATTTATTAGTGGTTTTCGATGACGCTCAGGAGATTTCTAACAGACCATTATCTCCAAGCGAACTGTGCATTCCGGAAGTGGTGCCGGCTTCCCAGCTGCATAGGGCTGTGGTGGACGTACATCATTTTTTTTTTAATGCGAAAGCATTAACTGGTTGGGCGGGGTCCCATGAAGCGAGACGACGTCATCAGCTTTGAAGCCGCACTAAACAGCACCTAAACTTCTTTCTCCAAGTGAAGCCAAGATCTGATGGCTCCCAGCTTTGAAGCCGTGCGAAAAGCCTGGCCAAACGACACCTAGTTTCCCCGCTCCCAATGGACCTATTGCTATATTATCTAAGCATCAAGGAGAATGCAAGGATTGGTGTTCCACGCACCGCAGGTGCTGCCCTCAGCACTAGTAACTTTTCTAAAGCAAATAGCTAAAACAAATGGCATCTTGCACGCGCATTCGTCAACACTTTATTTTGGTTATTTACTTTGAATCGTTTATATAAGGCTTGCACGTGTGGCGCATGGAACACCAATCCCTGCATTCTCCTTGATGCTTGGGTAATATAGCAAATGGTCTTTACAGCGCAGTGAAGCCGAAATCTGAAGGATTTCGGCTTCAGTCTCATTGGCTGGCACGCGTCATAGTTTCATGAAATGAGGGTCCCGTTGGCCGCTGCACATCAGTTTCAACGACCGCCACCCCATGGTGCTGCGTGTCCGTGCCGCCAGCATGCCGGTAAAACAAAGTGTGTGGCCGCCAAGCGAGGCAACGGCTTCACGCTCGAGGCCAGCACGGCGGGGAGAGCGCGCGCTCGGCCCAATATGTGTACGGCGCATGCCTTTCCCTCCTCACCTGCACACCAAGCGGCACCACAAACTTTTCAGTGCAATAAATACTATCGCTGTAACTATCACTATCACTTAGTACGTAGCAGAAGAATGACGGCATGCTTTCTCATTCACAACTCATAAGGAGTGCTTTGGTGTACTTCGAGCCTTTTTCTTGCCCCGATATCAGCTTGGATTCTCCTGCATGTCTGTACTTCATAAGATTGTGTTGATTGTGATGCCTTAGTTTGTAAGCAAGTGCAGAAAACCAGTATGATTCATCTTATCGCTTTAGAATTGTCTTGCTGTTTGCTTCCCCACCGTCTGCTTCTTCATTTTTCTGAATGCAGTGAATTCCGAGTGAATTCACTGCATTCACGTGATGGTCCCACCGCGGCCGAGAGAAAAGCAATGAAGCCACCACTCGAGCACTCCGGCTTATCTGAGGTCTCAGTGAACCTGGAAACAAGTGAACATCTAGTTCAATGGCAAAGAACACGAAAATTTGAGGGTTTGTCGAGTCGGTGTAGCACTGTGAAACGGCATCAAATGTGTCGGGGGAAAACTGAACTTGGTAGTGCTCAGGCTTGTGCATAACGTTTAATCGAGAATGCAGAAAGAAAAGCTAAATAGGCTTTCTCAAGGAGCGATATTTCTGTAAAAGTAATTCCATTCTGGTTGACGGCCTGTGCGACAAGGTGCAGATGAACGGTGGGGAGAAGCCTGTACACAAAGAACAAAAGGCGCACCATAACAAGTTGCATCTGTCAGAAAGAAGCATCCATGCCAGATACTTTAAAACTGGGTGGAGATGAGTTTTCGTGTAGTTTCCATTCAGTTATTTTTATTTATTTGTTTTATGCAAGCTCCGAATGCTAACAATCGCTTGACGGTTGAGATTTTTTTTGCGGTTTCGAGTGGTGTTAATTCAGAGTGGATCAGTAATGCCAGCCAAAATCAAGTTGTGACATAATAGACCACCAAAAGGTGGGTGAGGTTTGCTTTTTTTCCTATTGGCTGTAAGTGTTGCACTTCTAAATTACATTCTGCGGTGTTTTCACGTTTTGTTTGAAAAAAAAATTAAGACTGCTTTAAAAAAAAGTCGTCTTTTTTTTATGCAATGCATATCGGTAATCGCTTCTCTTTTCTTAGTGATTGTCCCGATCTTTTCAAGCAGATTGTGCTTGAGACATGTCACAATAACAGTTATAACTACCAAAATACATTGAGCAATCAATGTATTAAAAACGGGCGCTGCAAAGCAGAGCAGATATATCAACAGATCGACCGTTACGGAGCGAGTGCTCAGGAAACTTCTAACGTACGGAACACTTCGGTACTCCCGACTACTACGCTGTAATCCTACAGTTTTTAACTAACACGCAATGGAGTGGATATAAATTATGAAGCAGATCGCAAAACAAATCGAAAAACACTTTTTTTTCCTGCCGCTCGATTTCGGCTGCGTTAATCTTTCTCAGCCACTCTTTTCGGGGGCTGCGCAACTCCTGGTGGCTTCGATTTTTTTAACCATATGTTTATTTTCACAAACTAGAAAGTTTGTTAACAAACTTTAGTTAATTATCAGACTTATCGTGACAGTTAGCTCCCTATAGGCCAACGGGCTGTTTACGATCAAACCCTGTTGAGGTGTGGAGAGACACGCAGTTTCCGCACGAGGTGTGGGCGCTGCGTACCCACATTCGCATTTATCTCTGTCGAAAGAAAAAGAAGAGCACGTACTTGCGCATCCCACTGTGCGCGCGTGGAAGTTCCAGTAAACCTTCAAATGTTAGTCAGCGTATGTCCTGTGTCCGTCTTCTACTTTGTGCTTTGTCTTCTGTGTGATGTTTTTCAGTATGGCAAATGATGTCTTCAGAATTTCCCCAATTTTTCGTACCAAGCTTCACCGCTTTGCACCGAAATGCTAGGAGAAACGGCTTTTGTGTCGGGGCACTTTGGTCCGCTCGATGGGCTCGTGAAATTTTGCTCGCTGTTGGGGGTCGTCCTCTTTTGGTCTGCCAATTTTAAAGTACAGTTCCAGAAAAGAAAGCATTGAGCTGTATTGAAATAACTGAGGTAGTTGTTGTTTCGCTTTCCACGTTGCACTTTGCTTTACTCAGCTCGTCTTAATGGGGCTTCTTTTCTTAATGCCAGTATCTGAAATGTTTCTTGCATTATAAAACTGTTCCATTTCGTAGGTCTAGCCTTCAAAGGTGTTGCGGATCTAGCCTTTAAAAGTGTTGCGCATGTTGCCCACAGGACTTCCGCATCGTGTTCAACAACTACCAGCACCACTTCCCGGTGGGGCCGATCGGCAGGGTGCCCGCCTGGGACGCGGACGTGGCAGACCAGCTGCGCTACCGCTTTGTGTCGGGCAACAACGCCCACCTGCTCGTGCTCAACGAGACCTCGGGCGACGTCCGGCTCAGCCCCAGCCTCGACTCCAACATACACATCAACGCAGACATGGAGGTCAGCGTCTTCGGTGAGTCTCTCGCGGCGCCGTGAATTGATGGCAGACACCGAACCGGATGTACCTACTTTACGGAGCTTCTGCATCGGTTGATGAGACCTCTGAATACAATTCCGAGACGTGTTGGAAGTCTGAGTCAGAAGTACCATTGCTTTGATTCCTACTACTGCCATATCAGCCGACATGGACAATAATAAACACATACTTATGGTATTAGTTTTACCGAAATGATTTTTGTGAAAAAGGTGTTCTTGTGGCAAATGATCACAGCCATATTGGTGTGGCTTAAATCACGATTGAAATCATCTTGATTTATATCGTTAAATTTAAATCATTAAGATTTTTTTTTTCCACCCGGAACTGAGTGAATTTGTGGTGGATTAATTTTACGCTTAAATGCCTCGTCGATTACGTGGAAAAGTGCAATGGTTGCACTTTCTAGAAGCCGGGAAGGTTTCTCATCGGAAGCCAGCATGCAGTGTGATTGATAACAGAAGTTTATTTTCTAAGATATATAAGAAGTGGAGAGCATCTAGATGTGCTTCTTAGGTCTGCCCCAGCCCTCATGCAACGTCACCCTCAACACATCGGCTCAAAAGGCCAAAGTCCCCTCCGTGCGTGCTTTCGCCGTCACAGCTCTCGCACGCGAAAAGGCACCGCAGGCTGCTGAGTGCATCTCACTGTCAAACGCCAGCTCCTCGACTAGTGGCGCTACACGCATTTTTCAAAGAGCCCCCTAAAGTTCCCGTACGGAGTGTACACATGTTTTTGTTCAGCGCTCGACAAGCTAATTCGAGAAATGACACTTGAAGAAAGCGAGACAAATAAAAATGTCAATGGTGGAAAAGAAGCGTCAGGCAGATATTTGTCTGGTGCCATACTTTGGTTTTCCTTTCTGTCACAACGCACCTGATGTTGCTAGTTTTGCCCTACCACCAGGCTACCACGGTGGAAGCTACAGCTCCACTCTCCTGCTGTGCCTAGCTTTGAAGCCTAATTTTCAGCTCACGCCAGGAGCGTTGCCGTGGTCACAGTAGCCTGTGATAACGCTGTGCTAAAACTGCTTATTAAAGTCATCGGCATGTTTAGGGGTTTTATCTATTGCTGTGTAGAAATATTTTAATATACCATACATTTGTGTACCTTGTTATTTGCAACGCTGCAATCCGATTTGCAAAACTGCCCGTTCTAGGCTTTCGTTACTAACGGCCTGCTAAGTCTACGTCGCAGACCCGCTTAAAATGCTTCGAGCATTTCTCTATTTGCCTTTGTGATTACCTGAAAGCAAGTAGCCTATGCATACTGTGTCTTTTGAAAGTGCTTAGAGCCAATGCTCACATTCCTTGTAACGGCCTTAACTCTTTCCTGACCATGAGAAAAGTAGCGATTTTCAAATAATCCGTGCAAACGCTTTTATTTTCCTAACTAACTTGGGTATAGAGCAATATGACACATCAAAATGTGGCCGATTAGTTGTTCTTTAAAAAAAAATTGAGGTTAATATAATTTGGAAAAAAGATTCTAAAATATTATTTGTTTGAAAATACAATGTATGTGCGGAAGGCATATAAATGCCAATACTTCTACGGCTATTCAAATTAAACGACAAATAGAAGAAAAACTCAGAATATAGAAAATGTGCCCCTCACCCATGCCTGTTACTTCTGAAAGTTAGTGTACTCTAACTGACGTCTATTTTTGGTTCGTCAGAGAGTTAGCCTTCGTAACGTACGCTTTTCAACGAAGGAATGCTTATATTGGTGAAACACAGATAGTACACCTCGCATCCCCAGCAGAATGCTTCCCTCGTGTTCTACCTTGGTTACGTCGTAGCCTCGATTGCAGTTCTTCGTATTTAGCATTTTCGTCCACCTTGTTGGGAACATAAAACGTGCACACCGGCTCGGAACAGGCTTGGAAATTATAGTGACGCTTACCGACAACCATCTGTCAAGCGACGCGTATAACATCGTTTAAAGTTACCCCAGAGCTCTTGAGCTCCAAAAAATGTGTCACAATACTGTTGAATTATGTCAGTAATGCCATCTTTGTTAACGAAGACGGATGCAAGCAATCAGCCATGTTAGACGTGTGCAACCACCGTTCCCAAGACTATTTTTATCAGCCCACCAGCTTGTGATAAAGCTCAACCTCTCATTGAAATTGAAACCACAGTTCTTCGGCTATCCACGAAATTGTGGAAAATAATTCTCTGCACTCAACCTAATTTCTTGACAGTGCTTGGAAACCATCGATCACCGGTGATTGATGTCTTATGGCCATCGATCACCAGTGACCGGCATGGTCAGGAAAGAGTTAAAAGGTGAACCCATTCCCTATGTCTGTTGCCCGACATACCATTGCGCTACCAGTTTTCTCCTACTTAAGGCAAAGAATGGACTTTTGGCAGACCGTACGCTAAAGCTCTACACTACTAGCAGGAGCACTTGCCGTCACCTTGAGCATAGATTGAGCTGACGACCACAAGACCAGAAATCCGTAACGTATGTGATATATGAAAAGCCCTTAATAAAATTAGACATTGCGGTCCCTTCGTGCAATGTTGTTGCGAGGCGGAACACAAGAATTCCTATTTTAATTCGCTCGCTTTTCTCGTTAAAACTGCTTTACGCACAGACATGCCGACCAGAACCATGAAAAAAACACTCCTTCCGTTTTACGCTTCTATTTCCAGGCTCCGTTGGCATTACTCGTACAAGTGTTCTCTCCACAGTGTTGTCTCTCCACAGTGTTGTCAGCTGGGGTGTAAGTCAAGGTCAGTTCACACATGCACCACAGTGTTAACTCACTAGACGAAGTGCCGATTCCACGTTATATTAGTGCTCTACCAGTGCTCCGACGCTTGTGACCCTGCGTTTTTTTGCCTACACACGCAATGCGGTACTGAGTCAGCGTTTACAGTAATGCTGATCCAGTGCTGACTGCATTATTTCAGAGCTGAGATGCATGTGGGAACCAGCCTTAAAGGGCAACTCCGCTTCATTTTTGATATTTAGAAAACTATGTAGCCCTCTTTAGTATCATATAGGAAGACCCCATGTCAAATATTACAATTTAATTCCGTCTATATATTTAATAAACTGGCCAGCAAACCTTCAAGTGAGCCAAGTCGTCGAAATCTGCCAGCTCTAGCGTGCGACGCGAGGCGCAATCGTCAGCGCAGTCAATGCGACGGAGTTGGAGCGGCAAACGTTGAGCCACTACGTCAGAGGCATGTGTACGTCATTCTCACGTTTTGTTTGTTTTTACTTCTCAGAGCGAAATTGAACGATGACGTCATGAGTTTCTCCTCCCGGTGTTGGCTGACCGGGCGTTCACGTGGTCACCGCAACGCGGATGTGCTAGTTTGCGCTGCCCTGCGCGCTTATCGGTTTGTTTCTCCGCTCCCTTTCTCTTTCGTCTTCTCCCCTTCCCCCTCTCGCCCAAGCTGTCACACCGTCCACGCCATGCGAAGCGACCTGCGCGCGTCGCGTGTCCTGTTCCTCGCCCCCCTCTCGAACGTCACAAGACCACGTGGTTCGATGGGACGTGCCCATGACTGACCACACGAGACGAATGTTGCCTGACGCAACCGAAGTTTCGATTTCGGCATCAGCTGGTGTTTTAATTAGGATTACACAAATAATATTTCACATTTCGCGAATCCGAAGACGTAGAGTTGTTGAGTAGTGCTTTGTGAAATGGAATCACATGTAAGCCTAAATTTTTCGGAATTGAGCGGAGTTGCCCTTTAAGTTCCGCTCGCACATTTTGCCGCCGCTTTGCAGACGGCATCAACGAGGTGTCAGCCATGTGCCACCTGTCGGTGCGCCTGGTCTCGGAGGCAATGCTCTTCAACAGTGTCACGGTTCGCCTCGGAGGGATCACCAAGGAGCAGTTCCTGTCTCCGCTGTACGACCAGTTTGTCAGCGGCTTGGCAGCCATCATCCCTTGCGCCAAAGAGAACGTCTTCATCTTCAGCATCCAGGTGAGAGTGGCCGTTGTGCGTGCTCACTCCGTGTGGAACTTGTTTTCTTCCATTGGATGCTGAAGGGATTGAAGCACAGTAATGGATTATGCCTATCCTTGATGTTTTTGCAATACCAAAGACCGTTGGTGACAGTATATTGTTTTTATTTCATTTATTCATCCTTACAACCTCTCTTTAGATTACAATAAAATGTTTTCATGTGCCTTAAAAAAATTTTTTCGAGCTACGCTTAGCTTTTTATGTTGGGCTTCTTTTTCTTAACTTCCACGGACAAATTTGGGGCTATTAGGGCTCCAATCTCAACACAGCTCGAGATAAACAATAAACAGATGCATGATGTGTATGGCATTATATTTTGTAACGCAAATAACTTGTTCCAATCTTACAAAATATAAAACTTTATGTTGGTGAGGGAATTACTGTAGTAGCTTTGGTGCCATCACTTCCTAGAGCAGCTTGTAGGTATGCAAATTCTCTGCTGTGGTTGACTCGTTGCAAATTGGCATGTTTCATTTTCTATGCTAAATTTCTAAAGTGAAGTGAATTGGGCAAAAAGCCTTTTGTCACTTCTACAAGGCTAGTTGTATAGACATTTGACAGTAAAAATTATTTGCTTGCTTCATTATGGCCTAACAGCTCACTTACGGGTTTTTTGCATGGCGTTTACTGAGTAAAGCTGCCAAACCCTTTTGTTTTTTCTATTTTGTAGGTTAAACTATGGGTCTTACAACTGGGTTCCTAGGAATTCTGGGGATCCCCAGAGTACCCTCAGGGGTCCATTATTTCTTCCTCCCCAGTCTGGTCTCGGTTTCGAGCAGTTGCGTATTTTGACTTTGTTAAAAATATGTGTGACACTATAGAAAAATATTGATTGGGTAATCTTCTGACAACATAATAGATTGACTGTCAAAAAATAACAAAAATCGTTTGGGGGGTGTCAGTGTCTCTTTAAAATGGTCTTTGTTTAAAATTACAAAAGTATTGTCCACGTAATGCCTATGAAACCTTACTGGGTGCACAATCCATTATAGAGCGGTTTCCTCCACGTGGTGCTTGAGACCGTTCTACATCCACTATGTCTTTCTTTGCATAGAAGCAGTGTTTACTAGAAGGAGTAGTTTCAAGTCGTGATAGACTGCGCCAGCCAAAGTGGAACATAAGTAGCGTTGGCTGGTAATCAATACTGTAAACGACTTAATTTTCGCGGGCTCAAATTTTCGCGAATCGGGCCAAGGCTGAAAATTTGAAATTATTCGCAAGCTCTAATTTTCGAAAATCCAGTGTAGCTTCCGTAGCGTTCACATATTGTCCGGATTGTTAGCGGGACGTATTTTTCGCGAATTGTAGGCGATTCGCAAAAGTTTAGTCGTTTACAGTATTTATATGTAGTACTAGTCTTCATTGGGACAAGCCACCACTCGAGAAGTCGGCTCATCGGCGGACAAAATGGACTTGGCAGAAGCCGCTGGGTGGTTCCCAGGAGGGAAGAAGTGAAGTAAGCTTGGGTTGAATAGCCCCAGACACGTTCCCACCTGTACTTAATGAATTCTTCCTTCGACTGAGCTTCTGCATTTTACCAACAGCAAAGATTACACTCAGAATTGCTTATGGGCTTGTAAATTGTGAAAAATTACACCGGCATCATCATGCTGACAGAGGAGCACAAAACAGGTCCCCTCCATATGTCGTTTGTGCTGGATTTTTCTTTTCTTTTTTATTATCAGTTTTTTTCTAGTTCTTTTTCCTATTTTTCTAGTTTATCTTGCCATTTTATTTGCGTATTTTATTTTTATTTTCTCAATTTATTTTTATTTGTTTTATTTTTTATTTTCATCCAAAACTGTTCACTGTTACCTGCAATATTTGCATTCAAATAAAAACATTAGCCCCTTCAGACCAGCTGTGCTACTACCTCAGTGGCCATAGCCTCCGACTGCCACTGCACCGACCTAGGTTCAAGCTCTGACCGGGGTTCAAACTTTATATATTAACTTGATATATAACCTTAAAGGGGCCCTGCAATCATAATTAAGCATCTACCTTTTTTGCGATTTCCACGTCTCTTGGGGTTCGGGCAAGCCAGCGGGCACGGAGAGAGAAACTAAATATCAGTGTGTCATATTTTAACCGGACGACGCGGAAACCTCCTCCACCGACGAGGGCGACCGGCGGTACCGAAAGTGCGCAAAATGTGACGTCTTTGGTCCTGGGCTTACAACTGGTCAGAGCTGCTAAAAGCTTCTTTTTAGTCGAAATAGAAAATACAAATCGCAAACCGTTTCAGTTATTTATAAAAGTAGTTTTTGTTCACTATTTTAGATCAGAAAAGAAACAAATGCAGTTCATAAGGTACGGAAACAAGAAATGACCCGTTCACATACCTACCACCAAGCGGTGGAAAAGACGGCGTATACTAAAAAGGAGTAGTGGGATCAGGCGCCGACACAGAAAGGTCCCGGATGTTCGCGGCGGCACTGCGGTCGTATGGAAAACAGGATCCGACCGGCTCCGAGCGTTCCTAAGGCCTTCGGCGAGAAGCTTTGTCTTGCGGTTTGGCCGTTTCACGGTATGGCAGCGCGAAGTGGCTCCCATTCTGAACTGATTTTTACCCCTTGTTTGCTGTCGTTTGTGGCCAAAGAAGTGTCATGCCGAATTAGTGTTTAAAATCACGCAGCAAATGCAATGAGAGCCGCTCTGGCCGCCCGCTGCATACAGCCTATCCAGAACATGCTTTAGTTGCGCTCTCTCGCGCCGTGGACACGGAGTGTGGCAGCCGTGAGCGCTCGCTGAGCTTACTAGCCCTCCTCTAGCTCACGGCCAGTCAAGCAACCAAAGACGTCATGAAGAAGATTGTTTTTTTGCCTGTTTTTGTAATATTCATTTGCCTATAGCTTTTAAAATAAAGTGAATTTCGAGAAAAGAAAAGTCTCATTTAGTTACTGCGTTCAGTGCGCTCATGTTCTGTGCAAATTAAAAACCAGTAAAAAAGCTCTTGCAGGGCCCCTTTAATGCGCATAGCTTTTTTAGTGTGTCACTCGTTCACGACGCTTGCTCTGACACTCAATAGTGATGATTTTGTCGTAGAAAACGCCGCGTAAAACATGTTCCACGTTAAGAAGCGGAAGTGGTCACGGGGTTGTCAGCGGGAGGGCCGAAGGCGACTTATTGTCGTCGTATTTTATAGTTTTCGAACTGGCTGCTTTGTTGCGTGTCCAAAAAAGACGCGGGGTGTAGGGGGCCTCTCGGGTGCTCGCATTGAACGGGTTTCCCTTTGGTTTCAGGATGACACGGACGTGGACAGCACGGTGCTCAACGTGAGCTTCTCCGCCTCGAGGGGCCGGGATGAGGACTACCTGGCCCCCCAGTACCTGCAGGAGCGGGTCTACCTCAGCAGGGCTGTCCTGGCCAGGCTTACCAACGTCCACGTAAGTGTGCACGGCGTGCCTTGGACCGGTGCCTTTCGCCTCCCGTCCCACCCACGCGCCAAAAGCGGTCTTCGACTAGCGCGTCACGCCGTCGCATGTCGCAATCCCGGTCTCCGTCGTCACAGCGTCTCAACTTCCGGCCGTCCAAGCTTCCGTGAACCGTCGAGCTGAAAGGCGACCTGCACTTGAACGGGCGTCTGTCATGCCACTGCGTCACTGCGCCGCCGCCAAGATCGCGAAAAGCAACGGCGCGACGCGAGTGCGACGTTGTTGGGCGGAAATTAAGGGACCACTTTTGAGGGGGCGCCGGTTGGAGATACGTTCTATGCACCATACCCCCCTGAGTGTTTCGAATGCTCCCTTGGAGACATATTTTCTAGCGCACGAGCGGGAAAGGGAACTTCGAACGTGTTCCAACCGTATTTAAATGTTTACGCTTCCTGCCGGGCTTATTAGTATACGTAGAGATGGTTCTTCGAAGATGGTGTCCAGAAACTCTGCAGAATCTGTTGAAACCGAGCTTGCGGCCGAGGACCCGAGAGGAGATGATATTATCGTCGTCGTCACTTATTAAACCTTGAGGGCCAATGCAGGCACTAGTCTCTAAGATGGGAGGACAAGCTACTACAAAATCTCGATAATTCGAAATTCGAGGGGATGCTAAAAAAGTGAATTAAACGAAGTCCGAAGGAAAGAAAGTTGAAGAAAAATTACACAATTCTGCTGCTGAAGGAATGGGAAAGGCCGAAAACTGACAACTTTATTTATAAAAAAGAATCAGTCACCACCTCCCATGTCTTATCTTGGAAGATATCAGCCTGTGTTCGAGTGCACGGATGTAAAAAGGGGCATCTTCACCCTCTTCATAACTGAAGAGGCACGCAACATTGAGCGTTTCCATAACCTGCGATGTACTTGGTGGAGCAGTTGTTTCCTCGTCTTTCTCATTGTTCTCGTCTTCCACAGTGATTTCTTCGTTGGCAACCTGCGCGATGAAGCCCTCATCTGTCAGGGCACCACACACTAGCGCACTGCTGGCCGCCTCGACGTAATTAAAAAAAATTGACGTCTTGCGGCACCTCGAGCGGATTTTCAAAAACCACCCGGTGTTGTCTAGCCGCCAGGCTCTTTAAATCGACCGGAAAATTCGGTTTCTTAACTTATCGCGCTACGACTTGGTGCAGCGTTGCCCACAGATGGTGCATTTTTTTTGTAAAATTTGCAAAGAGCAAACTTACCTGAGAAAAAGTAAAGAAAGAAAAAGGCTTAGTTCCTATGGAAAAGCAGCAACGCCACCGGTCTGCAAACAACACGGCGCCGTTTCGCACGGGAGACAAGAGATGGCGCAACAAACACCGCCAACGAACGAGCATACGGTGCCGAGAGCAGGCCTTTTTAGCAGACGATCTTTTCGACTCAAAAGCGGCGCGCGTTCCGCAGGCGGCGACAGTCGCGAGAACAAAAAAGACAGGCGTGGTAACAGCAAGGAACTGCAGTTCCTTGTCTGCAAAAGGGCCGGCTCTCAGCGTCGTCTGCTCAATCGTTGGCGTCGCGACCGCTTGCGCCATCTCATTCCCTTCCGTGCGAAACAACGCCGTGTTGTTTGCAGACCGGTGGCGTCGCTGCGTTTCCATAGGAGCTAAGCCTTTTTCTTTCTTTACTTTTTCCTCAGGCAAGTTCACTCTTTGCAAATTTTACAAAAAAAATGCACCATCTGTGGGCAACGCTGCACAAAGTCGTAGCGCAGTAGGTTAAGAAACCGAATTTTCCGGTCGATTTAAAGAGCTTGGCATCTCCTTGTTTCACCCTGTAGTTGGTACATTTTGTTGGATAGTCTTTTAGGCTTAGGCCTCGGCAGTTTCAACGATGTGTCGTGACGCTCTACCACGGAGGCAGGTTCGTCATTGCAAAGCGTGCGAGTCAACCATCAGTCACAATAACAATGTTTATAACTAACAATGGCGGAACTAAAACAGCGCCATTTACAACAGCGCACCAGGCTGTTGTCAATCCGGAAACTTCCGGCGTTTGGACAGTTGACCACAGGAGAGTCAAAAGACTGGGCAACTCTCGCTGCAAGGCCGACTGTGTTTGAGAATTCTCCACGTGCCCACTCTTCTTCTCGGATTCGACTCCCACCACACACTCCCGTCTTCCTCCCGGTGTCCGGGCGTTCTCTCCCTGGCGCTGGGGCTCACTGGCCAATTAGGTGCAGACCTTCTAGTCCTCCCATTCTTGGGTGTCGGGTACTAATATCTACCCGTAGAAAGGAAATGAAGAAGAGCCGTCCCATCTGGGTGTGGTGTTCTACTTCGCTGGCAACTGCCTGTGGCCGCAACGGCAACCAACACAATTTCTGCAGCAAGTATTCGGAACCATGGTACCCGCAGTTTCCACGACATTAAAGTGCCAAGGAACATACAAGCAAGAAATAGACAAACATAGTGGGCTGTTCTATTTTATTTTTTTGTCTACATTTTTAACATTTTAATGTCATTAATATTTGCTAAACTCCGTGTAGACTCTGGCATGATCGAAACATGTAAATCGATTTTTGGCACCGTCAGTCTGAATCAAAACTTGCCCAGAATACTTGCACTTTGTTTTGATTAGGAAGCATGTTGAGTCTATTGTGGGGACGTTGTGAACGTGCCAAGATTAGAGTTGGACTTTTCCTGACATCCGCGTCGCAGATTTTTACAAAAGTCCGATTGGAGTTCGACTTTTGTGGGCATGCATCAATGTCGAAAACGGGCCGATGCCACAGTGCAGAGGAAAAGCGCAATACTTGTTCGGTATATTTTTCGTTCGTTTCGCAATAATGAACTATCTAAAACATTAAAATACATGTCTTTGCTTTTATATTGTGTAAATGCTGATCATAATATTATAGAATATAAAATGAACTTTGTGAATCGTTCGTTTCCCAAAATTCGAAACTTTTGCGTAGAAGTCGGGCAAAACTCCCCATAAGTTAAAGTCTGTCAAATTTTGATGAACATTCGAAGGTTCGTCGAACCCCAGTTCGCAACGTCTCTAGTCTGTAGTGGCTCGTGCGCTTAGGGTCGGACGAGCGAAGAGTTCTCGCCTCATTCGATAGGGCCGTGCGTGCAGGTGCTGCCATTTGACGACAACCTGTGTGTGCGGGAGCCCTGCATCAACTTCGAGGAGTGCCTGTCCGTGCTCAAGTTCGGCAACGCCTCGACATTTGTGGCCTCGGAGAGTGTGCTCTTCCGCCCCATCTACCCCGTCAACACCTTCGCCTGCCGCTGCCCAGACGGATTCACGGGTGAGCTTCCGGGGCCACCCACGGAGGGCGACATTGTCCGGGAAGATGCGCCAGCCGAACGAATAAAGAAACACGTTAGTGCAACCGCGAGAAATGTTGCCTTTATTACGGTGGTTGGAACAGAACAACTATGACAACCCTGAAAGGAGCTCGTGTTTTAGTGACCCGTTATAATAAATTCTGCAAAAGAGAGCTACTCGCGATGCTTTCCTGCGTAGGACAAGGTGAGGAGGATTTAAGTTAGTCTTCATCGATGAGGCTTTCGATAAATTAGGGTAGTTAAAGAAAAAGAAACACGTGCCACAATTTTGAACTGGTTCTAGGTTATTAGTAAAAAAATTCAATGCTTGGATCCCAAGCTGAAGAGACATATTTGAGTTTTGAACAGACAACAGTTTTGTAGAGTAGAAATTTTAAAGACGAAGGCACCTTGGAGAAGTTAAAACACAAATGCTTGAGCGTGCGACTAGCTTCGTTAATTACATAATTGATGCGTGTTTGCCAGGAGGGTTTAGTGGTTATATGAATGCCTAGATCAGTGGTTCTCAAATGGGGGTCCTTGAAGGCTTTCTCGGGGTCACCGACCCCCTCAATCAGCAGTCCAGGCAAGCTATAAACCTTTTGTTTTTTATATTATTGATACTGGCTGGTCTTACAGCCAGTATCAATAATATAACCAAACCATATGCAGGCTAAACCATATAAGCCGAGAGGTTAGAGTTGATTATTCTCCGTTTCAAAGCTTCAAAGTTTGTTTCCACACATTTAGTTTTCTTTAGTAACCTTTTCATCAGCGTTTGAGAACCCCTGGCCTAGATGCTTATAGGATGCCACCTTGTCTAATGCAGATCCTGTGATGTGGCAGATGCAACCGTTACTACTGACAGGATAGCGCGAAATTCTCAATATTTCACACTTATTATTTTTGAGACTCGTTCGAGACTAGGGCTTTTTCCTGCGCAGTAGACGCAATTACCTTCACAATGAGCTTTCCCCAAATTAGGCGAGGAAGTTTCGTGAAATTGTCGGCTATCAGGGTGGGCTGAACCTAGAAGCTCCCGCAACCTTTTATTAATTTCATTGTTTATTTAACGATACTGCAGACATTGAGGGGGTCGAAGCAAGTGAGTTACATCAATAAAGAAAGCAAGATTCATGCATACATCTGTATTATAATGAAATGCATGTTTTAAACACTGGTACAGACAAAGGGAAAAGAAAACATACATGACATGGCACAGCCAACACAAAACAACAATGAGGCACTTAGTGAATAAATAAAAAAACACATATTAGTGAAACTGGGCAAATTGAAGAAACATCCGAAAGAAATCATCGGGCTGAGCAACAATGAACTATGGACCCAGTCATTGGCGTCGCATCTACAGCTGGCAATTTTTCATCGATATCATTCCGCAGGCATGAAGAGGAAGTATGACTGTGACACGGAGATCAACCTGTGCTACTCGAACCCCTGTGGTGTCAACGGAACCTGTGTGCAGAGGGAGTCCGGCTACAGCTGCATCTGCGCTGAGGGCTTTACAGGTGAGCTTCGAGACGGGCCGGGCAGCCGGAACTGGGGAAAAACCGAACAGTGGAGATGGTTAGCAGGGTATTCATGTGTGCCGTTCGTTTCGTTTCATTTACCTTATATTCCGGACTGTTGTGCAGTATCCAAAGGCAAAGTTCAGTTGACATAAGTTTTCCTTTGGGTTGTCCTAGGGTGACCACCCCTCCCGCGACTCGCGGGACTGTCCTGCATTAAGGGCTCGTGTCCCGCGTCCTGCAAGAAATACCAAAATCTGTAAAATGTCCCGCATTTCACATGGCCGCAGCATTCGACCACGCAAATTATGGCGCTTCCGAAGAACAGGCCACGGGGCTGCGCGGAGGTCGCTGATAAACGTGACAATCTTGGTGGTAGTATGTCATTTTCTGTACAAGCACTGCGGAAAGCGACCGTTGTTCTTGCAGGAGTAGGACGCACATGTGCCGTTGTGCCTCTACCCTTGATGGCAAAATATTGCGAGCGAAAATTGCTCTCCAAAAGTTGAAAATGAACTATTGTGATTATTTGAAAATCATACTGTATCATGCGAAAGGGTTTGTTATGGAAAGCTTTTTTTAGTGAAGACGGCCACACAAGGCAAAAAACCTGCAACTCTCACGGGTCGTGAAAACAACAACGTAAGGTTCTAATTTTGTGCAAGAGCATGTTAGTATAAGAGTATATATTAGTATATATATAGCTACTATATATCGATCAAGATGAAACAATAGGTCGAAAAAGTTTTATTGTTTCTTATTTCCCCTTCATGCATCGGGGTTTGCTGCAGTCGATTTATATGTTTTCAACTTAGGCACTCATAATAAAATATTTACCATTACAATTACACAAAAATATATCACTGTGATTGAAAATTATTTTAGCTTAATTGCCGCCACAAAATTTTCAGGTGTATAATATGCTTTCGGACTGCACAGGATATCGGGGTGTGCGGGGTGGTTAATTTTTAATGCTTATCTTTTGAGTTGTGAAAATACCATCCTCCTCTTACCACTTACCCCCCCCCCCCCCCCCCCCCCCCCCCCACCCCTCACCGGACAGGGTGTCACGCATTTCACCTACAGGAAGGTGGTCACCCTAGGTTGTCCTGTGCATAACCTGTACCCAGTGCCTAGTCTGCATGTAAAATATTCTCATACATGGCGCATCTTGACAAGTGCCTGCTTTATTAGCTTACAAAGAAGCTTGTATTGTATCATCACACTCTGTTATCCACAAAATCTGTCACGTTTCTCCGTAATGAACAGTCTAGAAAAAAACAAATCATTCAATAGTCCGCACCTGTAAATAGTCTGTATTATGTAACATTTTAGCTGTTAACCCATTGCACACTAACTTTCCTTTTCTTTAAATAAAGTTTACCACAAAAATGTCCAAATCGGCAGTTTGCAAAAAAATTCAATCAAACATTCACTTGGCTTCCAGATGTTCTTTTTTTGCTGTCACTATTATTTCCTGGCCATCTGATGTGTCCATTCAGTAGTGCATGTTCTGCATGGTACTGCGGGAAACCCTCAGGAAGGTAAAGAAGCAGCAAACAACATCCGGTGGCTAAGTGAATGATTTCTTTAATTTTTGTGCTAACCGACGATTTGAAATAAAGTTTTGGAGTCATCAGATAGGTTGCGCGACTTGTGATCGAGAGAACGATGGAGCATTCGTCACTTTCAAATAAAAGTACAGTAATCCCTCATAACGAAATCGCTTTTTTTTTAAATTAGATTTTATGGAAGTTGAATGTGGTCTAGACCACAATGCGCACATTTTTAGCCTCATTATTCTAAGTGTATCGGCGGCCGACCACGCTTATTACGAAGGCTGCGGGGTCGAAAGCACGCAGTTTTACACGGAAACGCACGGAGACCCTTGTGTTCCCTCCCCTTCTCCATCGAGGCAAACGGCAAACTGGGAAAACGAAGTAAACGGGTGACGGAGGGCAGAGCGCGCAGAGCTGGTGGAGCGTCGTTTTTTATGCCGACGCACGCTTATGGAAGTTTGCAGGAATGTAAAGTATGCCTCTCCACCGATGGTGTTCTCCACTGTGGCCATCACAGCTATCGACGTGCTCCGTACATAACTCGCAGAATCTCTCTTTGACTGGAGCTTCTTCTCGCAGCTGGAGAGAAGCACACCTCACCAGAATTAAAGCACGTCTCTGTGTCCTTCTCCAACACACGCAACATCTCGCACGATCATTCCACCAAACACACGTCTCTTCACACATATCTCCAACATCAATTCCACCGAAAGCAAGGAACCCATTGCCAACAATTGTACAGCACACGGGCTGAAGCCAAATCTCCTTTCTAGTGCCTTTCCACAATGCAGCAGCTACCACTTTCAATCCCAGCGCACTTTGTGTGATTGTTTCTCAAACAGTTTGTCGATTGTTAAATCAAAATGTGGAGTGAAAGTTACTCAGTTAGATTGGAACTCGTTCAAAAAAAAATTGAAATCGTAGGATTCAACTTAAAAATTGTTTTGTTGTTTCAACTGCTTTTCCAGGGTGACACCTTTAGCTCTAATAATTAAAGTGAAAGAAGTTCTCGCCATGTTTGTCACTCTTGATCCCAAAGAGGAATCTGGGTAGTCCAATGATTTATTGTATTTTATTAGTCGTTGTCAAAGAGCTGCAGGCATGACACACTCTAAGGGTATCTGCTTATGTTCGAAGCTTTTTCTGCCACGTCGACGGAAGTAGAGCCAAACGCGAGGCTTTTGGTAATAGTAGAAGTCTTAAAATGCCACCAAGGGGTATCTGGAGGTTATGTTTGCAGCTCGTGGCACTGGCATGCAAGACATTGCCACTGATTCCCTGCCCAACAAACATTTAAATAGGAAGCGGACTACTCGTATTTGAGACACCGAGGACGTAATTGGAAAGACTGAAATCTGGGCGCCATGTTTCAATGTCCCCCCTTCTTCGCCTGCACCATGCCTGGTTGAAGCGTTGCACCCTCTTTCTTTCTCATTTTTATTCTCAGTAAAAGTTTCTGCTGAGTGACATTCCCTTGCACTTCATCTTATACACCCACAGGCGGCCCCAACGTCATGCTGCTGCGATGGTGCCGCTATTGACAGGGCACATGTGCAGATGCTTCATTTCACGCGAATCTGGTTCCTGCACATGCGCAGTGCCCACACCTCGTGTTGAATCTGAGAGCGTTTGCCCACACCTGATGTGGGCTTGTTTGCAAACAGCACATTGCTCTATACAGAAATATTTGCCTAAGACTTGCAAAGCTTAAACAGCAGCTCTAGGAATCGGACAGCATTTTTAGCCAAATCTTGGAAGCATCTCGATGGCCTCGGTCAGATATTAAATTCTTTGTTGGCCCTAGTTCTGGCACATGGGTGTGTTGGAACACATCGGGGTTTAAATATGGAGATTTTTTTTCCATCCTTCTTATAGAAACATACCCCTTGTGGTGAAATAAAACTTGTTAATTTGATCAGTAATTTGTTCATTGATCAATCAATCAATGATTGAATCTTTTTCATGTGATGGAATACAACTGATTGTTTTATTGTTTTATTGACCTATCTATAAGTGGTTGATCAATTGATTGATTGTCGTGGCAAAATAAAAGTGAACTCTTGATTGATTAGTAAATTATTGATCACATGATTGCTTGACTGTCATGTGGTAAAATAAAGCTTGGTTGATTGATTACTTGACCGATCAATCGGTGGTTGATCGATCGAAACAGTTAATTGGATGATCAATAAATCACTGGATAATTGCTCGATTGATTGTTGTACAGGCCCCCGGTGCGATGCCCGCGTGCCCAACTGCAAAGGCCCCGGACTGTGCCCCGAGTGCGGGGAGGATCCCCTGTGGAGCGACCCCCAGTGCCGGCTAAGGGCACGCAGCTTCTCCAGGGGCTCCTATCTCACCTTCCCAGCCCTGAGGCAGAGGCACCGGTTCACACTTTCCCTCAGGTGGGCACGTCCCCTGCACATCCACAGACGTCCCGTGCATGTCCAGAGTTGTCCCGTGCACGTCCACAGATGTCTTATGCACGTCCACTGATTTCTCGTGCACGTCCACAGACGTCCCGTGCATATCCACAGATGTCCCATGCATGTCCACAGTCTATCTGTAGTGCTTTGGGACCTCCTGAGGGCAATCATGTGCCCTGCCAGCTGCTTGTCCTTAGAACCACCTTGTACTGCAGCTTTAGCTGCTGGAATAACAGACACAGCAAATTAGATGTGAGTTAAGGGAGGACACTACCCAAAGGGGTCACCTTTCGATCCTTTGGCTTAATATAAATGAAATTTACATAATATACTGGCAGTTGCGAGGCAGAATGCATTGCAAAGTTTAATCTGCATACGTAAATTGTAAAATAAATTATAGTCGTTTTATCAGGAACAGACTAACATTGTTTAGGAAAACTATGGTTAGAAAAGTAACATAATACCCAACATTTTTCTTCACTAGATACGCAGAAGAATACTCGAAGAGTGCAGCTGTGAAAACAAAATTTCCAAAAAGGAATTCCTTTTATGCTAACATAGCGCTGAAAATTAAATAAATTTCTTGCCTTTTATGTTGATGACAAAATTTTAACATCTTTTATAAGAAGTCCACAAAGTAAGAAAACAATGCCACAGCTGCATTGCCCATTAACTTCCACTTAAGAACACTGAGTGAGCCTTTCCTTTTTCTTGTTACCAAATGGACAGCCTTCCTGAAGTGAAATTTATGCCGAAAATGAAAGACGTTTACAGCTCCCTGTAATGGCGAATTAGAGTGCAGCTCTTGAGGAGGAGGAGGGAAGGGTACAGGGGGAGGGTGTGCCCCTTCTCCTCCCCTCCCCTCCTCCTCTCCTGCTCCCCTTCCATTTAGCGGGAACTATTCGCTACATTTCCCGCTCAATTCAGTGGAAAAAATTCCCCGCTAAATTTAGCGGTGAAAGTTTTCCGCTAAATCGAGCGGGAAAATTTTTCTGCTAAATTTAGCGGGGAAATATTTCCGCTATATTTAGAGGGAAAATTTTTCACTAAATTTAGTGGGGGATTTTTTTGTTAAATTTACAGGGAAATTTGTCTGCTAAATTTAGCAGGGAATTTTTTTTTTTTTCGTTAGATTTAGTGGGAAAATTTTTTCGCTAATTTTATTGGAGAATTTTTTCCTCTAAACTTAGTGGGTAAATTGTTCAGCTAAATCTAGCGGGGCATTTTTTCCACTAGATTTAGTGGAGAAATTTTTCAGCGGCAAGTTTTTCCACTATATTTAGCGGAGAAATTTTTCTACTAAATCTAGCGGGAAATTTGTTTGCTAAATTTAGCGGAGAAATTTTTCGCTAAATTTAGCGGGCAGTTTGTTCACTAAATTTAACGGGGAATTTTTTTTTGCTAAATTTAGCAGGAAAATTTTTTCTCTAAATCTAGCGGAATTCTCGCCTCCTCCTCCTCCCTCGTGTCGCTCGTGACATCACATGTGACATCGTTATGGGAAATGTCCCATAATGCAGTGCACGGTTACGCCAACGCCAATGGCAACGGTGACGCCGCTCAAGCTTGAAACGGGCGCCTAAGAGCTGCGCTCTAAAAGTGGAACAGAGAAAATCGTGTTCTAAGTGCTGGAACATCTACATTTTCTTTAACCTCAATAGACCAAAATAATTTATAAAAAAAAAAAAAAAATAACCATAGGGTGTAAACAAAGGAAACTTTCTGGGAATACTCTCTATCTCTTGATGTTGGTGGATCTTAAATAAAGCGCTTTTCAACATCTTTTTTTGCAAAAATTCTTTTTTCTGGGTAGTGTACCAATACCGTCAGGGTGGTCCGCCGCAGTATGGTGACTCACGTTGTAGATGAGAAATTTAACCAGTGCAGTACGATTCCTGACCCAGGGTCTCATACGGGCAGCATGCAGCAGTGATGCGCGATTGCCCGCACATACCATGTTTGTCCAAATTGAAACTGGCGGGGGGGGGGAGTTCCGCTGTGTGATCAATGCTCCACATGCTCCGAGTTGGCGCTACATTTTGTTTACCCCTAATCTGACAGTGGGATGTAAGCTACATGCTCGTTGCCCCAGTCATACGCTATCTTGCCCCACATGGTCACGCTTTCGCTGAAACTCGCACGCGGAGAGTGGAGTCGGGCAATGAAAGGGAGGCGGTTGATCGGTTCAGCAAGCATGTAGCTTTCACTGTCAGCTTTAGGGTCAATTTAGTTTAGGTATACTTACTAAACATGCAACGCTAAAGGCAGAAGTGTTTGAAGTAAGGTGGCAATATGGGCGAGTTTGTTCTCAGTCACAAAAGAAACGGGGTAAACAGCATGCAAGAGCTGAAAACGAAGTATAAGGAACTAAGAGACAAGCGCCGACTTTCGTTTAGAAGTCGGCGCTCGTCCCATTCTGTTCCTTATTGTCTGTTTCCGCTCTTTGCGTGCACACCCTTTTTAGTGACAGAAGTGGTAGTCTCCATTCTTGTCCCGAAGATGGCTGTGGCGACAGGACCACTAACTGCACTTAGAGACAATTTTATTAGTATGATCACTTCATCCCCGATGTCACCATGTCGGTCCGATGTCGCGAGTGCGACCGCTAAATGTGTCCGATAACACCGACATCCCTCTCTGCTCCCCGCATTTCGTGTGAATGCTGGAGTTGGGGAGAGAGTCCCGCCGGTTCCGCCAATCACCTACGTCACGCGCATCCCTCACCAAAAAGCTTCCCTCTTGTGAATACCTGTTTGTGACACTAGAATGATTCTCGTATGCAACACAGTTGCCCGGTGATTTTTCGTACAATTTTTGTACGACGTGTTAGGTGTGTAACCAGGGTTTTCGAGTTTGCCGCTGTCCGTTGCGTGACAAAACAGTATAGGCGTGACAGTTCCACCTGCCCTGCATTAGGCTCCAAAACCCACGAGACAGGTGGGGAGTTCTAAGCAAAATGGTGCCTTCCCCATCCAGCTTTGCGACGCTGCGTCCGGACGGCCTGCTGCTGTACAACGGGCGCTACAACGACATGCACGACTTCGTGGCCCTGGAGCTGGTGGAGGGCTCCCTGGTGTTCTCCTTCTCTACGGGGGTGCAGACCAGCCGGGTGTCTGTGTCCGCCCGGGGGGGCCTCCACGACGGCCATTGGCACCGGCTGGACGTGCAGTACCACAACAGGGTGAGCACTCCCAGGGTTGGACGCATCGCTTAAATTACGTATGTGAAGGAAAAGAAAACATTTTTTACACTGTCTGAATGGGAAAAGAATGTCATAAAATAAATTTACCGCAAAAACATTTTTTTAGGCTACATTCAGTAATTCTTCGTTATATCGAAGTCAACAGGACGGCGAAAAAATTTGATATAAACGGTAATTCATTAAGAGTTAAAGAGCCGAACAAAAGAGTGCCAGCAGTCTCGAAAGTGGACGAGAACACTGCAGAACACTTTGATTGTATATTTAATCGATCAAACCTCGGTTATGAACATCTCGCGGCAGCTTTACTGAGTAAAAACATTATCAAGTGGAGTTTGCCAATAATTTCTTCCGGGTGTTAGTTCTCCTTGAACAGCTGCAGGCATCGCAAGAACACTGTTACTGCCGCTGCACTTCACTTTGCTTCGAAGCAGCCGTAGGATGTTTCGCGTCTCCGCCGTCGTCGGCAATTTCCGAGGTGCCTCTCCGACGTCGCTTCGTGCTTACCCTGGCTGCACGCAAGGTCTACGATTGCAGCATCCATGGCAGGAGCAGCAACGGCGACGTCCGCATCGATAAGCATGAATGAATCAAAGTTATCCTCGGTGGCTTTGCCAACATATTTTTACGCACTCCTGTAGAGATCGTTGCAACTCTGGGAATCGTACGCCGGCTCAGCAAGCATGCTCGTGAGAGAAAATCCGACGGTCGTGAAGCAGTTGGCGATTTATCATCTTCGGGTCGCGGGTGCACTTTCTCTTGCATGAGAAACATCTCGAACCCATCCAATATATTGCTTGTTTTGCAAAATGGTGGACAGTGTTGAACATCCGATGCCACAATGTCGAATTCTTTGGCGATTTCGGACTTGGGCCAGCCACTTTCCTCAACCTCACATATCTAAGCGACTTTCGGTAAACACTCCCAATCTCCCATACGACGCATGTGTGCGTGTAGTACGCCGCAGGCGCACTTGTCAGTGGGGTGGGGCGGCTCCTGAAGGGATGATCTCCTCCAGGCTCCATCGCTTTTTGACCCGATTTCGGCAGGAGTCGGGCAGCTTCGGCCGCAGGTACCGTGAGTAGCGTCGGAACGTGGACGCTGCTCCCTGCCTGCGTCGGCGCATCGGCATTGGAAGCAGCGCTCTGCTCGCTCTGCCCTCCGTCACCTTTTCACTCCGGTTTCTTTTTGTCATTTTTCCAGTTTGCCGTTTGCCTCGGTGGAGAAGGAGGGGGGGAACGCAAGGGTCTCTGTGCGCCCCCGTGTGGGCTTGCGTGCTTTCGGCACCGCGGCCTTCGTAATAAGGGTGGTCACTCGTCGATACGCTTCAATTAATGCATTTAAAAATGTGTGCATTTCGGTTGAGACCACGTTGAACTTTAATAAAAGAGATAATTCGAAAAACCTATTTCATAATAACAAGAAATTACTCTATTTATGGCGCAAAACGAATTTGTACTTAGTGCCCACGGGAGCCTGCGAAAAAGTGGCAGTAGCAGTCACGTGACTGACCACTATAATCACGTGGCACTTGTGCTCTTTAGGAAGCTTCCTATGGCTTCTAAATTACTTATTAATCTTTGTGTTTTAGAGCAGAGCTGTTAAGGGCTAGTTTCCCTAGTATTGTGTCCGTGGACAAATAAATGGTGACACAAAACTCCAGACAGCTACCGCCATCTATAAGCGACGGCGGCAACCAGACAACCGGCTTGCCAGTTGTCTGGTTGCCACCGTCGCTTATCGATGGCGGCAACCTTTCCAGCCATTCCACTCTGGTTTGCGCCAGAGTGGAAAGGCTGAATTTCTCTAGGGTTCATCCCAGAAGTCACCCTCAAGGTCGTCCTAGAAGTCGTCCTTGAGGTCGTCCTAGACGTCGTCCCTGAGGTTGTCCTTGGCATCGTCATAGACGTTGTCCTCTAGGCATCGTCCTAGACGTCGTAAAGATAAAAACAGTTTTGCTAGTCCTCCATCTTCATGTGAAGTGGAAGGGCTCTAGATTTTTTTGGTTATTAGTTTAATTCAGCTTAAGATATGTTTTCTCGCTTTTTCCGACAAAATATGTGTGTTTGTGAAATCCTACTTCAGTCCGCTTCATGTTGAAGCAGAGAAATGAATTCCGAAATTTGATTTCTGCACCCGTTTAAATATTGAGGAAAAACAACGGTACTGTTCCTTAAGAAATGTGAAAGCGCTTTGGTTATATTAAATTTATAAATTATTTCGGATTCTTTTTTTTTTCCCATGTCTGGTGGTTCTAAAGCCACCTTGAAGTATAATAAAACTAAAATCAGAAACTCCACTATGATCTGCCCCGGCATCTGCCTTTGTACTAGTCTATTGCTGAGCGTCATTTTGCTTGATCTGTTGCATTTGTTTTTGGCAGTTTGACCGACCCATCTGAGGAAGTTACATGTTATCACATTTTTTTTTAACTTGTTCATATATGGTTTTTTGTCTTTTTCCTTAGATATTCCTACAATGTGTACAGTATGTCTTCTCCTATTTAGTCCCATGATGGAGTGATAGTATTTTGAAATGAGTAAACATTTGAATTGCTGTAATGCTACTATGTTGGACATGGGAAGTAGACAGTTATATAAAAAAAAATTTAAAGGAATTGATTTTAAATCTGATAGAAGAGCTTCTGGACTTCAACACAAATTGTTCCTGGAATTTTCGCAGCACTTCCTCAGCATTTTAATGAAGAAAGATTTACATTAGAAACTATCATATTTAAACGTCAATTTACGCAGTAATTTTAGAATTTTTTAAATTTTATTTGAGTAGGAATATATAGATAGATAAAAATACCCCAGCTCCAGGCATCTCCACAGTGATTTGTAGCAGGATACATTAGGAAGCCAATTTAAGTGGCCTCTTCGAAGGATTAATATGCCATTAGGTCCATCTGGTCCCAATCCACTCCTTGCCTAATTATCTCGAAGCACTCCACTGTCCAGTACATAAATACAGTCGACTCTGAATAATTCAAACTCTCTTAATTCAAACTTTCAGATAATTCAAACTCACTTGCAGATCCCATCCTACGCGCCTCTATGGGAGGAAACTCCCTGTAATTCAAACTTTGCTTTATTCAAACAAGTTTTCGGTCTCCCTCGAGTTTGCATTTACGATATTCGACTGTTTCTCCAATGAAAACAATACAAAAGGGGAATATTTGGTGAAGCTAAAGTGGCGCGTGTTCCAGACGGTGCTCCTCTCGGTGGACGGCTGCGACCCCGTGCTGGCCGACCGGCTCAGGAACCGCCCGGGAGGCTACCAGTGCGCCAACAGCACCACCCACCACCTGGAGCACAGGTGGGATGCCCTGCCCACATCCCGCTCCTGTCTGCCTCTCGGAAACTCCCTGCACTCTGCTCCGAAATTGTTCCAAGTGTGCAATATCTCTTACTAGAATGAACAGTAGGGCTAATAGTTGGTACACGTTCATGATGAAAAACAGCGCGAAACACAAGGACACAGAGGAGAGAATTACACACAGCACAGGGCATTGTTTTTTATCGTGAACACCATCATGCAATTGTCACGAACTTTCTGGAACGTGGACGAAGGGGGCCGAAGCACCCGCCGAGAAGAGACGACACGCAGCCTGGTTGAGGGTGGACGATGACTGACCGGAGCGCGTGCGCTCAACGGCGTTTATTGATGTGGTGATCAATGTTGCCCGCCGAGCCAGGCGGCTGCAGACGGGCGGACTGGAGGGGGGCGCCACTAACTTGTCACACTCCTCCCCCCCAGTTTGTTTGTTAATAAACAAAACTAAACACAATGCGCACGGCCGACACCATCTTGGCGTCTGGCCACGCAAAGTCCCGGCCTGTCGACGATGAAGGTCACCCCGGCGAGTAGCGGTCAGGTGGCCTCCTCTGCCGTGCACTCCGCCTGGGCACTGGTGTCGACGGGCCAGGTGTGGCAACGCCGGGCGCTGCCTGAACTGGTCGCGCTCCACCGGGTGGAGCTACAGGGACCGGATTTGGTTGTGGCACCGCTGCAACTGGTGCCACAGGAGTGGCGACGCTTGTCGCCTCCGGGGTGGGTGGCGCTCCGCTGGCCACGACTGGTGCTGTTGGGCCCCCTGCAGGCTGGTCCTCTGAAGCGACGACCGAGGGTGGAAGCCAGGTCCCGAGGCGAGGCCTGACATGGTCGGCGTGCCGGTGCCAGGTGGTCCCGTCGGGCATGCGGACGAGCAGCGATGAGGCGCTCGCTGGTGAAACCACATGTCCGGCAGACCAGGGTGGGCCAGGACGGAAGTTCCTGGCGTACACCGACGCTCCCGGCTCCGGCAAAGGCCCAGGACGGCACCCTCGGTCAGCAGCCAGCTTCTGCTTCAGCTGCTTCAGGAGCGCCGTGGACCGGAGGTCTGGATGCAAGACGTCCAGGGGGGTCTTGACCATCCGGCCCAGCAGAAGCTCGCAGGGGGCACGGCCAGTGACCTCATGCGGTGTGGTCCGGTACTGAAACAGTACCCGGGCCACCTGGGTCCGGAAATCCCCGGGCTGGCTCCTCTTGAGCTTGTCCTTGATGGTCTGGACCACTCGCTCGGCCGCACCATTGGAAGCGGGGTGGTACGGCGGAACCAGCATCCGGTGGATTCCATTCCTCTGCAGCCAGTCCAGGTACTCGGCGCTAGCGAAAGCGGGACCATTGTCGGACACAATGATGTCCGGCAATCCCTGCGCCGCGAAGACTTGCCGCAGCGCCGCAATGGTCGCGCTTGCCGAGGGACTGGTGACTGGCAGTGCCTCCACCCACTTGGAGAAGGCGTCCACTACCACCAGGAAGTAGTGGCCCTTGAAGGGTCCCGCATAGTCCACATGCAAGCGGGACCACGGCCTCTGTGGGAACGGCCAGGGGGTGATCTCCACGTGGCGCGAGGCTCGCTGGTGCTCCTGGCAGACCTGGCAGCTTTGCACCTGGTGCACGATGTCCTGGTCCAGGCCAGGCCACCAAACGTGCGACCGTGCCACCATCTTGGTCTTTTCGATGCCAGGATGCCCCGCGTGCAGCAGCTGCAGCACCTTGGCCCGCAGACTTTGTGGAATCACCACCCTGGAACCCCACAGGAGGCAGCCTTGCTCCAAGCTCAGCTCGGCGGTCTTGTGGCTGTACCCCTGGTGACGCAGCTCCTCCCCTCGGGAAACCGCCTTGACCACCTGAGACAGGACCGGGTCCCGGCTGGTCGCCTGCGCCACCGCAGTCCTGGTGAGCACCCCCGGGTAGGCCCGCTCCAGCAGGAAAACGTCAGCTGGCTCAGGAACGGCAGCAGGCACCTCCGGCAGGGGCAGGCGGCTCAGGGCGTCGGCAGGTCCCAGGTCCTTCCCAGGGCGGTGGACCAGCTTGTACCTGTAGGCTGCCAGCGTCAAGGCCCAGCGTACCACACGAGCGATGCTTGCACTGGGACCGCCTTGTCAGGTCCCAGCAGCCCCAGCAGCGGCTTGTGGTCCGTGACTGCCTCGAACTGCCGGCCCCACAGGTACTGATGGAAGCGCTGGACCCCGAAGAGGAGGGCCAAGCCTTCCTTGTCGAGCTGGCTGTAGCGTTGCTCCGCCGCATGTAGTCGACGAGAAGCAAACGCCACAGGGCGTTCCTGACCATCCTGACCCCGGTGCGACAGGACGACTCCTACCCCATACGGCGACGCATCCACGGTGAGGACCACAGGCTTGGCCGGATCGAAGTGCACCAGCACTGGAGCCTTAACGACGAGCTCCTTGCTGCGCTGGAAGGCCAAGTCCTGCTCCTTCTTCCAGGCCCACTGCTGCCCGTCACGAAGCAGGCGATGCAGCGGCTCCAGATGCGTCGACAGGTTGGGCAGGAACCTCCTGTAGAAGTTGATGAGGCCGAGGTAGCTCTGAAGCTCCTTCTTGCTCTTGGGCTTCGGCGCCTTGAGCACGGCCTCAATCTTGCGGGGTGCCGGGGCCAGGCCAGCCTGGGAGATGATGTGTCCCAGATACTCCACGCTGGGGGTCAGGAACACGCACTTGTCCAGCCTCAGCTTGAGACCGGCGTCCTGTAGTAGTGTCAGGACTTTGCGCAGGTTCTGCAGGTGGTCCCCGTCGTCGGTACCGGTAACCAGGATGTCGTCCAAGTACACCGCCACGTGCCTCATGCCCCTGAAGAGGTTGTCCATCTCTCTCTGGAAGATGGCTGGGGCTGAGGCCACGCCGAACGGAAGGCGTGTGTACTGGAAGAGTCCCATGGTAGTCGAAATGGTGACGTACTTCCGGGCGGCATCCTGGAGCACCAGCTGCTGGTAGGCATCTCGAAGGTCGAGCTTGGTGAACTTCTGTCCCCCGGACAGAGCTGACCAGAGATCTTCTACCCGAGGCAGCGGGTACTTTTCGACGGTAGCGACGGGGTTGATGGTGACCTTGAAGTCCCCGCAGATCCTGACGCGGCCGTCTCGCTTGAGGACTGGGACAATTGGTGCAGCCCACTCGGAAGACTTGACGGGCACCAGGATTCCCTCTCGCTGCAGCCGTTGCAGCTCCTGGGTGACCCCGTCCTTCAGGGCGAACGGCAGCGGACGCGGCTTGAAGAAGCGAGGCCGGGCTCCTTCGGGTACGTGGATGCCGACCGTCGTGCCGGCGAAGGTGCCCACCCCTGGCTGGAACAGGGACTGGAAGTCGGTCAGGAGGCTCGGGACGTCTTGCACCACGTGCAGCGCAGCTTCTTGGTACTCCGGCAGCCGAACACCCAGCGAGTGAATCCAGTTTCGGCCCAGCAGCGTCGGCGACGACCCCTTGGTTAAGTAAAGGGGAAGGATTGCCTCCCTGTCGCCAAGGCGAACGCTGACTTGGGCCCGACCCTGGACCTGGGAAAGCTGCCCGGAGTAGCTGCGCAGCATGATGTCAGACGCCTCGATGGACACGCCGGGAAAGGTCCGCTTGAACAGTTTCCCGGGCATGACCGACACGCTGGCCCCTGTGTCCAGCTCCATGGTGATGGGGTGACCGCAGATTTCGACGGACACCAAGTATGGTGGCACAGACGATGGAAGTCTGTTGGTGTGCCACACGTCGAAAATCTGCGGGTCCTCGGCCACGACGTGGACCCTGGCTGAAGACGAACCCGGGCCTGGTGCCGCTCGTCCCCGACTCGTTTTCTTGCGACGGCCACCCTGGCCGCGGGCTTGGCTGGAACCCGGGCTTGAACCAGGCTGCTGCTGCTGCTGGCCGCCGCTCGTCCTCCCCCCTCGGCAGACACGTGCGAGGTGCCCAGTTCTCCCGCACGTGAAGCATTGTGCTTGGACGAACTGGCACTGTGAGGGGGAGTGGGCAGCACCGCAGCGGCTGCAGGCACCGCTCCTTGCCGCCATCTTGTTCACCGCCGCTTCCGTCGACGGTGAGCCGGCCGCACGCGCTATCTCGCTGGCGTCTTTCGCTGCTGCTTCCATCGCCAGCGCTGCCTTCACCGCGTCGTCCAGCGAGGGGTCGGGGAGCTCCAGGAGTCTCGTCTGCATGGCGGAGTTGTTGATGCCGCAGACGAACCGGTCCCGGAGTAGCGAGTCCAACTGGTCGCCGAAGGCGCAGGTGCTCGCTAACCCTCGTAGCGCAGCGTCGAACTGCCCGAGGGTCTCCCCGTCCTGGCGGCTCCGGTTGTTGAAGCGGAACCGCTCCATAAGCGTGGACGGCGCCGGGCTGAAGTGCGAGCGCAGCGTGGCGAGCAGCTCACCCAGCGATTTGACGTGCGGCGTGGCCGGCTTGAGGAGGTCGAGCAGGAGGCTGAAGACGCGGGTCCCGCAGCTGGCCAGGAAGATGTCCCGTTGTTTCTCCTCCGGCGTGTCGTTCGCCCGGAAGAACACGTGGACTTGTTCTTCGTAGACTGGCCAGGCGGACCCATCTCCGTCGAACGGCTCGAGCCTCCCGTACAGCGGCATGGCGACAGGAGCGGGGGTGCGGTGTTCCGACTCTCTCGGCGGCGTGGGCCGAACCGTGCACGTTGGTAGCCTCCAGTGCCACGGTTCCTCGTCGCCAGTGTCACGAACTTTCTGGAACGTGGACGAAGGGGGCCGAAGCACCCGCCGAGAAGAGACGACACGCAGCCTGGTTGAGGGTGGACGATGACTGACCGGAGCGCGTGCGCTCAACGGCGTTTATTGATGTGGTGATCAATGTTGCCCGCCGAGCCAGGCGGCTGCAGACGGGCGGACTGGAGGGGGGCGCCACTAACTTGTCACAGCAATATCTCGTTACATACACCCTAGAGCAGTGGTTGGCAACCTTTTTGTTGCAGTGGCTCGAATCGCCACAAAGCTGAGATGGAGCGGGCCGTACGGAAAAATAAAATTTAGGTGTGGGGGAATTAGCCCATAGAAATAAAAGATAAAAAAAACTGTCACTGCTAAGATATTTTCTTGATTCAAGCTAACATAACGTAAGATTACCCTAGCCCCCTCTCAGTAGGATTTTGGGTGTCCAATATTGCTTGCCAAGATTGAGCCATATGACATTTTGGAGGCGCCCGTTCGTTATTTGCAAAACCCACGTATGACTTCACTGTCTTTATCTTCAAAAATTATGCTTGCAGACACGTGCTGGTGCGAACACTTTGATCAAGGCCACTGCAAGGTTTCGTACATCTTAAAACTTAAGTTCCGCCGAAAACTTAAAGACGCCATTCACTGCAAATACATTCTTCAGCTTATTGTTTGTTTGGCGATCAGCTGATCAGCAAACTCTATCTGGCGAATCGCTCGAGTTAGTCCTTCAGCTTGGGCAAGTTGGTGGTCCATGCTTACACTTCACAGTGCAGATGAACAGACACACTTCCAAAGTTCACTCACACAAAGAAAGAACACTCACACAGCACTGACTCTCACTGGTTTGTATTACACTTCTTCATCTTCTTTTACTCTTACATATAACTTGAATTGCAGCTCAAATCACTAGGTGACTTTTCCTAAAGCTGATGAAGGGGTGCTAATACATAAGCTATCTAGCGTGACAATGATCACAGTTTCTACAATTTCTCCCATCAGTTTGTTATTGCTCCTGCCTAGTATGTTGCAGTTGGCCAGAAGTGGAGAACACCCGCAGTCTTGGCAATAGATTCCTAAATAACTCGAGTCAGCTTTGATGGCATTGTTATTGTGTTCCCGAAGTCTGTCATTGAGACATCGTCCCGTTTGTCCGATGTAGTGCTTTTCACGGGAAAGGGGAAACCACTAGATGGCAGAAACCATTGCCCAGTAGTAAAGTGCGGTGTTCCTGCGTAACCAGCTGACATTGGTTCCTGCAAGATCTGCATTAGCCTTTTAAAACTTAACTCATTCTAACCTAACTTAACTGCACCCAACCTAACCTTTAATTAACAATTGTCGCCGTACATGCACTGCGGCGATGACACATTTGAAAGTGCCCGCCTCACTGAAACCGCGCATAGTACCGCAGGGGGTGTTCATATTTGTTGTGTCTATGGTAAACTATAGCTGTTAGACATAACTAGAGTTCCGCGTTTTCGGTTTTTATTTTTTCAAAATTCGGCGTACTTTTTTCGGTGTTTATTTTAAAATTCGATTTTCGGTTTTTTTCGGTGTATATTCATTCTCAAAAAATTTTACCGGTTTTTTTCGGTGAACATGAAGGAAGCACCATCGGACACGGGATCAGATGATCACTCAAAGAATAACGGCACATATATAAGCGTGGTCTTCGCTACAACTTCTGTCAGGACACACCTCAAAATCGCGGAATTCGCGGGCATAATCTTCAGCACGCTTCTTTTTCCTTCCCATTCTGACGGCGTGACCGTCTGAGGTGATGACCGTACAGAAACCAGTGAAACGGCAAAACAAAATCTATTGTATTTATGTTTTTAACCACAGGAAAGTTTGAGAGATGGTGATAAGAAGGTATCAACGGCTTTCCTCCATGTCTTCTGAAGTGCACGACACCCGAACTTTTTTTAAGAACAGGGACCTGACAAACTAAGCCCGATCACAGAAAAAACACAGATGTCCCGTGAAAGCCAATCCAAGACCTCTTTTGTTGCATGTTGAACCTTGGAAGAGGGCAATTACGAAGACGTCACACAATGTCGAACCTTGCAAAGCCCTCTCTCCCCTCCCCCCTCCCCCACCCACCTCGACGCGGCCCTAAGAGACTAACCTTTTTTGGTTATAACCGAATTTTAGAAAACGGATTAGACGTACTTTTATTGGTTTAAACCTAAAACGCTGAACCTACAAACTGACCTTTTTCGGTTAAAACCGAATTTCCAAAAATGAATTCGGCGTACTTTTATCGGTTTTTATCGGTTTAAACTGAAAACTCCGAACCCTAGACATAACACAACCTCGAAACTGCTGGTAAGCAAAAGACTATACACACTCGCACTGACTTTTTGTTTAAAGACGTTACATTCACATGGTGTTCCGCTTTGATAGGGCTATTTAGTTTCTAAATTAGAAACTCTATGTATGTGATATGCATATGATGGTTGCTTTGCATATCAGTTGCTCTGGCAGTGGTGGCAATTAGAGCGCTGGCTCTTCCAGTTGAAATTTTTAACGCTTTTCCGAATGAAATTTAGAGGATGAGAGCTTACCATCCAATGGAGAAGCCTTGTAAACTCCTTCCGGTTTGGTATCTGAACCCGCCGGAATGTCGCAGAAGCAGATGTACCAAAATAAAACCGAACGGAAGAGGGGTGACAACTTTGTGCATTCAACATTTCCACTTGATGCTTCTAGACATAAATAGCTTGTGAGTGCTGCATGTGCTCCTACTAGTGGTTCTCAAATGGGGGTTGGCAAACCCTTTAGGGTCTTAGAAGGCCTCCTCGAGGTTCCCCAAGCCCTCGCCAGTCAATCAATTCGATCAATAAAACTTACTTTTTTTATCATTGATGCTGGCTGTCCCACAAAGCTAGGTAGACCAAATCATGTGTGTTGAATAAGTAGGATCTATTCTTCATTTTAGAGCTTCAAAGTTGGTTCATATGCATTTCTTTACCCTTTTGTCGTCGTAATTGTCTAACACCCTCGTTCCCCGAGTGGATAGGGTCCCCGAGCGCTTCTGCTGATCCAGAAGGTGTTCCCAAAACATCAGTGGTTGAGGACTGCTGCACCAGATGGTTAAGAAAAAAAAAATGGTGCATTGATCTTTTTTAAGGCGAAAGCCTTATATGTCCCATTACGCGAAAAGGCGGCGTTGGCGTTGTGCCCAAACGATGGCCATAAAAATACATCATCGTGCTTGCGCCGCTCAAGGTCAAAATGTACGTGCCTCAGAAATAAAACACAAAGAAAAGCACAACAACCAACAACGTGGATGCTTCGTCACGAAAGCTTTCATAGAGAAGGCGGGGCTTGCCACGCCTGCAAAGGGGGGGAGTGTGATGTCACTGCCGTAGCGCAGTGTGAAAAAGAAAGATGTGGCACGCTGCTTGTAGGAATGCTCTCACATTCCCACACATAAGCAGTCTTAAGTGTCTTTCTTATTCTCTTTCTTCGGAAACAAAACCCAACCCCTGGGAAACATCTTTTGGGAAAAGAACTCGACCTTCCAAGGGTTGAACAGCCTTTCTCATTTGCCCTCCAGCCCTTTCTCTTTACTTAAGTGTTGCTTGCCCTGTTCAGGGTGAGAGATTGATGAGGACTGGCCCCTGACTGCCATTGGCAGGTGCTCGGACGCGATGCAGACCTGCTACCGGTTCCTGGACCTGACCGGACCACTCCAGCTCGGTGGACTGCCAGACCTTCCAACCCACTTCCCGGTGTCTCAGATGCACTTTGACGGCTGCATCCGGGACCTCCACGTGGATCAGCAGCTGGTGGACCTCAACAAGTGGGTTTCGGACCGGCCCCGATTTGAAATGCATTTTAACGGAAGCCGAGTTCAGGTTTCCGTCGCCTAGCTGTAGCCGTATGGTACGGTTGCCGAATCAATTTAGCGTGCTAATGTTCCTGCTAAATTTTATGGGAAGCCACCATGGCTCATTTGGTCAAGTTGCTGGTGCCGGTGTAAATCACGTGACTATGTGATGTGTGTTGGGCAACACTAGGTGACGTGGCATCACTGTGTCACGTCATGGTGCCATGTAACTTCAGGTCATTTGACGCCTTAAGGGGGGACATGGCCTGGGAGGGTCAACTTTTGAACCGTTTCCTTAAATTGATTCAAACTTTCAGGGTCTATTGAACCCCATTAGGATTGATGACATCTAAAGCTTCAGTCTTGTAGGGCAATTCTACAACACACAGTGCTTAAGAAGCTCCAGAAAAAAGTGACTTCAGTAGGAAATGTATTTAAAAAATATAATAATTGCAATCCCCAAAACGTTTGTTTTAATGTAAAGTAGAATACCCATAGTGCAAGTTAAGGTATAAATTAATTGTAGAAAATGCTATTCTAGAGAAAAACAATAACACTCAAAAAGTGCTAAAGATTTTAACAAAATTCTGTGTTTTAAAATATTCAGTTTTTGTCAGGAAGAAATTGGCTTTTTCAGAATATGAGTACCTTAACTTGTTCCTCAGGAAATTTCAGTCCAGGACACCACTGAATGAAATCTTTACACTTTCAAAATATCAAATGATACATTTCCTCATACCACATTTCCTGCCAAAAAGCGGAACTGAGAAAAATGCATTTGAAGTTTCCACTTTAGGTTTCTTTCTTTTCTATGAGCCCGAGGTAGGCAAAATTCACCTGGGACATTGTTAGCACCTTCCTCTTTGAGACTTTGCTGTTCCCCTGGCAATAGCTACCAGTTTGTGTCATTTGTAGGCAAGCTAACTTTTGTGGCAGGCATTTTTTAACAAATAAACTGGCAAGAACTAAGAGGCAAATCATGCTAAGGAAGAGCAGCAAAGCAGAAATATGATCTGAAGTGGAAGATACTGTGAAAGGGTGTTACTGAAGACGACACAGTATCATATCAACGGGTAGGACGAATAGTGAACCCTGTTTCGGGTCTCAACCAATGAATTGCTCATACCAAATTTTCAGGATTTTTTCTGTTTGGGTGTAAAGGGTTTTCCTGGCCATTGATACTTTTAAACTTTGAAAGTCTCTACGGGCTAAATCTAGAGTAAATGGCGCTTCAAATGAAGGTGAGATGTTCTGGCTATGTTAAACGAGTATGAAGCAGCACTAAATAAAAAACACACAAACTTGCTCCCTGCTGACTTGGAGGGCTGCCGACATGTCGAAAATAATTTATTGCGAGATAAATCCTGCATGTTTATAAATTAAATTTTCTGAAACCATTCTTTGGAAGTTAATAAACATAAACATATAATTTTTGAAAAAAACATTTTTTTCTGAAAATTTGGATTTCAGAGGCCATGTCCCCCCTTAACAGCACGTGAGAATGCAATGTCACGTTATCGCACTGTCCAGATTTGGATATATCGGGTGTTTCAGCAGAGGCTTTAAAATCTCTAAGAGTAGACTGGTTGAGAATATGATAGAAATTTTCTGGGAACAAACTGCCAGTCACGATGAACGTCGGAAGTTGCAAGAAGCACTAACTAACAAATGTAGGGGAGTACAAAAAAAATTGCAGTACTTTGTTAATCAACAGTAGTCGGAGCGATAGCTGCAACACGTCACGGCGAAGTCGTTGGGCGTTGGTGTCACATTCACGTACTGTAGTATACGGGAACAAAAGCATTCGGAACAAAATGGGCACCTGACCATTTTGTTCCGAACGCTTTTGTTTCTTTTTTGTTCCGAAGCTCATGAAAGTGTGTTTCCTGGCTCAAGCTCTTGGCATTGGCAGTGCTATGGTGGCATTTTGTTATCGTTATCAGGAAAGAAGGTACGAATGCATGAAACCACTGCACCTGCGAAAATTTAAAAAAAAATACAGTAATCTTTCTCAACTCAAACTCGGCTATTTCTAAATATCAGTTAAGTCGAAAGATATCCTTGTCATGGAATGAACTCCGATGGGCACAATGCATATTTGGAAAGGTTTTCAGGAGGGACCTCTGATATCTCAAAATCTTGTCAACAAAAATTACAGAAAAACAGGGCAGGGCACAGCAGATGATTAACATGGTGGCCCAAATACTTTTTAACAAAGAAACGTCAATAAAAAATAAAAAGAATTTAAATATTTTGCATCATTGTGTATAACAATGCGCAAAGATAACAATACAAAGTGGTGGCCCATCCATTTTTTGACAAAGAAACGGCAATCCAAAGGAAAAACAAAATGGAAAAAATGGTTTGCGTCTCTGCGTGCAACAATCCGCAAAAAAACAATACGAAGTCCCGACACGGGACTTCGTATTGTTTTTTTGCGTATTGTTTTTTTGCGGCAACTCGGTGAGCAGTGTGTGCATCAAGAATGTTCGTTGTTTTAGTTTTTTTCTCCCCCAAACTCGGCTTAGCATTCGGTTCCGCTGTTTTGCCGCTGTTTCTCTCGTGCTCAAAATTATCTTCCACTCTTCATCGCTTTTTTTGTTTGCTTTCTTCAGTTTTTTGTTTCATCTCATAACTATTGCTTGTTGATAATTTTGCTCTCCCCACAGCACCCTGTGTCTATTTGCGAGTCCAGCGACCTATAGGGGGCACCACCCCCAAACAAACGTGGTGACAGGGAACAGGTCGCGTCGGGTCGGCCGGGCCAGCTGAACGGGAGTTGCGTTCAATTTAACAGATTTTCTTGGTTCAATGCCCTATGTTCTAGATATTTGAACTGCGACCGTTAAGTGTAGCCGGTGAATCTGACCTTCAGAGCATAGTTTTGTTTTCCCAGCGCTGTGTATTCTTTTCATATCAAACTTTTGTTTCAGGAATTTCAATCAAAACTGAAACTGTGGGCTCCAGAGTGGTTGTAATTAGCTCTATTCAGACTTGATCAGCTAAGGACGGCAGTGATGGCTACGGAATTGTGCCACCGAGCTTAATTTTTAACCAACTCGCAAGCCTCGAACACACGATTCATTTGTCTGCGGAATCTAGCATTTGTGCATATCCGCATTTAATGAACAGCTCTAGTCATCGGCTCAGACAACAGCTCAAGCTGCACAAAAATTGCGAAAATTAAGCAAGTGCTTCTTGAACCGAGGAGCACGTTAACCTGCTGGCACCCCACTAAGCCGCCTATAATCGTATTCCACTTCGGGTTTTAGTGTCAATCGCGGAGTCATTTTGATGAATATGCTGGTAATGTATGAACCTACGTATCATGTCCCACTAATGGGTTGACATTTGAGCTTAGTTGCCTAGCTAGTAGGTGTACTGCAGAATAAAAGTATTTTACCAAAAGTGAGATACCACTTCAACTCGACCAAATGGCAGCCGGCAGCACAGAGGCAAACGTGGACAAACTGGAAAGAGAGTCTCCATCGGAGATCCACGCAGACTTTTGTACATCGTACTTGACTTCGAACCCCGAATGGAGACATTGAGTAAATTATGGGCAAATAAATATTTTTGGCCGGACAGCCTGAAAAATGTAGTAGACGTATATTGCCGCTGGCTGCAACGGGGCATCGTATAAATTTTGGAGGTGCAAGAACTCGTGTTGTCATGACAGCCTCTGACTTTGCATGACGCGTCCTCCACCTTTTGAAAGCAGACAATTGCCCTCCCTAATCGTACTCAGTGGGCAAGTTTTCCGAAATCACTTAATTGTGAAATTGGCCCAATTCCTTCGGTGTGCTCGGGGGGCTTTTTCGGCGGGAAGCAGCTAGCACACCGACCAGTGTTGGTGACTCGATCTGTTGGCTAATCGATCACAACCAAACTCAGGAAAAGCAGCTATCAAATTTTCGCTTTCACTTGACTGCAACACTTGTGCTTCCTCCAGCGACACACGAAGTCTGTCGCCCTTGGTCCGCTGTTCTACATCCCTATTAACCACTTATTAGTTAGCAAGTAGTTGTCACTTCGAATGTGATTCGAGACAGACAAGAACTCAAAACATTTTTTTGTGATTCCTCCCTATCCAAGAAATCAAAAAAAGGTGACCTTATGTTGTGGGGTAAGCGGGCTTTAAATTATGTGATGAAGTAAACAATCTACTGAAACTTCACCACACTAATGAACACTCAGGCACGCTTAACGAATATTCTGACTTTTGTCAGTTTACATTGTTCGCCACCGTGCCGACAACACATGTTCGCAAAAACCACCAGAGACGTGGAAAGGCGCAGAGTGACCTGTTCCAGCTGGTTTCCTGTTTTCCCGCTAGATGCCGTTAGTTTTGCTGGAGTCGTGAATCGGCACAGTTGTTGGAAGGGGTCCATTTGCAGAATGCACGATCGGTGCGATGAAAATTCGGTACCTTGCTTATCTCGAATTATTTTCTAATTTTTATGACCTCGTGTTAACGAGGGTTTACTGTAAAGAAGCAAATGCGCATCCTCAGTGGACAAATACGGACACTGTGCACTGTGCACAGTGCACAGTGTCATAGCACGGGTGCCACGAGCCAGGTGATACTTTGGTGGTTCTCCCCTCTGAACTCTCCGGCCAAAAAGGTGGGAGCCTTTCTACGAACGTTGCCCCGGCCAAAAGATCGTCCCCCAAAGGAAAGAGCGCAAGGCGTTATTTACCAGATTCCTTGTGCGGACTGCCCTGCCACATACATCGGCGAAACCAAAAACTTTAAAGAAAGACTTCGCCAGCACAAAACCGACGTGCAAAAATTCGATCATGAGCGCAGCGCGGTTGCGGAACACAGTGACTCGAATGACCACCGCATTGACTTCGACGACACACGTATCCTCGACATTGAGACCAATTCCCGGCAAAGGCTCTTCGTCGAGTCATGGCACATTCAAACCACACCGCAAAACATCAATCGGTCGCTTGGCGCTTTACCGTCGGCTTACGTCAGCGGGCTCAGCCACATTACGATCGCGAAAACATCACGTCCACCGCCGTAAAAGAAGACCACTTGCTCCTCGCGCACACAGTCGCCCCTGAAGAAGAAACCAAGCAGGTTTCGAAACGTTGGGCTCCTTTTTATTTTTGGTTGGCGTTCCGTCCTCCTCTTCTAATTGTTCTTACCCAACCAGGCAGATTTCTGCCAAATGTTTACTTTCAAGTTTCTACGAACGTGCTTTCATTTGGGATGTTGCGGCGAAGGCGACCGACCGTAAGAGAGAGGCCATCCCTGGCAGAGCCCAGAGCGGGAGCGTTGTGTTGTGCAGGTTTGTGGCCAACAACGGCAGCACGGCAGGTTGCCACGAGAAGCGGGGCTTCTGCCAGACCAGGCCCTGCCAGAACGGGGGCACCTGCTCCGAGGGGTGGAACAGCTTCCTCTGCCAGTGCCCCTTGGGCTTCGGGGGGCGTGACTGCAGTGAGGGTGAGGACGCCGTGCGCAGTCGGCTCCCTGCGACACCGTGCGCAGTCGGCTCTCCTGGCATTTTTTAACGCAGAACGTGCTACGTGGCTGGCACCTAGCAGTTTCTGGTTTCGAGTGTCTGGAAAGAGTAGAAAACACGAGGGCTGCTTCAGTGTTCAGTTGGAACTCGCACCCTCGCCGATTGAACTCAAATTCCAGCCAAACACCGAGACAACGCTGGTGTGCAATCTGTGCCCGGCCTTCAATGAGGGATCTAACCCAGCACTACGTCCTTGCTGAGGACCATTCGGGCAGCCGCGTTTGACTATGTAAAGGTGGCTGTGTTCCCGATGTTACTCAAGTTGATCGTAATTTTTCGTGAGGAAACTATTGGAATATCTACGCAGATTCATGGCTACGAATGCTAAAGTTATGCGCAAACACAGTTTGTCGACAACTCGCAATAATTTTCGCCTCTGATTTCAGTTTTAGATGTGAAATTGCACTGTTTCTTGAGCGCAAAAAAAACCTTGTCTGCAAAACTGCAGTTTCAAATTGTCGAGTTGAAGCCTCGTTTGCTTTCCCTGGTAGTCGCCAAGGGCGGCGTCGTAAGTTCACGCTGCTCTGCTCCCTCCTAGAGTGTGTACAGTTTCCCTGGATTTAGCCTCCAAGCTGCCCATTCACAAATATTTTGAGCTATTATTTAAATGCTCGGTTGTCATTATTCTTTTTTTTTTATCCTAGCAGAATTGAACTCATTTATTGTTATGCACTCCAATGAAGTTTCATAAGTGTCTTCAAATTCTAGACCCACTTCAATGTGCCGGTAAAAAAAAAAACGAGGAAGAGCCGGCTTTTTTTGCATGCAGCAATATTGTTCTCACCAGGCACTGCCTCTAGTTTGACTTAAACCATCCTACCAGTCGCAAGGCATCCGTGGTCTGGATGCTCTTGTCCAAGGCGAGGACTGTTGCTTGTCTGAGGCTGACAGAAAACAAGATGAGGAAATCGTCTTTGCTGACCTCAAGCTACATGAGCACTTTTATCCTCCCCGGCCTTAGCGTGTTGTGTGTTGGGACTGTGTGGCTGTCTGATGCGCCCGGTGGGCCTGTCCCCCGTGCAGGGGTGGAGCCCGTACGTCGCTTCGACGGGGACGGCTACCTGGTGTTCAACCCCCTGCTGCGCCCCATCCAGTTCCCCTGGTCCTTGGGGCTCACCTTTCGCACGAGGACTCCTGCGGGACTCTTGCTACATCTGCTCGTCGGTCAGGGCTCCCACACTTCCTTGCAGGTGCGTACATGCTCCCTCAGCGGTGCTCGTGGTCCCGAAGACGTCCATCGAATGTCGTGATGTTGCACAAACGTCTGTAGGACCCATTGTAATGTCCCACAAATTACTCTAAGACATTGTAACATCCCAGAGACATCTTTAGGATGTTTTAATATCCAGCAAACGTCTCTAGAATGTCCTAACGTCCACACTATAGTTAGCGACAACTCAAGAAGGTAGGGCGAGAGAAAGGAAGGTGGGAGAGGAGGAAATGGATGGAATAATGACAAGGGAAGGAGGAAACTTCTTCCCTTCGCCAGCGTTGCGTCCACTTCCTCCTCTCCCGCATTCCTTTCCCTCGCCCTACCTTCTTACCCTGCAACATACTATAGACGCACAAGACGTTGCAACAGGGAGAACGTGTTCAGTCTAACAGCCAAGCCAATCCAGCAGTAGTGGGTGGGGCCATCGTTCTTTGGGTGAGGACCAGAGTGGGTCATGACCTCCGCCTAAATTGCAGATCGTGGCATAAATATTGCACTAAAGTTTTTTTTTATTTTTTGTGGAACTTTTAAAATTAAATGTGTTCCATCTAGGCACTTCAAAATGTTTTATATTTTATTTCAGTGTTTTTTTGAGCCTTTCAAAGGCAACTTTATTTTATGGGAAAAAACTACATACACCAGGTTTTTTTTGAGGAAGAAATGTTTTGTTTTAGTGAGATGGCAAATATTAGGTCAACAAAATAGGTCTGGACAACTCATTGCCTATATGATGTCAGATCCCCTGCCAACCCTAGTACTCGCCCACTAGATTTTTGGCTCAGAGTCGTCTTGTTTCAGTAACATAAAAAAATGTATTGACATGTACCAACACGTAAATTTTCCGAGAGAAATAACTCGAGTCATGACGAATATCGTTTATAACAAAAGCATCCGTTCAGTGGATTGTACTGCCTCAGCCATATCGCATATCGTTTCGGCCCTTTCTGCGCTCCAAGCCCATACGCCACACTCGCATTGTATGCTTTTTATCTGCATAAAAATATCCAGGGTGGATATATTTTGGCTAGAATAGCCCTTTGAGAGAACTGTCCAGAAGGACTAGTCGAGCAAGGAGGTTGTTTGCCAGCGTGGGAGATGTGCCTCTGAGTTGTGCGGTTCCAGGTTGACGGCGGGCACCTGAGGTACGACGTGGACGGGGAGAGCGTGCTGCTGTCGGACGTGCGAGTGGACGACGGCCGCTGGCACCAGGTGGCGGTCAAGTGGATGGTTGGAGACGTTTGGCTCAGCCTGGACCACGGACAGCATACGGTGAGGGCGCTCATCATCATGTTCGTTCGTCAGCTCTCGGCCGTCGTCGGGAAGGAAGTGGTTGCACAAGCCCTCAGCTACTTGTGGACGTCAAGCGTGACTACGCTAAGACCAAATCTAGATCTTTGCTCACCGAAAGAAAGAACTAAACTTGCTTGTTTTGTCATTTATTTAACATTTTTCTTCTTCTTTTTATTGCCATTAATGTTCCAAAACATCATTCACTCTTTTGCATTGTGAGCCCAACTTAAAAGTAAATCCATCGTTCGCCATGAAAGATAGTAATATTTTCTGTATAATCTGTATGTTGTTTATAATTAACCAAACTGTTATTCGGCCACTCTCATTCTTGAATCTTTTTTTACTAGATCCCCTCTTCATATACAGCATAGACCACTTACAACGTAACCGCTTATAGTGCAGGACCGGGTATAACACGGTTTTTTTAAACCACCGGTTCGCCTCCCATAGAACTCCATGTAATTATATACCGCTTAAAATGCAGGCGCGCGAAGGGAAATACTGGTCATAGTGCGGTTTCTGAAACAACCCGCCGACCGCGCCGCCGACCGGCGCAGCGAACACGCTTCTTTGTGCAACACTAGATAACGGCGCTGACGCAACACGCTGACGGCGCTAGCCGCAAACGGCACTCGCGGGGCAAGGAGTTTGCTCGAAGAAGCGGGGAGAAGCAAAGAGAGAGGCTTCAGTTGCCATAGCGACGAAGGGACGCACAAACGTGTCGTTCACGTGCTTGCGTCTTTCCGCTGTGTTGGAAAACAACTGCAACGACAGACCAATCGCAGGTCGAGGTCATGGGCCGGCTTCTTCTAGCCGCAAACATGTCGTCGGTTGTGATCGGCGTCGTAGACGGCGTGGTGCAAGCTCATCGTTCCGCGTAAAAGCGCTATCCTTGACTGTGAATTTTCGTTGTGTGTCGCTATGATAACCCAGCACGTACTATAAGGGAAGATCCACCAACTCGTGCGGCGATGTCGTGGTGGCACTCTCAAGACGGCAGAAACGCCCGTGACGTCGTGTTTGTTTACTTCGACTACAGTGGTGATTTCTAAGCATTTGTGTCCTCGAACATCGCCCGGATTTCTTATTTGGCGCATTTCATGCGTGTGCTCAAGTTGAAGGTACTACTGGCGCGTACCATATGAAGGATGTGAAATTTCACGCGTTTTCATCACCGGAGAAAAGTGATAAAGGTTAGCAATCCTGAACGCCCGCAACGTCCGTCTGCAACCTGCGACGCCGTTAAAAGGCTGCGCCAGGCAAAAGCCGCTCATTTCTTTCAAAATGTGTGACACACTTGAGACAGAACTGTACTAGTCTGGTGAAATAAAGACTTTCCTTAGACTAAGCTTTATTTTTCATCTAACATAAAGAATTTACAAAGGTAAGTTGTCTCATGGCATGTATTTTGGCCTGAAAAATTGATGTTTTGGTTATAGCGCGGTACCGCTTATAGTGCGGATTTTCTTGACTCCCGCGACATATGTTATATGCGGTCTACACTGTAATGCGCTTTATTTGAAGTGCCTTGCAGAATAATAAACCGAAATCGAAACTGTAAAGCCTGCCGGGTAAAGCAGGAAAGCCGTTTGCTTCGAGATCGAACCATGTTGGCACATGGCAACTGAAATTCTAAATGTGCCAAGCATGTTTACAACCGATACGCGATGTTTACAATCGACGACGCACGGCGGTATCCACCGCCGTGCGTTGTCTACTACAGGCGCACATTCAGAAGCATGGATCTCAATGACGCAAGCCCATTTCCGGCTAAGCTAAGCCCTCCTCATTAAACGCTTCTTGTTTTTGTTGTTTCTTCCAACTAAAGGGTCTATTTTATCGTTTCACACGCATGGAAATTCAGCAAAGCAATTTAACGAAGTTGGATGCTTCCATAATCTTAGTGTTGTGGTATGTATAGAACTGCTGGTCCCACATATTATTTTTTATCTCGCACAAACCATAGCTTTTATAAAACATTGGATGTTGATTGGAGCTGTGGTTTGATTAAAAATTAATCTGCCTGATCGCTACCCTTTAATAGACTAATCAATTGATAAATTCATTAGTTGATTTTTCACCGGTCACATTAGACGTTAAAACTACACTTTTTTTAAACTATTTTTACTATGTACTAAATGGCATATTGCATTCCCATTTTAAACTTCACGTTGTGACGACTACAGAAATATGAACACGGGAAACCTTTTTAAGTGAAGTAATTTTTAAGTTATGGTATTATTTGAACACTATAATCACCCTCGATGACAATAACAAGCATGCTGAAGTGGTTTACCATGCAAGCCTGTGTCCTAAAAGAAATAAAGACATCAGAAATATTAAAGCAGGCATTTTTTACTTTTTCCTGACTTTCTCCAGCACAAGATTACGATTAAATTGCGAGAAGAAAATATTACAATTAAAGCATCACTCAAATAATCTGAAGGTTAATCAATAAACTGCAGAGTCCCGATATGAGTTAGGTGAGGGCGGAGGGTGATCGGAAGGTCTCGTTAGAGTCGTTAGCCCTCATCAGTCCCTTAAAAAAATTTTCATTGAGTTTCAATTGAGTTTTTTTATGTATTTTAATTCTGAATCCTAAATGACAGTAGTAATTTTTCGCCGTAGCTATTATTGCGCAATAAATATTGAAGACGCAATCACGTTGTTACCTTGCAGCTAATTGATGGGCGCATGAATGTTCACCAAAACTGTCTTTCTCATAAGCATTTTCTTTTGTAATCTGTAAATAGAGTTTTCCTAGAACCTACAGAGTGAATTTTGGGAAGCATTATCCCGCATGTTACTACGTTCGTATAGACGAGTTTTTTTAAGCAACTTGGAAGAAAATGAAAACAATTGTGTGGTCCCTTTAAAACGGGCAGGCCTGGTCGGTACTCTCGATGCACTCCGGCGAGCCTTTGGTTTCTTTAGGAAGCCCCGTTGTAGGTTCAAGCTACTGCAGTTGATGAAATGCTCTAAAGGCAGCTTCACACACGCATCTTGGTGCCGAGATAGTGCAAAGTTAACATGGGTCGGCGCAGCTGTGAGTGGCTACACGGCGCTGGGTTAGCGCTGCACTACGTGCAAAAGCAAGAAAACGCATGCACGTCGGAGCATCGATATAGTGCAAAGTCGGCACTGTCTCCATGGCGCCGATCTAGCGCTGCGGCGCGTGTGCGAACAGCCTAGAACGAACGGTTTACCGAGAAAGGAGCGCTCTGGCCGCAGGTGTCCCAGCAGTTTGCAGCAGCCATCCAGGGTCTGTACGTGGGCAAGGTGTCCCTGGGTGGAGTCGAGGACGGAGAGGCCAACTTCAACGGCTGCATCCAGGTATGATCCCCATGCGGCTCCGGTGTCTCGACGCGCCCGCCGTCGTTCGTCCTGCTCGCCGCCTGGTCCTAGAGCCCCAGAATAAGCTACGCTTTGGAGTTGGTGACAAGGCAGAACGATATTATCCGAGCTTTTTGATTCTATTCGCGACTCCAGCAAAACGGACGCCGCCAAGCGGGAAAACCGGGAACCAGCCGGTCCAGGTCGCTCCGCGCCCCTCCGCGTCTCTGGTGGCTTTCGCGGAGACGTGTTGTCGGCGCGGTGGCGAACAATGTAACTTGACGAAGGTCCGAATATTTCTTAAGTTCGCCTGAGTGATTATTAATGTGGTGAAGCCTCAGTAGATAGTTTTCTTCTATTACGTGTTTGAATGAATGCCCGTTTACTCCACAGCACACGGTCGCGTGCTTTCGATTTCTTGGATGGGGAGGAATCACGGAAAATCTTTTTGATTTCTTGTCTGTTTCGAATCACATTCAAAGTGACGACTGCTTGGTAACTGATACTGGATGGAACATCAATGTTGCAGTCAAGTGAATGGGAAGGTTCGATAGCTGCTTTTCTTGAGTTTGGTTGTGTTCGGTTAGCTTCAAGTTTGAGCCACCCACGCCGGTCGGTGCGTTGGCTATTCATCTTAACTGTTTTTCGCCGAAAAAGCCTCTGGACCACACTGAAGGAGTTGGGCTGTTTTCGCAATTACTTGATTCAGGAAAACGTGCTCGCTGCAAATGATGAATGAGGGAAATTATCTGTTTTCAAAAGGTGGGAAACAAGTCTCGCAACGTTAGATGCTGTCACGGCATTTTGACCTATCGCGCCTCCAATATTTATATTACGAGGATGTCGAAGCCAGCAGCAATATACGTCTACATTGGTCAGGTTGACCGGCCACAAAAAAATACTAATTTTCTCCGTTCAGGATTCGAAGCAAAGTTCAATGCAGAGAGGTTCTGCGTGGATCTTCAATACATACTCTCTTCAGTTTGTCTCCGTGCTGCCGGCCCATTTGGCTAAGTTTAAGTAGTATGTCTCTGTCTGTCAAATATACTTTTATTCAGCAGCTCACCTAATAGCTAGTCAACTAAGCTCATATTTCAACCCGAAGGATATACTAATATCGCTTTAGTGGGACCATAGTACGTAATATAATACATAACCCGCTTGTCAAAATGACTTCTCGATTGCTACTAAAACCTGAATTGAAATACGAGTATCAGCTGCTTAGTGGGGCACCGGCGGGTTAACATGGTCCTTGGCTCAAAAAGCGGTTGCTTAATTTTCGTAATTTTCCTGCAGCCTGTGTTGTTGGCCGAGCAGACGACTGGAGCTGTTTCGTAAACGCGGATACGCACAAAAGCTCGATTTCGCGGACAGATAAGTCGCATGGTCGAGGCATGAGAGTTAGCTGAGAAGTTACTCTCGGTGGAACAATTCTATAGTCATCGCCGCTTTCCTTAGATGATCAAAACTGATTTGTATATTACCGTCTCTCCGGAGCCCGTAGTTTCGGTTTTGAACGAAATCTCCGAAACGAAAGTTTGACACGAAAAGGACAAAAAAACACAGGCAAAACAAAACTATGCTTTGCAAGTTTATCTGCACCGACTACACTTAACCGTCTCAGTTCAAATAATAATAAAATTGGGCATTAAACAAAAGAAAATCTGTTAAATTGAACGCGCCACCTGTTCAGGCGGCCCGGCCGAGCCGCCGCGACCTGGACTCAGCCGCCATGTTTGTTTGGCGGTGGTGCCCCCTATAGGTCGCTGGAGTCGCGAATACCTAAAGCTCAGGAAGTCACTTTTGCGAGTCTTAACGATTGTGAATTGCACCCGCTCAGCACTAAGACCAAAATGGCAGCGCCCATGGGGAAATTGGGAAATGGAGATTCGACGCCCTAACGTGGCTTAATTAGCGGCTGCACCCATTCTCTACCGGAGCAGACTGCCGAACCGGGCTGTTCGATTAGTCACGCGGGCAAGTGTCACTGCGGAAGGGGCGCTAGTTCCGCGGCACTCGATGATGTACGGTGGTGCAAAAAACCAACGAAGCCGCACGAGCGTTTGGGTGCATCGTGCCGGCAACAACTCTCTTGTGTCCGTTGTTTTTTGCACCTTACACCATGATTTCCAACATTGACCAACTAGCCCAACTACAATTCCTAAAGAGAAACCATTTGCGCCGGGCGCCGGCCGGTTGCGAGATTCGCAGTCATCGGCATTCAGCGATCCGACCTTGCTACGTTGGATTGTGCCGTGCTCGGCCGTGCAGCTCGTAGCCGAATCTGAATGGCCGCTAATCTCGGAACCGCTCCAATCTCACCGGGATTGGTTCCCCTTGCCGCCGTTATTACATGTGCGTGTAGTCCGAGGTTGCGCACTTGTGCCACTTTGTTGGCTTCATCGACCGCTGTACACCGCCCAACACTATTGGCATTATTGCGACGTCAGCGCACATTAGCATTTTACTCTGAAAAGGTATCGGCAGGCATCAAATTTTACCGCTTAGGTTAGTGCTCCAAACGAGCCCTTTGCACCGCGCTAGTAGTTTTGATGAGGGCTCTTCGATACTAAGAAAAAAACTGGCTATCACCTGTTTGTGCTAACGGTGTTGTGCGGTGTATGTTGTGCTCCCAGAATCGATTGTGCGGCATGTTAGGAAGCAAAAATGAGTGTAAGGGACTTGGGAAGGGATGGGGAGCACGATGGTTAGACATTTTAGGAGGTTGAGGCACTGCAAGATTACAAGTGACACTGCTATGACCGAGTTGAACCGCAGAGATAGAAGTCTTAGCATTCGCGCTTTGCATTTTGTGACATTTGGCGGAGTAAACTTCTCTAATCATTGAAACGATGCACGCTGAAAAATGCCTTCACGACTCTTGTCTTGTTTTACTGCACTGTTGATAAATTTCTTCTTTCCTTTTATGCCTTCTTTATGTGTGCTTCGGGCATGTTTAGTATATTCATCTTGTTACTGCAAATGGGTCTTTGGAAATTGAAGATGTATCATACTTTTTTAACTATGGTCTCCACCCAATGTATAGTGCGAAGAAGCAAATTTCAGTTGAAAACAAAGCGTTTTCTTAGACACTCCAAACCGTGCGTAGTCTGCACATGAAACATTCTGATACACAGCACACCTTGGCAAGTGCCTGCTTTATTAGCTCATGAAGAAGTTTGTATCGTATGTAAATAGTCATTAACACACTCTGTCATATCTTTTCATAATGAATAATCAAAAAAAGGGTGCCCTTTTCACCCCGAATGTGGGAAGAAGGGAAAGCAGTAGCTGTACCATGTTCACACAGCACGGGTAGCCTCTCGTAGGGGGTCAGTGTGGGCGCGATGCCGGTTGCGAGCCACAGAAGCCAGTCGTTCCCTCCACGCTCGCTCCTGGGGCCTTGGCACAGCAGTGCCATTAGGAAGAGTCTACAGCAGCGGCGACGCAAGCGAAAGCCTAGGCTCTCCCGGTGCTGTTAAGCGGTGAATAGGGGGGGTAATGCTGGCGTTCAGTGATGAGCGGAGAGGCAGACGGACGCAGATAAATGATGCAAACCTCTGTGAGAAGGGCGGGTGGAAGGCGACGAGTTTAGGCAGAACACATTTTATGTTTCGAGTTGGGTTAGAGAACTAGACGTTATAGTGATATCGAACGTGGTGGAGGTTTCTAAAACCCTTCAACATTACGTGTAGCAACTGGATACTGCCAAAGTGGGATTTCGTATGACGGGGGTAATGTTTAAAAACACCTATTTTGGAGTTATCATTAGCAGACGACAGGGGAAGATGCTTTGCTGACCTCTCATTTCATCTCATTTATTTTCTTCTCTGGAGAGATGGGGGGAGTACAGCAGAGGTGGTCAAAGTCTCATACCAGGTAGCTTGCAAACACCCAAATTAAAAAAAAGGAAAAACATGTTATTGGCGGGTCGTTGGGGCTTTCCTTTCTTCTCTCTTCAAGCAGCGTGGCCAATGGGAACACCCGACTTCTCCCTCCTTGCGCCATAAGGGAATACAAGAAGGGTTTTCCATCTCAGCTGCAACGACAGGCAGCTACAAACACTGACACCAAATTCCTGCAAATTGTCACCCATAAAACTATCGCTTTAAAAACAAATACAGTTGAATCTTTTTAATTCAAACTCTCTTAATTCAAGCTTGCGGATAATTCAAACTAACATGGGGTCCCATCCTATGTGTCTCTATAGGAGGAAACTCCCGGTAATTCAAACTTTGCTTTATTCAAACAAATATTTGGTCCCCCCTCGAGTTTGAATCAACGAGATTTGACTGTATCATGCTGACAAAGACTGGTAGGCACACAATGTGTGATAAGTCTTCCTGGGAAGAAAAAAAGGGCATCTTAACGGCACCGCCTACGAAAGATTCTACCTCATTTCTGACTCATGCCACAAGATGTACTGCAGCAAATGCCGCAAAGTGTCCGATCGCACCTTCGCGCCAAAGAGTTTACTTTTGCGCGTTCCAAACACCGACCCTGGGTAACTCAGTTGGCAAAGTACTTGGCTCACAATCTCGAGGTGGTGAGTCCTGCCGGAGGTCCTGCCGCAGGAAGGAATTTTTTTTTTTACGGTACCCTACCGACGTAACACTTTTCAGTGTCAGTTTTTCGTACAAAACTCCAAGGAAATCTGCTGATAAAACACATTCTGCTTTAATATGCTACATCGATGTACAAGGTCCTTTCCTGTAATGGCCTGTAACGGCCGACAGTAATTAAAATAAAAGTTTAATGAAGTAAGCAGCTGTAAGCTCCCATGGCGTAGTGCAGCACATGCAGACGGCACTGTGTGAGTGGGCGTGACTTGGTTCCAGGATGTGCGCATCGGCACGAGCAAGGAGGCCTGGTTGCGACCTGTGGTGGAGCACAACGTGCGGGACGGCTGCCATGCCCCGGACCCCTGCCTGTCCGGGCCCTGTCCCGAGCACAGCGTCTGCACAGACGCCTGGGAGCAGCACCAGTGCAAGTGCGACCCCGGTGAGGGCACCCCTTCCCCTCTGCTTGTGCACCTCACTCGTCAGCGAGAGGGCCCTGCTCTCCTCGCAGCGTAGAGTTTGTGCGTTAGATGTGTACAGAGAACAAGCTCATCCGCTTCTTGCTCAGTGGGTACAGTGGCATCGGAGCACTGAACTTTGATTGGAAGGATATAGTGGGTAGACACAAAGGCTAGCTGCCGATGTCTCGACCCACTCTGTCCCTCCAATCAGAATGAGCATTGTCTGCTGCTAGTGCAGGGGAGAGGTGCCCGAACGCCACCATTGTCTGCTAGTCGTAGCAGACGACCTTTTTTACGGCTTTCAAAATCTACTGCTTCTTTATGAATTAACACTTAGCCTTTGAAATAGAGGAGAGGAATTACCTGGAAGCGTATGCTGTTTTTGTCCACGAGGAAGTGCCAGACGCTTTCTAATGAACTAGGAAATCACGTCCTAAATGTTGTCTGCGTGTCCACTGCCAAAGAACAAACAACACTTGGACGGGCAAAGCTACAACACTTTGGACGGGCAAAGCTTTATCGCATTTGTCGTTAACATAATTGTTCCCTCTCCCATGCACGAAGAGACACCTTTCGCTGGACTTGCTGTCTGGACAGGAAAGGGTCCGTCACCTTCCCACGCTTTTGGAATCTGATATTTGTGGTGTCACCGGCCAGTGTTTCTCGGTGTCTAGCCTCATTCCTTTCTCGCCGAAACAAAGCAAAGCAATGCTTCTTGAAAGAGAGGATGATGGTAGGAATGGTGGTGAGATTGCAGTGTGAGGTGACTCACTGGACAGTTACAATGGATCCATTGTGTCGCCTTTTGCATAATGGGAACTGTTAAATTCTAAAATGTTTCTTCACAATTATTTGAGTCCTGAAAAGTGTGAAGTATGGTATACTTATTGATTAGCCTATGCAGATCTTATCTATGTTTAGTTTTCCCTGTCATGACTTCCGTTCAGTCTCGTGTGGAAAAACTGAATTGCTTCACAGCGAGTTGGCCTGACTTCTTGATAAAACCGAGGAAACTTGTAAACGCAAACAGATGAACATGGAGAAGGTTGCACAGGCAAGCCCTGTTAAAAGTTTTCCTTTTCTTTTGGTGGTATTATGTGGAATGGTTTGAGGGATATCCCATCTTGTTTTCTCTCTTTCCTCTTTTATTATGCCTGTATTTTGTGGTGAAAGAAAATGACACTCTGATAACGTGAGGGGAGATTGGTAGCTGAGCACGTTAATGCACAGCGGATCTCAGCACAGCGGCTTTCAGCACATGAAGAAAAAGTTTGTGCTGCAGAACTCGGGGATTCTAAGTTCAATCCCTATCTCTGCCCATTTCGATCTGTATGAACATCAAACTGGTGTGCGGTCATATATCACTATTACACGACATACATCTGGGCAAAGAGTTAATGACTCCCCAAATGTACCTCTTCTCCTTTTGGGGCTCTATCTTAACTCGCGAAAGTTGCACGGCCTGAACCTCAGTTTTGTACGAGAGGCGTACAAACGACTCATTGAACAGACTCGGTGCTAAACAACCTGGCGACGGCATACTTTGGAAAATAATTGGGAACGTTGGTGAGGTACTTTATGGATGGTGTAGTTAACTTCTTGCCCGACAGTACTTCAAAGGTCTAGCAGTTGTACTGCACCAGCTCAATTTCTCGTCCACAGCCTAGTGTCACCGTACCCTGGCAGACTAAACTCTTCCTCTCTGGACATCTAATGACCGACTCGTTCAATAGTCGGCGCTGTATTTGCTTGCGTCCTCTACTCACATCTCTTTCTGCTCCATTCTATGTACTCTGTCGGTACCCACAGACCAACAACCGGTCTTGTTGAACTTCTCTACCAACCGGCCATTCCTCCGGCGGGTGTCGCTTGGGCCCCCTCTGTGCCGGCCTCGAAAGTTGTCTCCGTTCCAGGCTACGTGGGGTCCGAGTGCGTGCCGACCTGCAGCCTGTCCCCCTGCGAGTCCGGACAGTGTGTGGCGTCCCCCTCCATGCCAGGGGGCTTCGAGTGCGTCTGCGAGCCCAGCCGCTGGGGCCGCTACTGCGGGGAGGCCAGCAGCCAGCCCTGCCCCTTCAACTGGTGGGGGACCCCCGTGTGCGGCCCCTGCCACTGCCCCGTGCACAGGGGCTACCACGCGGACTGCAACAAGACCACTGGGGAGTGCTTCTGCCAGGTACACCCCACTTTCCCGACTGTGGCTCATGGAGTATGCACCTTTAAAAGTCGAAATGTCGCGCGGTGTGGACCATTTTTGGGGCCACTTTCGGCGCAAAACGGTAGACGCATGCATTAAAAACTTGTTCCGGAGACCCCAAATCGGCGGGAGCGTTTGTCGGGCACCTTGCCTACTCGCCCTATCTTCCCCAGGAGAACCACTACCAGCCGGAGGGCAGCGACGTCTGTTACCCGTGCGACTGCTACGCCAATGGCTCCTACAGCAACCGCTGCCACCCAGTCACCGGCCAGTGCCGCTGCAGGCCCGGCGTCATCGGGCGCCAATGCGACGCCTGCTCCAACCGCTTTGCGGAGGTTACCCTCAGGGGCTGCGAAGGTGCCACCTCCTCTCTTTCGCCGGGCTCTGCTCTTGAACCTGGCTATTAGTGATTTTCGTCGGGTGTTTTCCAACCGACTTTTGCGGCTCCTGCTTTAGACTGCCGGTCATTCTGGATATTTGATTCGCTCGAGCAAGCCGACGAGCAAACCTGTGGCCACGGTTTTTTGTTTTAGCCACCAGGTGCTTTCGGTTTTGTGGAAGTTGCGGATAGTTAATGCCGTGGGTTTATGAGAGGCTTTAGCTGTATCTAGAATCGGTTCCCCCGTTATTCGAGGTTGTGGCAGCCGCCCGCTCGTCTATTTCACATTTTCGGGTTACAGTCGCCGACGAATTGTTCGGATTCAGTTGGGATCTCGAACAAGTCTTACTGATCGAGCAGTCGAGAAAAGTTAATTCAGCCATAAAAAAACTTCGTATTGGCACTTAAGGTTGGACAAAGAGGTCGGTAGTTAGCTGGACGGCGCTTCGCCCCTTCGTGATCAGGTTGGTTTGGGTTGCAGTGGTTCGTGTTGGATGGCCGCACGACGGCCCATACCGAGTGCACCGTCCACGTCCCTAAACTTTTCGAATGTCACGATGGTGTCGGTCAAGTTGTCCATAAACTAAACTATGAACAAAGAACAGCGGCAGACATCATAGCGGTTCCCAGACGTCTATACGACCACAATCCCTTTGTGAATTCAACGGGCTTCCCAGAGGCTCGGCACAAAACATAAGTCAGAGTCGAACAAATAAAGTTAAATAATAAATCGACGCCGTTTGACACTGCTTGGAGACGCCGGCTGAAAGAACGTGCTGACCGGCGGCGGACAGTGGCCGGTCGTTAAAGACAACCATGATCCCTCTGTGGACAACACAAAGCAAAGGTGCCAATCAAATCAACCTAAGTTTTGAGAAAAGGAGGCGATGATTCTGATTATAGCCCCCAATTCAACTTCTGTATCGCCTGGACAGCTCCTCCTGGCATAGGACGCGTGTAGGATGAAATGTCAAGGCTAAATGCCAAACCGAAACAAACAGAATGGCAGCGATTCGACTTGTGGTGGCGGTACGGTGGCCGCTAAAACGTTGACCAAACCGAGCAACAAGACATACATTATCCATATTTTCAGTCTGAATCGAACAATCAGTTTTCAACGTTTAGGGTCGACTTGACTCCTTCAGGGAGCGACTAAGTCAATCATCGGATCAACTTCACAAACGTGCATGTGATAAACATGGAGCCACATATCCGAAAACGTCTGTTCTTGGAGTCGTGGCACATTCAGAAGACATCAGGGAAGAGTAACAGGTCTCTTGGGGCCTTACCATCTATTTACGTCCAGGGCCTGTGTCACGTTAACAAAACATCAATTCGGTAGAAGGTGCCAGGTCAGCACCAGTCAGCGTGCCAACACGCGTTGAGCAAGAATGATGTACATACTTTCGCATTCACAACTTAATAAGAAGTGCTTAGGTGTACCTCAACCTTTTTTTGTGTTCTTTTTTGTGGGTTTGTCTTCAGATCGTTATTTCTTTGTCAACCAATGTCTGGTCCACCAGTTCATTGTTTGCTGTGCCCTGCACAGGTTTCTTTTTTTCTTTTTTTCTTTTTTTGATTAAGATTTTGAGGTATTTTAGGTCCAGCCTGAAATCTTTTCGAGATAAGCGACGAGTAAATGCATTTTGCCTGTAGACATTCATTCTGTGACAAGGAAATCTTTCAACTTGACCAATATTTCGAGATGGCCGAGTTCAAGTTAAAACCCTCCGCTTCCGCGGGACGGATTCTACATACCTCTGGGTCGGCCTGCCAGAAACAAGCTGGGCACCTACCTTGCCTGCCACAGTCTGAAAAAAAGCATTCACTAGGCAAGCGGACCAGTGCATGGTTGCTGCGTTCTCTGCATGCTATATACTTGGGCAGCGCTTCTCTTCACACTGCATTCGGCGAGACGCTTATCGAGTTTTTTTTAATCGGCGATCAATGTGACTCGGTCTTTGCAGTGATTTACGACGGCTGCCCCCGATCTATGAGCGAGCGCGTCTGGTGGGAGCGTGCCCTCTTCAACCAGCAGGTTTCGCGGAGCTGCCCCAAGGGAGCCCAGGGTAGGTGGACTGGAAGAACCCTGACTCCACTGCATCTTAGGTGTCAATGCCTTGGAGTGTCGGGCACCAAGGTTGACAACTGGCTGTAGAGGCCGGCAGGAGCAGCCTGGACGGCTTATAACCTTCAGCTCTTCCAGCAGGGAACACCGTTTGGCTAGGAAAACGGGGTTTAGAGCAAGTTGCTTTGAAAATTGTCACGTTGGGTAGCGTTTCCTTTAAAATGAGCGATGATCACTAATTTTTATGTCTTTCGCAAGAGCCTGGGCCCTCGAGGTCTGCAGGCGTACACACGAAACAGACTTCCGCAGATACATGCTTCCTATTCCATCTGCCATCGGCCCTCTCGGTTTGTTATTGGTCGTTACATTCTCGTGGTTCATACGTCTTTTCCTGGTTTGCTGAAGAGTGTATTTATTTATTTATTACACAGTGAGGCTGTATACATCTACCCCACCATGGTTTCTTGCGTGTCATTGTCAACAAAAAACTCCCATGCCATACAGCATAGAGCGCAGTATTCGTTTCAATAAAGGAAAAGAAAATAACAAAACAAGCATCAAAACCGCCTGACGGATTATAAGGCACCTGTGAACAATGCGAAGCATGAGCATGCATTTCCCGGTACAGTTGAACCTCGATGTAACGAAGTCGGTAAAATTCGCAATTTACTTCGTTACATTGAAATTTCGCTAAATCAAAATTTGGCTTTAGCATGCGAAAAAAAAAATTCCGAAACATTTTACGGGTATGAAAACTCACCGAAAATGACATTTATTTAGGGGCAAAGTAGTCCGCGAGTTTTGCTTGTGCCTTGTCCGACAGTAGCAGCGGCGTTGGCGGCGTCATACGGCGTTCGAGCGCCCAGAGCGCTTGCACGGCATCTTGCTGCCCATGCGACGCCGTGTACCTCCTCAGTACGTCCATTGCGTCGAGCACTTTCCGAGTGCTCGTGATCTCGGCAGTTTCTTCAGGATAGCGTCCAAAACGTTTGCTTTCTCATCCAAAAAAGAACTTTACGTTTCCTTATGGCAGCAAGCACGTAAGTGAACCGCCCGGTTAAAAAATAAAGCTGTTTAGTTTAGGCGGTGCCAATGTTGCCAACCTACACAGCACTCTTGACCGCACAGTTTACTTGCCCCCTTGCGCCCACAGTGTGCTTGCGGTTGGCTTGCGCCTTTGCTTTACATCACGCTCGCAACCTCGCAAGACGATAATCGATCTTTTCGGTCTTCTCCTAGATGGCACTGCCCGTGCGGTCGCGCGGTCGCGCCATCACGTCGCTCCCCCGCTGAAGTTGGCTCCCGCGTTACAGTGGACTATGATGATCAGTGAATGTCAGTGGTGATGCTGTTATGCCGTGTTTACTTTTTGCTCGGCATTTTCTGGCCAGCCTCGCGAAATCCGCTTTGCCGCATGCCTCGCCGGCGCTACCGGCGCCGCATCCTCGGGCAGCCTAGGAACGTTGGAAGGCCTGTCCCCGTGAAGTAACCTATCAAGCGCTCGCGTTTGTGCATAATTTTTTTTTTTTTAAACCACAATTTTTTTGCGAAGTTGTTTTTTAGAGTTGATTTATTTATTGCCTTCTATGGCAATGGCGCTTCGTTATATTGAAATAGCAGCAAAATAGACTTCGTTATATAGGGACTAAAAATACATGGGGTCTATGGGCAAGAAATTATGAAAAATAAAATACTTTGTTAAATCGAGGATTTCGTTACATTGAAGTTCGTTATATCGAGGTTCGACTGTATAGATTACGGTTGCAGCTGCTCTGGGAAGGGGTTGACATTATTGGAAGCCCTCTTGTGACTCCTTATGCCAAGTGACTGGATACACCGGATTAGTGTGTGCAAAGCGAGATGGCAACCATGCGGCAGGCGTCGCAATCTACGCAAGGAATGAAGCTTGTGTCCAGCCGTATGAACTCCAATATGACCAAGTCGACTGCAGGGATGTGTGTTCCGTGAAAAGTAGCGATGGAATCATAATTTTTACGGTCTACATCTCACCGAATTATACCCAAATCTGACATTGAGTGCTTCATGCAAACACACTTCTCCTCTTTGTCAATGGATCAAGCCATACCAGTAATCATTGTCAGAAACTTTAATGTGGACATTTCAAAACCGCAAACAAGTGCTTCATTCCATTCGTCATGGAAGAGTTTGCACTCATGTGCTTCACCGATTTAACTCGGCCGACTACCATTCAAGGGGTCATGCATTAATTTAACTTTAGCTAAGATCTACAGTGAGAATGGAAAATCTTAGCGTGTATCACTCTGATCATAAAGTAGTTGTGAATGCCGTTACAAAGTAAATAAAGAGTATGCTCCACGTTGCATTGGGTAAATTGTTGTAGGTGTCATTACAGCTTCGCTGGACAAACAGCTTCACAGAGTAGAATGGCTCTACAATTTTTATTTATTTACGACATTCTAGTTGCATACATGGGGGAATGAGGCGAAAGTAACATATTTATTCGAATATAAGGCGCGGTTTTTTTCCAAAATCATTAGTCTCAAAGTCATACCCCACCTTATATTCGAAGCTCAGTGTAGCAGTATGATTATTTTTTTTATTTTTCTCGGGTCCTTCAACTGCCCCCTTGCCTTATAATCGTGACCGCCTTATATTCGAATAAATACGGTATCTCACTTTTAGTCACACATTTGCGTACTCCCAAGCATTGTGCTAACTTGTTATTTAAAAGTTTATTTCAGAAAATATTTTTTCACAACCCAATTGTAAGCTTCCGGAAACTTTTTATTTGTTGTCTTACTTCGTCTGGAAACCCTGCACGAACGATTTTGGGGGAGACGTGTGGGGTTCACCAGGGGATGTTTACGACCTTTGGAAGGGAGAAGTTTGTGCGCGGGACGGGGAGCCCCCTTTGTGGCGCCGGTGTCCCGTTACTCAAGAACAGGCCCCGGCGCGGCGGGCCGCGGCGCGTTTCGCGCCCCGCTCGGCTGCCTGCAGCTGGGGAGGCTTCGCGGCTAAGTGTTTTTCTCTGGTGGTCGACCAGTGCCACTGCTTGGGGTTGTTTGCTTGGAAAGTCGTTTGTCGCTTCCCACTGACAAGTGCCGGTCGCTTTCCTTGAAGTGTCTCGGGCGCTGTGCTTCGTCTGTCGGCACCTGTCCCTCCAGCCGGTGTTCGGAGTGCCAGGGGTGATTTGTCGTGTCTGAGGGCCAGACACGTCTGCGCCTCCTACTCCTGGCGCCGTCTGGCCCTGGGCTCGGACGCCGGATGAGAATGTTGACCCCCATGGGAAAATGGGAAAGAGGGACAGGCTGCTCTCGATAAGAGCACAGGCGAGACAAAGGAGGAGGTCTTTGGTTCGGTACCGTTGGAGAGAAAGGTGCCCGCTCTCTAGCGGCGGCCAAGTCCGGGGCTCGGGTTGTCGATGTTTGTGTTCTTGTATCCCGTATGTTAAATTGTCTTTTATTAAACTGTTGCAAATAAGTATTTGCGTAAACAGTTGTCTGGCCTGAACTGCTACACCACCGCCACCGTCCAACGCAAGCCATCCTCCTCCACACCATTGAGAAGGAACCACCGTCTACAACTTACCAAGAACCTTACTCCAATCCTTAAGACTGAACTCTTACTGGAGCCATCTTACATATCATCACGCAATGATCACATACATAAAGTCGAAATTCCACAGTGCCACACCAATACCTACTACAGATCATTCATACCTCGTCCGTCTGCTGACTGGAATCACCTTTCCACATCCATCGCTACAATTGTTATAATCCTGTTGATTTTAAAAATGCTGTATCCATACTACTGGAACTTGATTCGTGATTTGAGTGTTTTATTAACTTGTACGTTATAATCCCACCCCTTCTCTAATGCCTTCGGGCCCTGAGGGTACCAATAAATGAAATAAATTAAATGAGAACTGCGGCTAGACTAAAGACGCTTCTTGCTCGGGGACGAACGGAGGAGTTTAGGTGCTTTGGAGAACCCTCGTGTTTCGCGCAAGCAGCTCCAGAGCCTGTGCCACGGCTGACAGCAATTCATTTGAGTCGCGAATGCCTCTAGGAAAATTTGTTATGCCAGCAACATTGTGTCAACCACAACTTCCTCTCATATTCAGTCGATGGCCTCAAAGAAAACGGACAAGAGCCTCGCCTTTTTTGCGGCCAGGGCAGGCAACGGTAGGGCCTCATTGCTACGTTGCATCGAGCAGTAAAGGCCGGTTAATGTGTGCGTCCAATATCTCAGATAATGAAAAGTCAGCGCTGCACCAGTGCTGCTGTCTCTGGTGAGTCAGCATTGAGTTTTAGTGGTGCATTGTGTCTGTATGCAGGAAAAGTCCAGACACACGTAGTGGAGCAGTTATATAGCGCAAAGTGGGTGCCGTGTCAATGGCCGTGAGTTAGCGCTGCAGCGTTTCTGTGAACGGACCTTTGACCTGGAATGAAAAGGTCGTCTTAGTAGTAGTTCCCGATCATTAGCCTTTGGCACATGGTCTCTTTAAAGCTCCGAGCAAATAGGCTTAAAATTCTTTATATGTTTATGTTTGGCTTGTAGCATCAAAAGTGCTGATACACGAGGCCTATGGCGGTGAAGCACTCGTTCGTGGCACGTGTCTCACGTTTGTGCAATGACAATTGTTTAGTATCCGTAAGAAACGCGGAATGTGAATTTTATCGAGGGGTTCCAAGCCGACCGACGGCCGACCCGTCGTCTCGTGCAGGTAAGGCGACGCGTCTGTGCGACCAGGAGAGCGGCTGGCTGGAGCCGGACACCTTCGGCTGCGTGTCCGAGGCCTTCGCCCCGCTGTCGGAGCAGCTGCGCGTGCTGGAGCGGGACAAGCTGCCGCTGAACACCTTCAGCGCCGTCCGCGTCGCCCGGCAGCTGCGGGCAGCCACCAACGCTAGCGAGGGCGCCCTGTACGGCACGGACGTGCTGCTGGCCTCGCGCCTGTTGCACCATGTGCTCTCCCACGAGAACCACCTGTCGGGCCTGAACCTGACCCACCGACAGGACCGGGACTTTCTGCGCCACCTGGTGCAGGCGGCGAGCGCCGTGCTGGACGGACGCTACGCCGCCCTCTGGGGGCGCGTGGCATCCCTCACTGGCCAGGGGCCCCCCCACCTGCTCAAGATGTTCGAAAAGTACGCCCACACCCTGGCCTCCAGCCAGAGGGACACCTTCACGGACCCCTTCGAGCTGGCCGCACCAAACATGGGTGCGTGGCACGCCTCTCTCCTTTTTGGGAGCTCGCTCGGTGGCAAAGAGGTGGTGGGCAGGGCAGGGACGGCGTCTGTGTGTGAAAGCTAGTGGAGGTACGGTGCCTGGATTGTGTCTCCAGCCGGCGCGTCTACCACGTCCTCAAATCTGGTCCTTTGATCCTGTCCAATGACATGGTAGAAATGTCACGCTGGGACCCCGGTGGTAGCTGGCTCTCGGCCGGACCGTCCCAAAAGCTTCGGCAGGAACAAATTGGGACGGTGCAAGGATGGCGACACTAGCGTTTGCTCATGCTATTTGCCAGAACGTCTTCAACCAACTTCCAAGATTGTGACATCCGGCAACGTGACACACTGGTTCCCGTGATGCATCGCCACTTTGGAAGCACTTTTGCTAGACGCGCCAATCGGAGGCACATTTCAGGCCCCATAGCGGCAATCTAGTTGTGCCATTTTGCTTCCGTTTTATATAGATGGTAAAATTTGCTCTAGTACACCGACCAATGAAGCACCAACAAAATTTTGTTGAGATAATTCGCTTAAACGAAGGGGTTCGAGAGTGGAGTTTTGTGGTGGTTCCTTGCTTGGTTCGTCGGAACAGCATAGGGGTGGTATGAGATTCTCATGGAATCTCTGTTCTAGGGAACCAGCCGAGAGTAATAAAAAGATCATTCCAAGATCACCCGAGTTTTTAAAAGGTTGCATTGCTCGCACTGATCTTCAATGCCTCACACTGGCATGTGCGTTTCAAGCTACACTGCTGTGTCAGTTGTCTCAACAGGCTCAAAATATAAACGTTAGCTTATATTTCAAACTTTTCTAAAGTGGGGGTTAATGCTTATTAGAGTGTTGGCACGCGCTTGGTATTTTATGGTTCTCTGATTTTTCGTCAATAACATACGATAACATTTTACTTTAAGAAGGACGCCACCTTAAATTTGCAATTTTTTGTAAAAAAAAGCTACAATGGCTTTTGTGACATAACTCATTGCCACTTTGGGACCGCTTTCAAAACACGGGCACTATAGGAGGTATTCACTGGACTCCATATTTGAGTGTGCCGTTCACTACACATGCTTTGTACAAGGTCGCACCTACAGGCTGCCCAAATTGTCAATCTAGATGATGTGGAATGCGTGTTGCAAAAACACCGTGGAAGCTCGCCGTCGGCACACGCTCGCCAGAAACGGGCTTGACTGTGTCCACCAATGAATATCCTGGTCTATAAGGCACCGAACACGCCGGTCTGAGATGCGCACCTACAGCGTCCCTCTCCCACGCAGTGCTGGGCATGGACACGGTGTCCCGGTCGGACGTGGGCGGCCCCTTTCTGGAGCAGACGCCCGAGGGCCCCTCGGTGCTGCTCCCCAAGTACAACAACTACGTGCTGCCCAAGGAGGGGCCCAGCATGCCCTCCTTCTCCCTCTCCCTGGCCGCCCTCGGCCTGGACTCCGGGCCCGGTGAGGACCTTTCCCATCGACTCCCTCAAGAGTAGTTTCTTTTTACGGCGACAGCGATTACGGGCTCTTTTTAGAGCGCAGCTCTTAGGGGCCCGTTTCCGGCTTGAGCAACGTCGCCGTCGGCGTCGGCGTAACCGCGCGGTGCATCATGGGAAATGTCCCATAATGCACCGCGCGAGCCCCCCACCGGGGTCACGTGACCTCGTGGAGGGCACGTGACCCCCCGAAGTCACGTGACTCCCCTGAGGTCACGTGACCCCCTCCTCGAGGTCACGTGACCCCCCGAGGTCACGTGACCCCCGCCGATGTCGCGTGACCCCCCGATGACGTCATCCTCACTGATGACGTCACCGGCATCCACATCGTCATCGTCATCATCACTGATGACGTCACCGGCATCCACATCGTCATCGTCATCATCACTGATGACGTCACCGGCATCCACATCGTCATCGTCATCATCACTGATGACGTCACCGGCATCCACATCGTCATCGTCATCATCACTGATGACGTCACCGGTATCCGCATCGTCATCGTCATCATCACTTATGACGTCACCGGCATCCACATCGTCATCGTTATCATCACTGATGACGTCACCGGCATCCACATCATCATCGTCATCATCACTGATGACGTCACCGGCATCCACATCGTCATCGTCATCATAACTGATGACGTCACCGGCATCCACATCGTCATCATCACTGATGACGTCACCGGCATCCGCATCGTCATCGTCATCATCACTGATGACGTCACCGGCATCCACATCGTCATCATCACTGATGACGTCACCGGCATCCACATCGTCATCATCATTGATGACGTCACCGGCATCCACATCGTCATCGTCATCATCACTGATGACGTTACCGATATCCGCATCGTCATCGTCATCATCACTGATGACATCATCAGTGACGTCACTGATGTCGTCACCGGCATCCGCATCGTCATCATCACTCATCACTCGCTGATGACGTCATCATCACTGATGACGTCATCAGCGACGTCACTTATGACGTCACCGACATTCGCATCGTCATTGTCATCATCACTGGTGAAGTCATCAGTGACGTCACTAATGACGTCATCGGTACCCGCATCGTCATCGTCAGTGATGACGTCATCAGTGACGACATCATAGGCACTGGGGGTCACGTGACCCCCAAGGTCACGTGACCCCCCACTGGTTAGTTTAACCCCCCCCCCCCCAGTGCCCTTCCCTCCTCCTCCTCAAGAGCTGTGCTCTAATCCGGCGTTACAGGGAGTTGTAAACGGCTTTCATTTTTCCACTGCAAATGACATCCGTTGTAAATGTTGTGGTTGTAGTAGTTGGAGTCTTTGTTGACGTTGTAGTTGGCATTGTAGGGCGTTGGTCGTTGATGCCGCCAAATTCTTGAAGAAGATTGCCCGTCGCCTGCGGGTAGCAAACGTGGGTCTGCTTTATACTTGGGGTTTTCGTAGTACAATCAAGCTTGGTTATAACAAAGTCAACGGGAATCGTAAATCACTTCGCTATATCAGCTTCTTCGTTATATCTAGACTCCATAAAAGCAACTTGAAAAAAAAAAAAAAAATATATACATAACGCGGGTTGTCACGGGAATGGGCACATGTTGTTATTGAGATGTCTTTATTGAAACAATAAAGAAAAGAGGGCTAGAAGACTGGGGTTAGGCCAGTGGTGCCTTCCTGTGGTGGGTGATGGGATCTAGATAAAGTGAGTGAGATGAGCCCTCTTCACGAAGCGAAGGAGGGCGTCGAAAATTTTCTCGTGCCTTGAATTACGGCTTAGTGGGGAACGGAATCAAAGGCCTTCTTGACGTCGATTGCTGAAAGTGTTTTTGGTCTGGTGGAAGGTTGCATGGGCAGCATGGTCCTTGTGGATGAGAGTGATGCTGTCCATATTGCTGAGGCCGGGACGGAAGTCCCGGCCTCAGCACTATGGACAGCATCACTCTCATCCACCAAACAAAGTTGTTAGCAGGTGACACGAACATAACCATCACTCTCATCCACTATGGACAGCATCACTCTCATCACACCAAACAAAGTTGTTAGCAGGTGACACGAACATAACCATAAGGCGCCACAATCGCCGGTAAGATAAGACGAAAATAGCGGGGTGTTGCTGTGCACTTCCTTCTAGAAGGGATAATGGAAGATACAAATATAAATAAACACACTTCACTCACAAGTAAATACCAATAGAAGATACAAACGCATCCTGGGAAGTTGCACCGTCCACATGATGCGGAAGAACGGTCCATTCAGTTATCGTTCTCGGAAAAAAAGAAAACGTACATGGCGTTTGTCCTGCATTGAGGCATCAGTATTGTTTTATTGTGTTTAGTATTCCGAGTCTGTTGCGCTGTGTTGAATTACATATAGTCGGGGAAATTCAGTCCTGTCCGGTTTTCACTATGTTAAAGAGGATATTCAGTCGGTGAAGCTTGCGGCAGGATTTTAATGTAGAGAGCCCAGAACGGTTCAGAAGTTTCGTCACCGAGATGTTTCTACTATAAACGTGATAAATGAATCCAACCGCCTTCCTTTGTACCCATTCGATGCATTCGGTATCAGTTCCTGTGTGGGGGTCCCAGACAACGTCACTACAGGGTGAAACAAGGAAACGGCAGGCTCTTAAAATCGACTGGAAAATTCGGTTTCTTAACCTATCGCGCTACGACTTTGTGCAGTGTTGCCCACAGATGGTGAATTTTTTCTGTAAAATTTGCGAAGAGCAAACTTACCTGAGGAAAAAGTAAAGAAAGAAAAAGGCTTAGCTCCTATGAAAACGCGGCGACGCCACCGGTCTGCAAACAACACGGCGCCGTTTCTCACGGGAGACGAGAGATGGCGTAACAAACGCCGCCAACGAACGAGCATACGGCGCCGAGAGCAGGCCTTTTTAGCAGACAATCTTTTCAACTCAAAAGCGGCGCGCGTTCCGTGGGCGGCGACAGTCGCAGAAACAAAAAAGACAGGCGCAGTAACAGCAAGGAACTGCAGTTGCTTGTCTGCAAAAGGGCCGGCTCTCGGCGTCGTCTGCTCGTTCATTGGTGGCAGTTGGCGTCGCGACCGCTTGCGTCATCTCTCGTCTCCCGTGCGAAACGGCGCCGTGTTGTTTGCAGCCCGGTGGTGTCACTGCGTTTCCATAGGAGCTAAGCCTTTTTCTTTCTTTACTTTTTCCTCAGGTAAGTTCGCTCTTTGCAAATTTTATAAAAGAAATGCACCATCTGTGGGCAATGCTGCTCAAAGTCGTAGCGCGATAGGTTAAGAAACCGAATTTTCTGGTCGATTTAAAGAGCCTGCCGTCTCCTTGTTTCACCCTGTACAGTATAGACCACTTACAACGTAACTGCTTATAGTGCAGGACCGGGTATAATGCAGTTTTTTTAAACTACCGGTTCACCTCCCATAGAACTCCATGTAATTACATACTGCTTAAAATGCAGGCGCGCGAAGGGAAATACCGGTTATAGTGCGGTTTTTGGCACAGCCCCCCGACCGCGCTGACGACCGGAGCAGCGAGCTCGCTTCCCTGTGCGAAACTAGATAACGACGCTGATGCAACACGCTGACGGCGCTAGCCGCAAGCGGCACTCGCGGGGCAAGGAGGTTGCTCGAAAAAGCGGGGAGAAGCGAAGAGAGAGGCTTCAGTTGCCATAGTGACGGAGGGACGCACGCACGAGTCGTTCACGTGCGTGCGTCCCTCCGCTGCCTTGGAAACAAAGAAACAAACAACCGCAACGACAGACCAATCGCAGGTCGAGGAAAAGTGTTCGCACGCGTTGCATGCCGGTCGCGGGCCGGCTGCTTCTATTCCGCCAACATGGCGTCCGTTGTGATTGTCGTCGTAGACGGTGTGCATCTCCTCGTTCTGCGTAAAAGCGCTATCCTCGACTGTGAATTTTCGTTGTGTGTCGCTATGATAACCCAGCACATACTAGAAGGGAAGATCCACCTACTCGTGCGGCAATGTCGTGGCTGCGCTCTCAAGACGGCAGAAACGCCCGTGTCGTCGTGTTTGTTTACTTCAACTACAGTGGTGATTTCTAAGCATTTGTGTCCTTGAACGTCGCCCGGATTTCTTATTTGGCGCATTTCATGCGTGTGCTCAAGTTCAAGGTATTACTGGCGCGGACCGTATGAAGGATGCGAATTTTCACGCGTTTTCATCTCCGGAGAAAAGTGATTAGGGTTAGCAATCCTGAACGCTCGCAACGTCCGTCCGCAACCCGCGGCGCCGTTAAAAGGCTGCACCAGGCAAAAGTCGATCATTTCTTTAAAAATGTGTGACACACCTGAGAGAAAAGTGTACTAGTCTGGTGAAATAAAGACTTTCCTCAAACTAAGCTTTATTTTTCATCTAACATAAAATAAATTCTCTTACAAAGGTAAGTTGTCTCATGGCATGTATTTTGGCCTGAAAAATTAATGTTTTGGTTATAGCGCGGTACCGCTTATAGTGCGGATTTTTGCGACTCCCGAGACATATGTTATGTGCGGTCTACACTGTATACTCTAGTAGCGGTCTTACAAAGGATGTGTAGGCTACTAACTTTGTTTTGATAGTGCCATGTTTTAACTTAAACCTTACATGCATTAACAAGGACGAATATCATCATGCCCACGATTACATTTAATCGAGGGTAGATCATCCACTGAAAATAAAAGGAGTTACATATGGAACAGAGTTATGCAAACAGTCCTTCTTTCCAAGATTGATTTGACTACCAGAATATGTCGTCGCAGGAACTAACGATTCAACGTTGTATTTACCCTTTTATTAAATATTTAACATTCTTCATAGTGATATTATGACTTCTTATTGTGTACTTCTCTTTTACAATATTCCTGTATGTATACACCTATGCGATGTAGGTGTATAACTAAATAAATTGCATTTAATTGTGCCGGTTGCCTTAGGGCGCCATCAAGGCTTGCTTAAGCAAGGCGAGGGTGCAAAATGCCGAAACCCACGTGGTTGATTTCTAGCGTGTTGGCGCTCCAAGCGTACAGCCGTGTCCGTCTTTTCCAAAGGCAGTCCCGGTTTGTGAGGGAGTGCCAACCTTACAGAGTCGCTGCCTCGGAGCGTGGGTGCCAAAGCGGTGGTGGTGTACGCTTTCTACCCGAACCTGCAGGGGCTCTTCCCCACCTCCTACGACTCCAACGTCAGGTGGGTGCCTCTTCTTCGTCCCGAATTGTCTCGTCGACAGAAAGCGTGCCACGAGAGAGTGGCACCATCGTGGCGTGGCTCCTGGTAGGGCCATCTTGCATGCACATTGTGCCCGGCCACCAACGAATGACAAGTGTAACGTCAATTGTTTCCGATCCACATCAACTTACCGAGCGTCGTGCTACACAAAACATTCGAGGCTACAGTTGGCGCCAAATGTTTTTGCACTCAACGTTTTCAGCGTTGCAAATACGTCATTTGCTTGCAGATGGAGCTGCTCTTGCGAATGATGCCTCTACATCATGTATAGGCCTCAGCGATGTTCACCGCTCCTTCGTCGCGTGAAGTTTGGCTTCCGACAAATATGCGGCGGCGTGTTGTAATAGATTTTTGTGGCGCGAATTTCGCTGTTAAATTTGGCTCCACTAATTTTAGTGGAGCGAAATTTTGAGTAGCGTCAGATTACGCATGAGTCACGATCGTAGCTAGAAAAGGGCTTATGGCTGTGATGCCATCTTCAGCGCATGTATGTAGGGCACATGTACTGCTCGTTTTTGGAATCAACAAACACGTGCGTGCTGAGCGGCTAAGGTGCGAAAATCGCATAATGAGCAGTGCAATCTTCACAGCCCAGCATTTTGTAAACAAAAAGTTTCTGGCCGGTGTGATCCTCAGCATTCAAGCGTATGACGGGTGCTTTGCACGCGTTTCCAAGCGACGAGCGAGCTTGTGCTGACTTCTAAAGGTAGCATGCTGGACTGTGATTTTGTAAACATAGAAACGGTGTACAGTAAAACCTCGTTATAACAAAATGGGATATAACAAACAAATGGATATAACAAAGCAATCATAATTCCCCTTGCTTGAATAGTTGGAAGAAATGGACATTGGCTATAACAAACTAATGGTTATAACAAAGTAATTACGACCGCTCCTTCAACTTCTTTATAACGAGGTTTTACTGTATAAGCATCTTTCAAGGTCTGCTCTCCCGTATTAATCAAGCGTAAAAAGGCAAAAAAAAAAGATAGTATGGCACATTTAGCACCATCACAACACTAAGAATGCTTTCTGTTTGACTTTTTGTAATTCTTATTTTTATTCCACTTATTTATTGCTCACGTGCAATGTGAGCGAGCGTGCTGAGGTGGGGGGCATTTCTGAAGAAGTGCAGAGTGCAGCTTTGAGCGACGCTCAAGCTGCACAACCATACAAGCACAGGTAGCTTTGGCACTATGGTCTCGAAAAGTTCTGCCAAGCAAATGGTGCGTGGCACGTTCCGTTTGCTCGACACCGGGCACGGTGTGGTGCAGCAGACAGAAATCGCACACGGACCATTTTCTGGCAAAACTGATCTCGGCGGTGTCAGCTAAACAATCCTTGCCGTGAGCCGCCGTCCTTGCAAGCTCGAGAAAACGAGAAAAAGCTAGAAATGCTCTGGCTTAGGGCACTTGGTGCCCCATCTTGTTGAACTTATTGAAAATAAGTAGCGAAAACTGTCTCGCCAACTTTATTTGCACAAATGTGCAAATACATTCAGTCTTCCCGTCAGGGTCTTAAAATTAAGATCTCTAGTACAAACAGCCATATGCTTTGTCATTTTTATCTTCTAAATTAAAATTTTAATTTTAAAATTGCCTCAAAATGTGCGACAATTGAAACCATCAAATTTCTGAATTTTATTTTAAAAAGGAAATGGTACTTCTAAGGGAAAATTTAAGGGCTGTACGACCTTCATAACATCTTATGGGCTCTATCGTCTTTCGCCGCCCACCGCGGTGATTGACCAGACTACGCCGTTTGTTTCATTGAACAGAACGAAGGTTTATGGCCGCTCGAGAAACCAGAGCTCTGATCCGGAGCCGAGAAGCCAAGTGTGTAAAGAAGAGCTCTGGCTTGGCCATCCCTTTAAAAAATTCCTTCGGAGCACGCCCCTCACGCAGGAGCGCACCCTGCCGGCGCTTGCGGCACATGGGTCTGTTGGTTGGATTTCTTGGCACGTGGCGTCGGGGCGGGCGCTCATAATCTTCATAATGAACCTCCAAAAGAATCTACACTCTCGTGCATTCCTGAAGCTCGGGTTTGCGTAGCGAAATTTTTCCATTGAGTGACGAGCGGGTGAATCCTCCTTAAACCTTTTTGATTATTCACAGCTGATTCCGTAGAATGCGCACTGTGTACTCCGACCGCCATTGCCTTCTCTTCTAATGGTAGCTGGCTACTGGCGACGACAGCTGAATCCCCCCATCAAGAATATTACACGTCTTGTCGTGCATTTCTTTTATATTTTATTTGTTTACTGATACTGTAAGCCCATTACAGGGCTTTTACAAGAGTGGAAAGGAGTTTTAATAGAACAAAAAGAACCAATCGTGCACACACACAGTTCACACGAGGCCTGAAGAGAATTATTATAATTACTTACACGATAGGTGCAGAAACTCTAACTCTGGTACAGTTGATCCATCACTTAACAATGCCATTGACAAGAGCGAGCATAAAACGAGACATTTTGAAAAAAATATAATGTTGTATGCCAGATGTTAGTCAGCCTAAGTGGGCGTCTGGTGTCTCAGCCATACCGTAGACGAGACATTTAGCCAGTGCGGTATAACTGCTAGCCAGGGGTCTTTAACGTGCATCACGCAATAGTGGTGCATGACCGCACCACTATTGCGTGATGCTCGTCCAGACCGAAACGGGCAGGGGTGGGGATTGAACTCTTTTGCCCCACATCCTCTGAGCTGAAGTGCATTAGCCCACTCAATCACCAATCCCCCCTCCTTTTTCTTCTTTTCTTTTTTTTTTTTTTGCAAACAATTATTTACACAATAAAAAGCTTCAATTGTGTAAAAAAAGAATATATATATATATATATATATATATATATATATTGTGTTATAGTTAAAGTAAACAGTCCAGGTTAGTCACTAAGCACGCTGCTCTCTAAATTTTTAACAGTATTATGGAGAGAAGTAGTCGTGCATTATAATCAGTCTAAAGAAGGAAGGATTCAACGATCCACAATCCTTTTTTCGGGCTGCCTCTGTAGCGCGGTTGAGCGTGCATGCAGGATTGGTGCAGTGGGTGCCTTACGTTGCAGGCAGCGCTTTGGGGTGGAGCTCTCCCTGGGGGGCCCTGTGAGCACACTGGTGGTGCAGCCCGCCGACGCCAGCAGCCCCGTGGGGACCCTCCGGGTGCGCCTGCGCTTCCCCAGGGACGTCGGGGACCAGCCTCAGTGCGTCTTCTGGATGTTCTCCTCCAGGTACGCCATCCCCGCACTCCCCTTTCGTCTGCTCTCTCAAGTTCAGAACGCTCGAGACCGCAGCTACCGTTGCTTCTAGATTTCTTTGGTTGTGGAATGTCCCACGGACGTTGTACGACGGATAGCGTTGGAAACCGCGTAAGATTTTTCGTTGCGGTGACGCTGTCGGCGCATTGTATGCACATTGTCTGCTAGCGATAAGTTTGGACAAGTACTTCATATCGTCACAAATAGAAAAGGATTAACGAGCCTAAAACTAAAAATATGTTTTAATTGGCGTAATTGTGCTACAAACAACAAAAAAATGAGCGTCAAGAAAGCAGCAGCAAGCGTGAGTTGGCCACACTGGGCTCTTTGTCTACTGCACTCGGTATTTCAAACATTCGGCTCAGAATGTGCGAGCGTCGAGCGGGGGAAACTGATCACACACGGTATCTCAAACATTCCTAGAATGTGGGCGTCAAACTTTTGAGGCAAAGTAAATGCAAGTCGTCTAGTGTTCCCTCTCGGCCATGCACGCGGCAATAATATGAACTCTGTGCTTTATAGCAAACGTTCTCAAACTATCTCAATTAACCCCTTCTGCCTCAAATGGCAGTGGAGGAGCCCTTCCAGTCTTTTCACTGATGCAGTAAAGCAGCACAGAAGCCTATAGACCTCCTAAACACTAATACCAGGGATCAATGGCTGGTGCAGATGGACTGAAATGGTGCTTAAACTGGCAAAACAATTTACTCTGGGGAGGGGACGGTCGAGGAAATCGGGGAGCCTGAGGAACCCCTGGGGGTATTCAGGGAAGCCCTTAGGTTCCTTGGAACCCAGTTTGAGAACCAGTGCTTTAAAATATAATGAAACCGTGAGCATCCCAAGTTTCTGATGGGTTCGGAAATTTTGCTCACTCTTTTAGGTCGACATTCTTTGGTGAGGATTACATAGACCTTTTCATCTCAGTAGTTGCCTGACTGGTAGACAGAGGGCACTCACACATGGAGCGCCATAAGGTGGCTTCAATTCGGTTGGTTTCGGTTTCAGCGGGCTCACAACTGTGTTGGCGTGTTATGTCGTTTTCGCTTAGTTTTGTGATATAAATGTCACCCTTGTGGTTCAGAACCAATGGCATGGTGGTAATGAGCCATCTTCAGAACTAAGTCGTAGTTACAACCCTAAATCGTGGACGTTTTTACAAACGCCCTGACCTGATCATGTTCTTCGTTTGGCCAGGTTCGGCAACAAATTGACTGAAATGATGCCGGGGGAGGATTACGGATGTCTACGGCCGTGCTGAACATACCTGCTGATACTAGTTTTCGTAAAAATAAACTAATGAAGAGACTAATGCATGGAGGCGCAGTGAAAAAAATTATTGCATCTCCACGTGGTGAATGATGTTGATTGGGGCGAAGCTCTGGTGGTGCTGATGATACTGATTTGGTTCATAGGTAGTGCTGATGGTGCTGATTTTTTTTTTTATTGCTCATAGGTAGTGCTGAGTTCGGGGTTGCGTTTCGACTTCATTATTACTGCTTTATGGTCGGTGAAATGCAGAACCAGTGGTTGTTCTAGCGGATCAGCTTGGATCCACTAGAAGCCATAGGAACGCATCTCCATCGCTTAAGTCAACGGTCCATGCCAGAAAGAGAATGTGTGGTATGGAACGTGGTTATATACGCATTTGACCGCAGCGCCCTCTCGTCTATAAACGTTGAGCCAATGCATGCAAAGTTTAACGCGATTATATGCGCATTTGACCGCAGCACCCTCTCCTGTATAGACGTTGAGCGGCTACATGCAACGTTTCATCCATGACATCCCCAGTTCTTGAGTTACTACCACATCTCAGAGCCCCCTACTTGTCCCGCAGTCGTGGCCGAGTGGTTAAGGCGATGGACTGGAAATCCATTGGAGTCTCCCCGCATAGGTTTGAATCCTGTCGACTGCGCAAACATTTTTTCGTTTTTTAAGAAGACAGATGGGATGGCAATCGATGTGAGCACGGACGCCGGACAAACAAGGCTAGACCCTAAGGAACTTCGCCCCTAAAAGCATGTCAACAACCAAACCATGTGCTGAATTCCAGAAGACAGATTAACTTGCAAGTTTAGTGCTCACTGTTCGGTTTTCGATGGCATCAACGTTTTGCGAAAATTGCTGACCAGGAAGCCCTCCTGTGATGACGCATGGAAGGCAAAGAAGTGATATTGTCTCCATCGGTTTCCTTAAAGTACTTGGGAGATGTTTCGATTGGTCCATCCTAGACTGAGTAAGACATTTTTTCAGCTATCGACCTTGCGAAGGTATTTATTAGCAGCATTTCACAATGTTGATCTTGGGAAACTATTTGTTATACGGACATTTCCTTATAACATACTGAGAAAATGAGATAAAAAACACATCAATTGAAGACTGATGTATGTCTTCCATATAATTTGCTGAATAAAATTAAATGGCGCAAGAGAAAAACCTCCTGCAAGCTTGGCTCAAGTCAAATGCCAGGACGTCATGAATTTGGGCAGAGATATTTATTTGTTTTAACAGATACGCTTCTTACTTTGAACAGCATTGAGAGTATATCCGGCATTGACAACGCTGCACTCGAGTGATTGCCGTGCAGACGGCTTCTTTTTGGCGTCACATATTGCTTGCCTCAGGTACTTTTGTCAAGCACTCACCAGCTGTCTTGATGCATTTTTCACATGGAGAGCCCATTAACTTTCTGTGCGCGGGCACCAAAATTTTCCGGCTCGTTTTATCATGTGAGGTTTTCCCCATCTTATCCTTTATCTTACTGCGATGCCCTGAGAAACATATCACCGAGGTACTACTGTATTTGCTCATGACCAGCTCTCGGAGAAAGTTTTGGGGGCTGGACTAATAAAGCACTGGCCCGGTTCGGCAGTCATTCCACCCTGTCGATGGCACACAACGTGCGACCTCTTCCCCTGCAGTGGCCGTGGCAAGTGGTCCACCCGTGGCTGCAAGCTGGAAGCAGTGGACGCTGGGCACATCAACTGCTCCTGCGACCACCTGAGCAGCTTCGCCGTCCTCACAGACATTGTGAGCCGAGAGGTGAGGGCGCTGTCCGCTGGTCTCATGCACTTGTGCTCGCACAGTTAACCTTAATCGGGGCAGATGGTGAACGAGTTTAATTGTGGGGAGCAACAGCACACAAAGGCCGAGACAACAGCGGAAACATGCAAAAGACACTGTTTCTATTTCTTCGTCAGAAGCAGTGCCGTGAAAAAAGCAACGCCTGTCAAATCTATGGTAAAAAGAGAAAAACAAGTAGAAGATGAATACAGATGAGTCGTAAGCTAGTGCCCTTGGTTGTCTTTCTGTGCGTCTCCTCTGTCGTCCTTGTCTTTTTGCACTGTTGCTGCCTCTAGTAAATCACCAACTCGCTCAAGCCTCCCTCTTAGCAGGGTGCAAGTAGTTTCTTGCTTGGAACTTAGGTATGTGCTTGGCTCTCCCGTGATACACAACATGCAGGGGCTCATTACCAGGAGAACATATTTGCCGATCCAGGTCTGACTTTTTTCCCCTACAAAATCCAGAATATATTTGAGAAGATTTAAACCATTTGAAGTGCATTTTTCTTAAAAAAAAAATAAAAGAACCTATAGACAATACCTTTCATAACCGTTGATAAACACTTAAATAGATCGCCAAAAGTAGAGGACTCTCAGAGGCACGATGGATGTACTGTGGACATCCTAAAATAGAAGTGGACTGTGTGACACTGTTAGCGCAAACATGTCATCGTCGCTTTTTCGAGTTTTACTTTGAAATGGTATTGGTAGGCAGCAAACTTTATCGCTTAAGTGTGTGCCCCAAATGAGCACTTTCCACCACACCAGTAGCTTTCATAACAGTCTTTCTAATCCAAGAGGAAAATGAAAAAAAAAAAAACATGATAGCTTGCACGAAGTGTTGCACTATCTGCAGCATTTCTTCCCCATCAAGTCTATGCTCTAAGATCACCTATGAAAGTCATTGACGTGTCACTTCAAGTAGTGACTTTTCTCAAATATCTCTTTTACTGGTCAGACTTGCGTATTCAAATTCAAAGTCTAAACTTCGAGTACAAAATATAAGGAACTGATTTTTTAATTGGTGGAGCAACAGCTGTTAGGAAAAGATTGAGCAGCGGGATCACTACATTTAGAGATGGTGCCTTAATTGAGGATAAGCACTTAAAGGGACTATGAAATGATTTTAAAATCCAGTTTCATCCACCGCACGTCGTAAAAGGTGTGAAAAGAAACACAAAAACAGGGAGCCAAAAAAAATTATTTGCTATAGAACTTTTAAAAGAAAACTGGACTCTTTTACGCCTTCCTTCCTTCGCCTGTTCACTACGATGCATCCGCGGAAATGGAGCACGTCAGCCAAATCCAGGTCGCCTATTGGGTAAGAGCCTACCTCACCAGCACCGCGATCGTAAACAATAAATAGCCGGCGAATGTTTCTTAAAAGTTTTGTTAAATAATATTCAGATCCACATTTTGTAGCATAATTAGAGATGTGTGGCGAAAATTGCCAAATTTGATAATGCTGAGAGCCAGGCGCCATCTATCGTGTGGTAAACAAAGCAACTACTGCGCGTGCGCAGTAGGGCAGGGCCGACAGTTACTTGGGTGGCGGCCAGCGACGAACCTTTATTTTCTTTGTTTTCCTTCCTCTCAAAACTCTGACTGACTGAACGTTTATTTTTCTACATGTTCTTCCCGCGCGTGCCGACTTCAAGCAGCAAGAAAACAGTACTTAAAACTGACCACGACGAACAAGAACGCTGGATCCACCGACTCCAACGAAGCGTATAGGCCTAGCAGGCATTCCGACTTGGCGCTGCGTTGCTTCGTCGCAAGACCGTCTGCGTACGATCGGCTGGCGTGCTAAATGGAATATGCCCGCACGACCCTTGTGGACCCTTCCCGTATTATAGTTTGATCACTGACCTCAATTCTAGATTAACAGGTGAGGTCAATCTCTTCCCCTTGTTTTCCGAGGCAGTGTTGACGAACACTCGTCGAAAAGGGACTCTCGTCGATTCTATCTTCTTGTTTTGTGTGATATAGAGCTGAAATAAACGCCGTATGGATTACCTTCGTAACACGGTATGTACACTTTGTTATTGGTATGCCATTTTTATTCTGACAGACTGCACGTCACTGTCGAGCTATAACCTTTCTTTGCCGAGTGTCGCGTCAGTATCGAGTTGCAATCGTAAAAGAACGGTCCCGAAGCGCTTACAAACAGTGCGAATACAAGACTTCCATCAAGCGCGCGCGTCCGCTTCGAGTGTAAACAGGTATTTACGTGGCTCTTGCTGACACTCGTAGTTCAAACGTATCTTTTTTAACGTCGGCTCGCTCCTGCATCTCCGAGGCCGCGAAAAACGCCATCTACGTCGCTTTGCAAACGACTGACACGGGCCGGCCCTTCTGCCAACAATGACGGGGTGGTTGACTTCTGGAGTCTTCACCGGAAGACTCGCTGCACTTCCCAACAGGCATACCGGCGTATGGGACTAGTCCCATGCTGTCGCTGTAGCGCAACATATCTCATTGAATTTCGCTCAGCTGCGATGCGGCGATGAGAGGCGCCGATTCAGGAAATACGTCGGTGACATCAGCGCAGTAAAACCTACCGGCGCACCCCAACTCGTTGCCGCTAACACTCCCATTCTCCTACTGCCGAGAGAACTTCCGGTTCCGGAAACGGCCTACGTCACGGCTTCTTTTGCGGTCAGTTGGAGAGAATGAAAAAGTCGATATTTCAATAATTTTTTGTGTAGAAGTTAATAAACCGAGACGAAAACGGATGCCTGTTCGGCATTCAGTGAACATTGACGGTTTAATGTAAAAGTTATCTGGAAAAAGTAAAAAGGTCATTTCATGGTCCCTTTAATCTCGCGTTCCTCTCAGTTTGTGTTTCCATAGTGGATATTTATAGGAATTAATTAAGTTCTCAGTTGGACAAGAGCAGCAAGTGCCACCCGGGAAAAAAGGGCACTCCTTCTATCTATTGCCTAGACGTATTTTATGCAGAACACAATAGCGATATATATGCATATCTGGGCAGCGTGAAGTCACGTTGTCGCGGGATGTTACACTGTCGAGTCATGGTGTTATAACAAAGTATTGCCCAATGTCACGTGGCAGAGTGATGTGACGTCACATTACATGACGACCTGAGGCCCAGTGTTACTAGGTCTAGTAACATGATTGATACCTGTCACGTAACCCCAGAACTTTGCAGTGTGAGTCACGTCACACCGCAATGTGACATTACGTGACGAGACGGGGCCTGACGCACGTCACACAAATGACTACATGACCCATTGTGGCATCTCGCTAAATTTAGCAGGACACTGGTCGGTCAAATTTACCCGTTGGTGGCACGGTAAGCCTACGGCAACGCGACGGCTAATAAAAATCTAAGCTTGCTTTTATCGAAACCTGCTTGGTTTCAATGAAAGTCATTGAGACGGAGGCCATCATGAAGACCGTCACTTCTCCCCCCTGAGACGTGAAACTGCGCAGCACCTGGCCGAGGTAACCCCTCTGGAGGGCGCCCTGACTTGGTGCGGCCTGGTGTGCTCCCTGGGCGCCCTGCTGCTCACCTGGCTGGTGCTGAGCTTGCTGAGGGGCCAGGGCACCAACTCCCTGGCCATCCACCGGAACTTGGTGGCCTGCCTGTGGACCTCCTTGCTTCTCTTTCTCCTGGGACTCAAGCTCAGGCGTACCCTGTTACATCACGAGGTACGCCCAAGTCGCCCAGGGCCTTTACTTCGTCGCTGTTCGGATAAAGTAGTATATATGTTCTAGGCACTTGAAAATGGTGGATTTTAAGTTGAAAGCAAATAGCGGTTTGGGTCAAACATTTTCAATACAAATATTGAAGAGTTACTGCTTCGAGCCTTTCACTACTGTTACAACTTGCTTAAATTAATATCCCGCTGAACTCGTGAGGGTCGTTCCAAGCCACCTGTCCACTTCTAAGCTCGGTTAATTTTAGTCCACCTTAAAATCCCGTAAGAATGCCCACCCAAAATGGAGAGATAAATGCTGAAAAACATGGTGTGGGTTATCTTTGGGGATGCGACTGGAAAATTTTATCAAAGGTTAGTGATGAACACTGGGGCATCCACTACAAGCCATGTGACACGGGAACTTATACCGCAGATCGTGAATGCAGCAAGTTCGAGTTTTGTGGTGCAATGATTGTGCAGGAACCTGCTGCAAGCTTGCGTGTCACGCGAACCGATATCACGCGCACAGATATCGGACAAGACTTGGAATCTTGCTACGAACTCGCATGTCACGAGAACAGATACCGCAGGTTGCGAATGCCGCAAATTTGCATTTCACAATGCAACATACCTACACGCGGGAACACTTGGCGCATCACGGGTACTGATTTCGCGCGCGCACAGATTGCAGACAAAAACGCGGGAACCCGCTACGAACTTGCTTGTCACGCATACCGATACTACAGATAATGCAGTTGATGTGATTCACGTTGGACATAGCGTCGCATCCAATGCATTAGACATTGCGTCATGTCTGAAGGGAATCAGGCTGTGCAATGTTTTGGTATTTTTATGTTATGAATATTTAGTAGGGGCGTGCGAATATTGAAATTTTTGAATGTGAATCGAATCTGATTATTTGAAGAAAATAGCTTTGAATACCATGTATGTTTCAGATATGTGTGTACAATTAAGAAGTAACAAAACAAATGAAAGCCGTTTACAACTCCCTGTAACGCCGAATTCGAGCACAGCTCTTGAGGAGGAGGAGGGGAAGGGTACTGAGGGGAAGGTATACCCCTCCTCCCTCCTCCTCACGTCCTCATCCTGTCTGCTGCTCCTCCCTCCGAGCGGTGTCGCCGTCACCTCATGAGGGTCACGTGACCTCACGGGGGTCATGTGACGTCACCGAGGTCATGTGACCTAACGGGGGTCACATGACCCCTATGAGGTCACGGGACGATGACGATGACGTCACTGTCACTGATGACGTCATCTGTGACAACACCAGTGACGTCACTGATGACGTCATCATCACTAGTGACGTCATCAGTGACGATGACAATGCGGATGCCGATGACGTCATCAGTCATGTCACCAGTGACGTTAGGAATCCCACAATGAACCACGCAATTACGCCAACGGCGATGCCGTTCTAGGCGGAAACAGGCGCCTAAGAGCTGCGCTCTAAAAAAAAAAAGCAGATACTTTCTTTATTACTTTCCAAACTGAAAATGATGACAAATTCAAGTAAATGAAACTAACCATCTAGGCAGCATCTAAAAAATGTAATTGGTAACACAGCTATTATACCTTGACTAGTAATCACCTGTCAACTGTACATGAAAGCAAACAAAAGGTGCAACTGATAAGTTATACAAATTGACAAAAATAAGAGAGTACAAAACTGCATGTCTTTTTTTTTTTCTTCACTTACGTATAGCATAACTTTTTTTTTTCTATTTACTTCTCTCCCTTGTATTGTCAAAGGCCCTGAGGATATCAAAACTTAACGAGCAGCCAAACAGCCTTCGCTCAGTATCTAGCCATAATACCATGATATAATGTTGAGCACCGTGATTGCGTCAACAAGCGTAGAATAACAATGGACGGGAAGAGGTTTCGGTGTGAGACCTTCCTTATGTCCACTTTGTTGAATTTTTGGCACTCGGCACCTTAGTCAGGGGAGCGGTCGTTGTGCGACTGCAAGCAAAGCTGAGAAGGCAGAGTGCGTGCCTCTCACTCCGAAGGACGGGTTTTTGTCCCTGGCAGCGGTTGCTCTTTTCATATTTTGTCGGCTGTTCTTGGACGTTTTAGTCCGATCTCTATACACGAAGCATCATCCACTGCCAGCAGCTGTAGCGTGGTTTTTGGCCGACTCGGTGGAAAGAAAGATCTCCGACACATTTGACCTTCTATGTAGGGTGGGTCGAAGCATTCACTCGTGGAGCTAGTGGTTTGGAGTCAGGGACCTGGATCGGGAATGCTGGTTATGGCCTCTCAGAGCAGGTGTAGGCAGAAAACTTAGATTCGAGGGAGAAAGAGAGAAAGCAACTCAAACCATGGAGAGCGTTTGCAATTTAATGGCGGATACTTTCTAGGCAACTTGATCGCAAAGCCACATGCCTTGCATTGCCGCGTTGCGAGGAAGAAAGCGGGCGGAATAGCAGAGACGCTTGTGGACAATCAACACTTTCATCGCCTCCTCTCAGCTTGTATTGCAATTGCAGCCTATTAACCACGTGACCCTGGTCGAGCAGTTGGAAACACTGAAATTTAGGCCCATGAAGCCATATGTAGGCTTTGAAAGTGACAGAGAAACGCGACCGACGTGGAAGTGATTTGAACGGAGGTCTCACCCGTCGGGCGCAGTTCCCGTGCAAGCTGCTGGCGATTTCCCTGCACTACGGCTTCCTGTGCGTCTTCTCGTGGTTGTGGCTGGACGCGGTGCACCTGTACCGCATGCTGACGGAGATGAAGGACGTCAACCACGGCCACATGCGCTTCTACTACGCCCTCGGATACGGGGCCCCCGCCGTCGTCGTGGGCCTGGCCGTGGGCGTGCGGGCCGACCACTACGCCACCCACAACTTGTGAGCATTGGCGAGCACGTCTCATTCTTTTGACGCGGAGTGCGTTTCGGGGCCGGTCTTCAAGCGACGAGCATTTCGTGAAAGAGTGTCACCAAAGACCCTCGCACGGACAGTGAACCGCTAAGTTTGGCAGGCGAGAGATGTCGCGCTGCATTTAGCGCACAGTCGTCATGCTATGTGTCACGGGGTCACGCAGCATTGTCTGGATGATGCAAGTGTGACGACGTTGCGTGACCCGACGTTGTCGTCGCACGCCCACGTGATGGCATTAGTGGTTGATGTCTTGCATGCTAAATCCAACGAGCGAGACATTGCCCCATTCAAGTTTGGCAAATTTCGTTGACTCGGTATATTTCTAACTTTGGCAGCCGTTGCAAGGGCATCACCAACGCAGCGGGACTCCCTTGCGGGTGGCGTCTCACTCCCATTGGCCGGCGGAAGCAATCGTGCAACAATAGCCACGACCGACCCGAAGCAGCTTGATACATGCCGCACATTTTATGTGTGTCGACTTTATTCGGGGGAGTGAGGTGCCTTCATTAGCTCGGGTTGCAAGAATGCGCCACACATTCCGTTTGGGTCTGCCCACCCTTTTCGTAGGTGTGTTGTTCCATGGCAGCCTTTTCGAACAGAGACTGTTGTCGGAAGGAAACGCATGTGAGGCACAGTGGGGGAAAGCCTGTAAGCATTGGAACATTCCCTTCCAGCTGCTGGCTCTCCATGTACGAGAGCATCGTGTGGAGCATGGTGGGACCCATCTGCGTGATGGTGCTGGTGAGTGGCCGGCCAGTTGTTTCTCGCTTACACTCTGCGAAAGTCTGTGGAGTGCTCGATTCAAGATGAAAGGAAGAGTGTACCAGGCTCTAGGCTCTGGAGCCCAGTGTACTTTCAAGGCCTCGGTTTGAGGAACCCCACTTTATCCCCAGTCTGTCTAACAAGCTAAGATGTAGGCCCTCATTGCTTAACCAGCCGTAACAGAGTCATTGCGACAACAACATTGCTCAACCAGCCGTAACAGAATCGTTACGACAACAACGCATCTCCTGCTTGTAACTTGGAGCGATGGTGGTCAGGCGCCCCTCAGCTTGTCTCGTTCTACAGGCCACCCTGGTCACGTTCAGCCTGTCCATCCGGGCGAGCGTTCAGATCAAGGACACTGTCATGGACTTCGGAAACCTCAGGTGGGTTGAAAGCTTGACGATGTGGGATCCACAGTTGCGTGGGAACCCTAAGTGTTTGTCAGGGTAAGAGTACTGGAGAATGGCGCGAAACATGATCGGCACGACCCTTACTCCACAGCCAATAGAAGTAGCTACCAGTTATGAAAAAGACAGTTAAAATGGCTCCACCTTCCTCGTCCGACATAGTGATGCGTGCCCCTACTCTGGCCCGATTCCCCAAAATGCAGCAGCGTCAGGCACACTTTACGACGAGTAATTAGAAATTTACCGCAGTTCCTTTTTGACCCGTCCAGACGGATAGCCACGGCTGAAGGTTGGAATTAACCTTCAGTTTCGAGTGAACCAACGATTACTACCCTTAATTCTGCAGTTCTCGTTTCTCTGGGGGATTTCTGGAGTCGGAAAGTTTGCTCAATGGCTGCCGCCCTGCTTCTTGGTCCTTGGACCGGACAACCATCCATTTTTAGCTTGCCCAATATTTGCAGAAATTTTAATGGGTGCCTTCTTTGTCACTATAACTTCTGCGTGGCTTGCAACGAGCGACTCTGGCTGTCCGTCGAAAGAGGCATTAGTCTTTGGCGTTTCGAGGAACATTGTCTAAGAAAAGATACCAGCACATTTCAGCGAATATATATTCAGTGGGCACAAGAATCTCCTTGTCTCACTTTGTTTTTTCGTCAGATGCGAGCTTTTTTATTTATCTATCGAAGCATTTCGCCGACTTCAAGTGGGGTATTGATAGGACGGTGCGTCTGATAGAGCTTTCCCTGCTCATAGTTTACGTTGCCTATCAACTGGTTTGCCTTTCTTAAATATTTACCATTTTCCGAGAGCTCGAGCAAACGTTCTCGTGCTCAAAAGATGTGCATTAGTACACCTGCAGAGAACATGGAATAGGTAGGTGCCACCAGCTGTCCTGTTGTCACGCTGATCTTCGACGCACACATAGAGACTAAAGTCACTGTGTCCAGATGTGTGTATCTAGTACAGCTCTGGTGCCTGGAGCACGCCAATGACTGGCGTGTTTACCGCATTCTCGAGTGTGGTCTCTCAATCTCTGCTCAATGAAGACTCACTCATGCCATGCCATTGTTAGCCGCAATGCCGGCAGTGGTGCAGCGGCAAAGGTGATGCAACAGACGTCCGTTCTGCCGTAGTTTTGCTCTTAGGTCGACAGCCCACGAAAGTTCTTACAGCGACGAGTTGGAACGCCACGACGACGGCGGCACTTGCAATCTCGTCGCTTTTGCCCAAAGTTCTTCGACTAACCGCCAGGGTTACCCTGAAGTTGCCACTTCAGAACCCCTTTCGACGCAGTATAGGACTCTCAACACACCAGTCGAAGATGCGTTCCAGATACCGTAGGCGGGTGCCTCCGGCCATCTTGTTGCCGCGTGCATCCAGAACGGCCGAGGCCACGTGCGATGGCTTGGGGGGTGCAATTTACCTTGTTCTTAGTGCATAGACGTACCTCACGCTCGGGCGGGGCTGATGCTCAGGGTGCTGCTGTGGGTGAGTGTGCTGCTGCTGCCCCTGGTGGGGGGCTGCTGGACCCTGGCCCTGCTCTCTGTGGGGGACGAGCCCCTGGCCCTGAGGCTGGCCTTCCCCCCGCTGTGCTGCCTCACGGGTCTCTACGTTTTCCTGGGCTACTGCATACTCAACAAAAGGGTGAGGCACGCTCGGCTGACCGCTGGCAGCTACGGGTAAAATGCTTCGATGTGCGGCTTCGCTTAGCGTAATATCCCGATTCGTCACCTCCTGCCGCCTGAAATTCCCAAAAAAAGTCGGGTGGGCTGTGTCTTGGTGGGAAAGTGCAAAAAGTTCAGAAGAAGCTAAAAAGTAAAACCCATTTTTCTCTATGCATCTAGCGCAGCAGCACGGGAGGTGCACTGAACTCAAAACTCTATTTAGTTAATATTGTTTTATACACAAAACGCTCATGAAACAATATTTTACTATCGCTAAGCCTGTTGCCTGTTGGCATCCTTTCGTATTCCAGTACGGCGTGAACGCCTTTCTTGAGAGCATGTTTCCAAAAGCACAATGTTCTCTTTGTTAGACTCCCTAGCGTTTGCTGATCCGTAGGTTCAAAAATAAGTGGAGTAAAAGTGAAAGACGTTTACAGATTTCTGTAACGCGAAATTAGAGCACAGCTCTTAAGGAGGTGAAAGAGGGGAGAGTATGCCTTTCCTCCTCCCCCTCATCCTTTTGTCCTCCCGGAAACGGGTGCCTAAGAGCTGCGCTGTAAGAAGAGAAGCGACCAAGAAATGTAAAAACCAAACAGGCACAATGAGCGAGCAGGCGAAAGAAATAAAGGATGGCGAGACTGTTCCAAACATCTGCCGACCTTATTAAACATGGTCACAATGTTCCAGGAGAAAGACGAGGTATTTGCAGTGACCCCATTTCGACGGAGACAAACTTAATGGGGTCGCTTTCAGTTACTAACATAAGAAAGCATTTTTGACCTTCCAAGACATGCAAGTTGTGAGTGTGTGCTTGTCTGTCCTCTGCGTGTTTCTGTGTGATATGTTTCTGTCTTTTTGCGCACAACCTTAATCATGTTTGACCTTACCTTTTGCACTCACATTTCAGGATACTGTATGTTCCTTGACCTCACAATCTATGAATAGGTTACTGCTTGGGCTAGCTCTCTGTTTATTTTTTGTCTCAGCTTTGTGTAAACAAAGCATAGCTTTATGCTGTTATCTCCATCGTTTTCTAGTCGCACGAAAGTACTCCAACTTTGGAGTTGCAGCAATCAGGGACGATATCCGTCAACGAAGTAAAGTTCTTTTCCCTCCTTCGTTTTACTTTGTCACGGATGTCCTTTGATCGTACGTTCTGCAGTCGTGACATTCAGGGAGGATGGGTGTTGGCAGATCGGAAGGCCCGTGTTATGGTTTGTGTAGGGGTGGGCGGCCACTCCGTGTTTGTTTGGAAATTTATAGTTTGCCCAACAACTGGGGTGGGCGATGCCTCGGGGTATTACGGGTGTCTGTTTCTACTGGAAAAAGAGATAACTCTTACCTAAATTCCACGCATGCTGCGAGCTCGACGGACCTGGTGGGCGTTCCGTGGTACAGTAACCGCCACAATCAGTTGGCTTATCTAGTGACACTGTAGTGACCAAGGTTTCCCGTATTTACTCGCACAATGAACGCACCCCCCAAGTCGGCTCTCAAAATTTTTACTTTTTTTTTCACTCGCGTAATAAACGCACCCCCAACTCGGACGTCAAAATTTTGACCCCCTCCCTCCAAGCGCGCGAAATGAACTCACTTTTCTATCCTGGTGCAGCGAGGTCGCAAATGCATGGGCAGCGTGGAGGAACAAAACGCCTTGCAAAAGGCGTTAAAAAAATTCGCAAAGATCGAACGGAAGCAAAAAAAAAACATAAAAAAAAAAGCTTTTCTTTTTTTTTTTTTTTTTTGCACAGCGCAGTTTGGATTTTGGGTTTGCGCGCAAGGAGGTAAGAAAGAAAAGCGCTCTAAGCGAACGAAACAGCTTGCAAAAGGCGGCAAAAAAAAATGAACTAGGGAAACAAAAACAAAGAGCTTTTTTTTTTCTTTTTTGCACAACGCAGATTGGTTACGGGGGGGGGGGGGGGGGGGGGGGGGTCGCGCGCTGCGCGCAAGGAGGTAAGAAAGAGGAGCGGAGAAGCCCTCTAAGCAAACAAAACAACTTGCAAAAGGCGCCAAAAAAAAACAAAAAAAAAAACAAGCCACCGAACTGAGAAAACAAAACAAAAAAAAAGAGGAGCTTCTTTTCTTCTTTTTTTGCACAACGCAGTTTGGTTACGGGAGGGGGGGGGGGGGGGGGGGTCGTGCGTCGCGCGCCGCGCGCAAGGAAATAAGAAAGATAAGCGGAGAGCTCTCGCCTAAGCAAACAAAACAGCTTGGGAAAGGTGGCAAAAAAACCAAAAAAACCCAATAAACTAAAAAAAAAATAGTTTTTTTTGTTTTTTTTTTTTGCACAGCTTAGTTTGGTTACGGGGTCGGGCACCGGGAGCCGCGCAAAGAGATAAGAAGTTCTTTCGATTTTTCAGGATAAAAGGTCCCTTCATTATGCCAGTAAATACAGTAAATAGGGACGCAAAAATTTTACCTCGCGTAATGAACGCCCCCCCCCCCCCTAACTTTGCATCGATTTTTCGGGAAAAAAAGTGTGTTCATTCTGCGAGTAAACACGGTATTTATTTACGACATTTACGTTAATCGCATTATTTGAATAGATGTAGCTACAGTAATGACTACCTTCCAGACTGCAATTGGTACACGATCCCTAAAAGCAGGTACTAAAATGCTGTTTCAGATAAGTCGACGGGCGTTTGAGTCTGAAACTTCTAGGTTGAGACGTCCGCGTAAGCGAGCATTCAATGGCCCGTTCTAAAACTATTAAGCGCCCCCACATTTTCTCGATTCATTACGGCAATTCAATGTACGGTGTCTGAAGGAGTACTTATGAATAGGAGAAATTATTTGCATTTATTTACTGAGACAAAAAAACAAAAACATTCTGCCTCGTATTTAAGGGTGTTTACTTCGTTTAAAACTGTCATATTCGCAAATCTGAAAAAAAAAAAAAGAAAAATAGAACAGAATTATTTTAATAACAAAAATAAGTATGTATCGGCTTCGTTACGTGTTTGTTCCGTCTTCCCCGTGTTCCGAACCCACGGTGGCGAGAGTGAAGGGATTACGCCACTTTCGGGATTTAAGGAGCGCACGGGTCGACCCCAGCACACGTCTGAACGACCCCATTTCCTACGTGGTGCAGTGCACCGTGGGATAGCGAGAGGCCTTGCAAGATATTTTTAAAAGTTATATTTGTACTTCGTACAGTCACTTCAGTTATCTGTTCAGAGCTCGCGGCCGACCACTGGTGCCCTGTGCTTCAGCTGCTTTTCCCTGCATGCAGGTGCGGCAGCACCTGTGCTACCTGTGGGCCCGGCTGCGGGGGAAGAAGGTGCCCTACGACGAGAGCCTCAGCGGCACAAGGGCCTCCATGATCTCCGTGAGTAGCAACCACAAAGACTTCGTGTCCAAAGTAAATATTAGCGACTGAATTTCGATCAAACCATCGTACGTGGAATGGCATTTAAAGAGGAACGCAGTCGACGCTCACGTTCAATGTCTTCCTGGCTCGTGCCGTTGCGTCTTTTCGAAGCATGGCGTCATCGTCCTCTCCTAATGACGATAATAATTCCTGGAGGAGGGGACTAAGGGGGACAAAGGACAGACACAAATCTCCAAACACTGCTAGGTGACTGGTGCGGTCACGCACCAGTCACCTAGCTGTGTTTGGAAATTTGTGTTTGTCCTTTGTCCCTCTTGTTCCCCTTCTCCAGGGATTATTATCGTCATTCCTGTCCAGCTCGCTTACACCTTTGCATTAATTGCATTATCATCACATTCTCTCCTACCTTTTTTGTTGTCACAACGACACCGAGAATGCGCAGACTGAGGCAGCGGAGATTCATGTAGGGCGACGCATCCGCACACACGCATTTGTCAACACTTACGGGTGGTTATCTGTCTGGCAGGTGGCCGACTCCACTACCCTCTACTGCACCACGCTACGCATGCTTTATACAGTTACAATATCAGAGTTACCCTGAAACGCAGTACTGCAGTAATAAAGGCCCTTTAACACATACACCACAGTGCTATAACGGTGCCTCGATGCGTGTGATCTGACCTCTTGTTTACAAACACAACGCAGCGCTCACTCAGCACTCAATTAGCACTCACTCAGCACTCACTTGGTGCTCACTCAGCACTCAGTCAGTGCTGAGAGTTGTGCTGATGCATGGACGACTTTAAATGATCTCTGTGCTAAGATGCACGTGTGAAGCGGCCCTAAGCGTTCCTAGTCTGGGATGCCTCCCACCTTAGCAGAGTGTTTAGAGTGTATACCCCTTCGCAGCGCTCCGCCCTGGCCTACCACAACTCGTCATTTGACGTGCTGCACCGCAACGTGGGCATCTCAACCTCCTCCACGACGAGCCGCTCCACCGCCAAGACCTCCAGCAGCCCCTGGAACAGCAACGGCAGGCTACCCCGCAGGAGGACCCACGTCCGGGACGGTGAGGCACCTTCTTTCTTACGGGCTGGAGACGCTTTTGACCTCAATGCAAGTTTCCGTCGTCTTAAGCAGACACTTGACTCCCCAAAAGCGTTTTTGTTACGTGCTTGGATGTAGTCGCTGACATGGTGAATAGGTTGGAAGAAGCTTCAGTTGTCCTGCCTCCAGTACAAACTTTCTGCCTTAGACAACGCTTGGAGGTCTCGTTCACCTTGAGCATACGTGGACAGCCAGAGCACTGCGAAGGGCAACTAGCGCATGCTGGAAGCGTTGGAAAAAGACACCCTGTCGTCTTCACTTATATTATTCAAGTTATATTATTGCAGTAATTGACGTAACAGTTTGAAGAACTGAATGAACGGAAACTGCAGTGTTCATTGTGTTGAAGATAAGTTCTCTGGACAACAGAACGACGGCATACGGGAGCTAGCGTGAAATGCAGTGCCTTCCATGTTCACCCACAAGCCACGGAGATCCCTCTTTTCCGAGGAATTGAGAAAAAGGTATATTGTCTGCATAGTATTTAAGAACTATGCGTTAATCGACTGCCACTGTACAGACTTGCTGCTAGCTCGCCGTGAAATTCTCTCGTCATATTGATGTATCACGTTTCCTACGTGCTTGTACGATACTGCATTGCTCTTCACGCATTGACTACCTATACGCCGGTTTTATTCTGCGCACGCGACATCATTGGCGCGTGTCAGCTCGGGGCACACGGAACAAAAGGTCACGCTGCAGAAACCAGGGATCATGGGCTCAATCCCCATCCTTTCCCATTTTGATGTAGATGAGCATCGTACCAACACGCTTTCGTGTATCACTACTGCATGATGCACGTTACAGACGCCAGAAAAGCAGTCATAATGCACCGGCTAACTGAGAAACTAGACAAAAAGTTGGCGACAGAACCGCAAAACTGCCGCCTGCTCACCACAGAGCCCGCTCTGTCGTCTGCTACCGTAAGGTGATTTAGGCTCAAAACGAGGCTTCTTCGCTTGCTCAGACCATGACAAGTGATGAAAATGCTTTTAGACTGTTTGCCTACGATATTAAAAACAGTTTTAACATGATAAATAGCCTAGATATAATGAAACCACAGCTTTCTTCCATACCCAGTACGTCCACCGTGCAAGAGTCTGAGCTCTTTTGGCATTCGCCGCTAGCCGTGGAGGGGGGGCGCTACAGTTGGCGTTACTCTGCTCCCTACAGGAGCACTAGGAACGGTCAAGGTGTGGCCGTTCATAGTGGGCGCGATTGGTGACCACTACTATTTAAAAGTCAGACTTCTCAACTTTAGGTACGGTGCCTGGGAGCTCGGGAAAAATGGTCTCGCTTTATCACGGGCTGTTTTAATGCTTCTGGAGCAGGGAAAACCGTTTCCTGCGACTTCAAATAAAGATCCGAATAATCAAAAATGGTTCGAAGCACCAAGATGGCATCAGTGTCGTTACTCCGAGGTGCAGCTTATGTAGTGGTTCTGGGCGGACCTTTTCTTCCCGACTTGTTTTTGTGAACCCTGCGTTTGGTTTTTTGTATTTGCAGACCCGGACACCGGGGAGGCAACGCGGAAGCGCCGAACCACGTCGGACTCAGACTCCGAGATGTCGCTGGACCACGCGTCGCTGGACCTGGCGTCTAGCCACAGCTCGGACGAGGAGGAGGCCAAGCCCGCCTGGAGGGGGGACGTGCCCGGATTGGCCCCTGTCCGCGAAGAAGGTGGGGCTACCCGCTTGCTCAGGCACGGACGAGTTAGAGCGAAAGGCTTTCTTGCAGCCTTCGTGGGGGCATCGCAGCTCTGTGGCATCACCGCAACCTCGCCCCCTCCTACGGCACTTTAACTCCTTCAAAGAATGAACCCCAACCTCGTCAAGCAGGCCTCTTCGCTAAAGGGTCAAATTGGAGGAATCCCCAGAGTAGTCGGACCTCCCCGCCAAGAGGCTGTCTGCCTGCAGGGACTTATGCGGAACACACCTTGCTCTTCATCTTCTCAAAAAAATTGAGTTTCCATAAACAAATATTTCTGTACTGTAAGCCAAAACCATTTCAGTCGGTGTGCTACAGTCATCTAAGATGAGAACATTGGCACTCATTCTCAATCGCTGTGGTCGGAACAGATGTCCAAAGTGGTTCGGGCAGTACTGGCAGGTTTTGTATCGTCACATACTGTGTGGCTAGGAAAGGTTTCGTTGCTCCTAAGGGACAGCAAAGGCTGTAAGGAAAGCCACTCTCTAGCCCGGCTGTAACTTAAAACACTCAATAAAACCTAAAAAAATAAAAGCCGTTTTTTCGGGTTTTTTAAGGGCTTTCTAAATGCATAGCATTTAGGCCTATGCGCTTCTCCTTTTGTGGGCACAGTAAAGAGGCTATTGAAGAGGGTTTTGTGAAAATCTTCAGCCCTTCCGCTCTGGTGAAGAAGGAAGAGCGGCGGAGCTGTGGGCTTCTTCGCAGCAGAGCAAATGCCTGGCAGGAACCGTGCATTGGCCTCACTAAACCAGTTGTCCAAACCATGACCCTCCAGACCAAAGACGGCTGCATGCACTGGGGCAATAAATGCTAACACATGTAAAACAGGTGCCGGTTAGGTGCCTTAGGATGTCGTAACATTTACAATACGAGCACGAGCCAGCGAAAGCGAGACCACAAACTCTTGGCACCATTCAACTCGCTTTCTCTAAAAACCCGTCATTCCCGCCGTCGGCCCTCCAAAGGTCCCGGGGGCGAGAAGGGGCTCGCAGAGACGGTGGCCGTTCCCGCCCTAACTGCAGGTCGCCCGCGCCATCCTTTGCAGACGTGCAGCAGGCTCCCCCGGGGTCCCCGCCGCGGCGCGAGCGTCCCCACCTGGGCCCCAGCCTGTGGGACTGCGGCCTGCCCCCGCAGCTGGGCTCCCTGCCCTGCGCCCCTCCTCCCACGACGTCCCCGAGCGGGGCCTGGCCCCGAGAGGGGGACCTGCGCAACAACCTGGACCAGCCCACGCCGGGCAAGGAAGCCGTCTGCCACAAGCCCAACATGCTGGCCGCGTCGGACTCCGAGTGAGCCCCCGGGGGACGCCCCTCGAGGTACGGTGTCCGGGGCGCGTCTCCGACTGGTGCGGTTACTGCGTCCTCGTTTGTGGTCCCCTGGTTTCCACTCGGCGACATCGTAGAACCGTGGTGTAGTTGCCTGCCACGATTCTGGCCATAACGGGATGTGGCAGACGCCCGTTCTGCTGCGGGTTGCTCTTCGGTTCGGCCGCTAGTTGGGAAACTACGACGACGGCGACACTCGCGTTCGTTGACGTCTTCCGGCGGAACTTTTGGACTGTCCGCTAGGATTGCAACAAATTTTTTTACCAATTTGGGACCGCTTTCGACGCGTGGGCAGTTTAGGACGCTAAACACACCAGTCGAAGACACGATTCGGGCACCGTACCGACACTGACTGGCGCACTTGCTGGGAAATTTTTGGCGAGCCCAAGCTCGTAGACTCCGGCACTTTCGTTCCACGTTAGGCCTCATTCACACAGCCGGCGTTTCTCCCATCCCGGCACCGTCGCGAGGGGCGTTCCTGGCAGGGGAGAGGATTTTCGGCCTGGTTTTTGCCGGAAAGTTGTGCCGCGCCGGGTGCCAGGCGACGTAGGGAGCTGCTCTACGGCACCGACGTCCCGGCAGATGATGGAGTTCCACCACCATCGAAAACCGACCGATCACAAAATAGAAAAGTTTCGCTAAGTTTGGAAGATTTTTCATCGTTCGGTTGCCAACAGTCAGCCAACGCTTGTGTTGTTTTTCTTGTTCCTTTTCGGCGGGAATCGGTAATAGCTGACGGAAATCTTTAGTTTACAAAAAAAAGAAATATGCGCACTAATGTTAAGGCACAATTATCTCTTTATTTTGTAATTTATGTTGAATAAATAAGCAATCCCATCCAATCTAATCCTGTCATTGCGGCTGCCGTCCCTTTGCTTGCGCGGCCTGTTTGGACACCCTGCCGTCGTGACGGTGCTGGGATGGGAGAGGCGCCGGCTGTGTGAATGAGGCCTTGGGGCGGCGGTAGCGGCGAAGCTCGAGCGAGAGCTGCTTTGGATGCGGCCCAGCTACGCGAGCCGAAACTTGCCAGAGCTAGGAGTGCATGCCCCTAACCTCACCCCGCTATGATTCGAAGTGAAACGGGGTGCTAGAAGCTACCTCTTAGAAGCTGAAAATTGGGCCTTCTGACTGGTCGGTGTTGGCCACTCGGAAAGCTCCATCTTCAGCTTCCAGAGACATCGAAACGAAAGTTCGGAATTTCGATACTCGAGAAGCATAGTTATCCTAGCCGAGTGGAAAGCGGGCAAACTTGCTTTCTCCGAGAATGTGCAGCAAACTGCCCAGAAAGTTAGACGCAACGTATGATTTATGTGGAGGCAGCAGCTGGATTGCCACATTGCATTTGTGTAAATATGGGAGGATGAACCTGCTTGAATTGATGGTACTAAAGAAAATAAAGATCACCTATGCAGAATGGCCTTGTGCAGTTGAGCCCTTTTCTTGTCGGGGTTTACGCACGACAACGCGGATGATGGGAGAGCTTGACTGGATGAAGGCTTCATTCTCTGGATTTGTACCCCCGCCCAGACTTTCGTGGTACAGTCGAACACACGTCTAATGAAGTGAACACGAATCACAATGTTCACTGTATCCAGCATTTGTTATATCATATATTAGCAGAAAATATTATGAAATGTTACTATGCTAACTGCACATAGTTCTATTGCATATAGAACATACCTAAAAAGGTGGCTGTTGCCCTATTTTTGTAAGTTTTTCGCGCAAAGTAGGTGCAGCAAAGCTGCATTTTTTGTTTATTACAATACTCAGAAGTTCCCTTCAAAATGTGGTTCACCTTTTTCTTGTCAGGCATCTCGGGGTCGAATGGTCAACAGAGCTGGAGAATCTCTTCAATATATTCCGCGAAGGTCGTTTTCTGATTGTTGAACCTGCATGTTGAATTTCCTTTCGGCTGCGAGTTTTCGAACTGCAGGTCGTCCAAGTACTTCGTTGATTTTCGTGGTGAACTCTTCCCAGGTGTTGAGGGCGGCTTCGTGGTTCTTGAACGACAAGTTGGTGACGTCCGAAAGAGAAGACAGCGTTGTGTAACTCAGTGGCCGGATCCCATTCACTCATAAGAGTCTAACGTGTCATCAACGTCGTCGTCGCCCGCTCCAGGGTACCATTTTGGGTCTCGTTGGCAAAGTGCTCAGGGGTACACGACAGGTACTGGAGTGTCGGGAGGGTGACTGGAGTTGGAAGCATCGGGGGTACCCATTGGGCCGGCTTGCATGGTGGATCTGAGGACGCGGCTTCGAAGTTTCAGGTTCATGTTCAAGTACTGGGGATTTATTTGTTTATTTATTCTGCTTACTGTGCCCACAAACAGCTCGAGGCCTTATTAGTGTGCATATATTTCGAACAATAAAGTTCCTCGCTTTTATTAATGAAGAGTGCTCAAGGTAAGACACATAACTCGTTCAAATTTCGTTTCCAGCTCGGGCACTGTTGGAAAAACTGTCTGCATCTGCAGAACAGATACAGACAAACAAACAGGCAAGACGTGATTTGGAAACGATAAAAGGAAATAAATAAAACTACGGAGAACAACAGAGCACAGATGTTTGTCAAGCGGCCAATGATGTTCTTCTAAAATTTAAGAGGGGTGAAAACAATTCTAAATCCCTCCTATCGCGATTATAAAGGAGCTGAAGGCGTGTCATTGGGAATTGGACACCAACTTTTCGGGGGTAGAAAAGAAATTAAAATCTGATACGCTTTTGAGGAACACTGAAAGGAATCTCACTTAAAAGCAAAGGTGCATGAATTGTAGCGTTCACCATCTTATACAAAAAAGTAATGTCTCACGTTAATCTTTTGTGCAAGGGTCAAGCAGATGAAGTAAGCATTCATAATCAAAATAAATGTGCCTCCCAACCCATCTATCGCAAACAATACGTACGAGACGACGCTGCACTTTTTCTAAAATACATGATTGAGTTGATTCAATGATGTTCCATACGACTGAGTTGAACTCAAGTTTAGATGGTCGAGATCGAGGAAAGCCCCCAATTCTCCATTACTTCTTAGATGAAGAAGTCACAGTCATTTTAGTGTAAGCCAAGCATCAGATTCGAACGGATTCAGCCAGCCCGTGCCACACATGTATTTACTGACGATGATATCGGTGATGAATAGAGACTACTATGTCTGACTAAGCATGCTTATCTTCTATGTGACAGTATTGATGAAAGAAAAACTACCTTCTAAAATGAGGAGCATTTTATTTCTATATTGATTTGTCAATAAACATCTGGAACAAAGCATAGCAATACTTTTACCGTTGAGCGAAAGATTCCTTCGTACAAAGTTTGTGGCAAAAAAGTGAAATTGAGAAAAATTAATTAAAACACTGACCCTTTACTTTATTAATTTCTCACAATCTGCACCCTCTAAAAGGCTCCAGCAGAGTAGGTCTGTCCTTCAGCTGCTTTGTCTCTTGAGAATTTCTTGTAACATCCTTTGTGGGCCACTTGGAAGACTATGCCATGTGCCATCTGCTATGTTGCTATAGTTGCTATGTGCCTTCTGCTTCCCTTTTGAGACCTTGGATTGCACGTTTTTGTCAAAGTGCTGCATCTGGTGACTCCCAAGCTCTATCCCCGTCTCAAAAAGATCCCCTTCAAAGCCCTTAGGGCCCAAGTAGAACTCGAGCACTGCGAGTAGAGCAGCCGTTTCGACCGTTCTTTGAGACACAAATTCTGTCTTCATATACCACCTCTAGTCCAGAGCACTAAATGCCTCGTTCGAATTCTGAGTCTTCATTTTGGCACATCTTTCCAGAAGGTCATGACAGGTTAAATGGCTGTGCAAAGGAACCAACTCCTCTGCAATTTCCCTGGGACAGGCAGGGCTGTTCAACTGAGGCTTTCCCATTGGCTCCAGTGATGTATGGTGGTTGCGATGTCGCCATGAATCTTCTCCTTGAAGGCAAGCCCGATGCTGGGGCAATTCATCAGTACGGTTAGAGTGCAGGAGGCTGCTAAACACACTTTTCTGCATTGCTTGAACTTTTAGGGCATGCAGCTTCAGTGCATATAGTGTTTATATTTATAATAGTCTGTCGACCTTTTCATGACCACACTGGTCAACTTGCACCATCCACCGAGCCTGATTTTTTTCTTTCTTGAGGGCCTCCGATCAAGAGCTCATCTTTACATCGAGCGCCGAGAGCTGGGTGTTTGAAAATAGTTAATAATTGTTGGCTGCTCACCCAGTGATGCGATTGACCCGAGTAATTTTGTAGCATCTTTTAGAGCAGCCAAAAGTCCATTGGGAAGCAGAAAAAAGTACTTTTAGAGCACAAGCACACAAGTCTATTTTATTCATACCACTGTCAATATTATGTCAAGATTTGTGTGTTGGCCCATCCAGCTAAAAAACATACTACTAGGCAACTAAAAAATGTTCATGCTTTGACTTCACACTTCTGTGCAGTGGCAGGTTTGATTTCCTTAAGGGGAGACACTGCCCAGAAAAAAAATTTCTGCAAAAAAAGTTGATTTTGAAAAATGACATCTTGACATCCACCAACATCTAGAGAGTATTCCCAAAAAGTTTCATTAATTTTCACTGTGTAGTTAATTTTTTATAAATTATTTTCTGTCCACCAAAGCTATAGAAAAGGTAGGGTTTGGAGCACTTCGAACACATTTTTCTCCGTTCCGCTTTTTGGTATAAATTCCATTTTAGTCAATCTATCGTTTGATAACGGCAAAACAGGGAAGGCTCATTCTTCCCTTTTCCTGACTGAAATTTAATAAGGAGTGCGGCTATGGAACTTTTTTGTCACTTTACGAATGTCTTTTCTAAAATAATGTTGACATTTTGTCGAAGGCACAGAAGACCAAAACGTTAACCAATTTTGCAGAAGAGAAACTTTATAGAAATTAATTACTTTTTAGAAAAAATGCTCCATAGCCACACCCTCTAGGCAATCTGCTACATATCTAGCAAATAAAAATCTTTAATATCGCAATAGTTTTCTGACGATAGATTAACTAAACAACGTAGGCGTGTTGCTGATAGAAGCTACTCTTATTTCCTTCTCATTTAACCGACAGACCTGAAATTTTGTCATACACCCTCTAGCATGACCACCAGCCTACCCTGTAAATTTCATTAATTTTAAAACAAGGGTTGAAAAGTTGACCCCCCTAGGGGGTGTGCCCCCTTAAACACAGAACTATTGTCCGTTGCAACTCAAGAAGCTAGGGCGAGGGAAACGAAGGCCAGGGAGGAGGAAGCAGACGGAATGCTGGAGAGAAGAGGAGGTTTCCCCCTCTCCTTTTCAGCCTTCCTTTCCCTCACCCTACCTTCTCGAGCTGTAACTTACGTGACTGTACTTCTGGTCTATCTCAATACACACACCGGAAGTGTGGAGGTAAACCGAACAAAGCAAGTCTTCTCGTACGCCTCCAATGACGCGCCACTGTTGAGGCCCACCGATTTCTAGTCACTTTGCGAGAAGTGTTGGAGCTTTGGCAATTTGTTTTGTTTTTTTATGCTGCGCCTCTGCGAGTTTGTTCGTTAAAAGTGAGCTAAAATTATGTAGAAAATATTGCCGGAGGCGCAAGCGAGAATTATTGGTTATAGTATTTAATTATAAGTGGGTTTGATTGTGATTGAGCTTGATCCTTCCAACCTCGCTAGAGAAACTGCCACCGAGGCTCATTACCTAACAAGTGCAGTACAAGCGCGGAGCAGAATGCACCATTAAGTGCACCTCAATGAATTGAAGTAAAGTGCAGGAACCTGCAGCAACCAGGCACTGGTACAGAACTCTATCCGCCAAGTCAAATGAGAACCACAGTTGAAAATGCCTCGGGGGTTTCAGCAAGATGCCCCAGTTGCTTGCATTAAAACGGCGATTGATTGAAGCTTTAGCAAACTCGTCTTCACTCCCAGTTCTAGTGAGACGCCAGAGTGCAGCCGATAGCTCTAATTCAAGGAGGAGCACGAAACTGGTCTAATTCTTTCTACCGAGCTGCAAACGCCTCCTCTCTTCCGCTGACGCACTTTGCCTAACACGACACACATCGTCTTTGTCGAGGGCTCGAGCGTTGAGTGCTCTCGTGGCCATCCGGACTGGTCTGGACACACAGGGGCTCAACAACCGTTTGGACGGCACAGTCTGCAGTGGCTTTTGTTAGCGGCGGGCACGGTCAACAGACGGAGGAGTGTGCACCGCCGACTTCTGCGTCGGCCCCGATTCTCCCTAGTCCATCAGTGTTTTGATACGGATAATAAAATCGTATTTTCGGTCGCAATTGTACGACTGCGGAAATGACTTTGACGGGTATTTAAAACAATTTTTGCCTTTACGTTGCAGCTCAAATCATAATTCAATAAGCTACAAATAACCCACTACGACAAGGTGGCCAAGGAATTGCGAATGCCAGTCACCACGGCTAGAGTTAGGCTGTCCTACTGTGGCCCCTCGGTCGTAACTCTATAGCCATGGCGTGGGGTAGGATGAGAAGAAAAAAAAACTTCAAGCTGATATTCAAATGAATAAAAAAATACAAGGGGCCAATTTCGGAGGCTGTGCACTGCGTCAGGGATCGAAGAAAGTTCCTCACAGCGTATCTGTGTGCATATTTCGTGATTTTTGGAAGCATGTTTTGGATAATGCATTTTATTTTGGGGTTCCCATGAAAATCGTATCAAAGTGCATATGAATCATCACCAGCTAACTTCTCCTCTAAGTACCTTTACCATAAGCATAGTGCAGGCAAGCGGTGAAGTATGGGGGCAAAGAAAGAAACAGCTTTGGCATGAGGAACATACCAGGGTAAGACTAAGCTAAACCACTGAAACTGGGCAGTCGTGTTCAGTTTCTCACTCTGCAACGGCAAACAGCTCACGCAACACCATGGCCCCGGCCCATGTGGCCAACGAGTGCCCTATCGACGGCACCGGTGGGAGAGGCAATCGTCGTTGGTAACTGCCTCGGCTTGGACGAGTCTGGCTCGAGAAACTTGTAAGACGACGTCTCACGTGGTAGAGAAAACGCCGGTGTACCATCTCGCAAGTGACAGCGGTCGAGCGATGCACTCGTTCGAGGAAGTCGGGCCTCCTGCCTCTCTCGTGCCCGTAATCGGCTACGAGAAGGAACATTCGAGTGCATCCTGATCACAAAGAGAGTCTTCTAGAGCCAGCCATTGTCTACAGCATAGACTCCCATACTCCTAACAGCCTGACCGCTTATCAATGAGGATCAACGATTCCGTCGTAAAAATCCGGGCAGGTTCTTTTGCCTAGGTTTATTACCGCATCCAGAGAGCGAACCTCGTTAGAATGTGCGCCGCCCGGTGCGCGACGCTTAGCGAGCCGCGCCGGGGACTTGGCGAGGTTTTAGCCTCGCAACTTCGACCAGCCATGCCGGGGAACCTTTGGCTCGTTGGTCGCTGCAGCAGAAAAACCAGAGTCAGGGAAGTCCGGCACGACTCGAGGGACTCTCTCTCTGCGCAGGGACAGCAACGAGACGTCCGTCTAGGGCAGACTCCTGTACATAGCGCCGTCCCGGTGGAGAGAGAGCGTCAGCGCCTGCGCCTGGGCCGGCTGCGGTCCTTGGGGGGCCTGCGGCGGGGCTGCAGCTGCTGCTCCACCAGGTCTGCGAGCTGCCCCTGCTCGGCCAGCATCGACAGGAACGTGCAGATGAACTGGTCGTAGTTGTGCGTGCGCCGGCAGTCATCCACCTGCACACACACGCACTTCAGTGTCGCCACACTGGCCGCCAAGCAACGAAACAGCTTCACGCGCGAGAACAAGTTGCTTAGAAAGGACGCAAACGGCGCTACGGACAAGGACGAGTACAAGAGGTGAACGTCTTACCACAAAGGCTGATTCACACATTCCCTTCAGCGCTGAGGTAACAGAAAGTCACTGCTGTATCAGTGGCATTATTGTCAGTGCTGCGTTGTGTATGCAAATAAGAAGAGTTCCGTGCATCAGAGTGCCGATAGAGTGCAAAGCATTCACACATGCACCACTTAGTGCTGCGGTGCATGTGTGAGTAGGCCTCAAGTGTGAGCGCAACCAATTCTACGGGTCGACGGGGCCAATTGGAGGCGCCAAAAGTGCCACATTTGTCGTTTTTCTGCGCGTCTGCAGTCACCGGTTGAGCAAATCAAATACTGTGTGCACCGCGACCTTGCAATTTTACTTGCGTCTGTTTTTATACATCCTCATGCCTATGGCTGAGCTTTGATGAAACAAAGTTTAGCGACTGATGTCCACTTCTACTCGTTTTGGTCCGTAGCGCTATTTGAGCCTTTGCTACATTCCCCCAACTGGCCCAACAGTTCATTTTGAAGCAGTGTTGATGCAGGATGAAATATTTGAAATAAATGTTTGTCAACAGTATTATAATTTAGACAGCAAAGTGATTTCAAACATACACATATCAAACATGAATTATTTTTAAACTTCAAAAAGGACAGAAATGCAATGGTACTATTACGATAACTAGACAGTCTTTTTCTCAGTACCAAATTATACGACATTCAAACCAACCAGTCTGATGTAAGAAGCTGGTTTCTAAAGCAACTGCAAAAGTTATTTTTGAAAAGTTCCAAAGTTTCAGCTGTAGTTACTTGGGATGCACTCTAATAAAGCTAAAAGAGTTACAAATTTCTAAAAGGTGCAGTTCGAAATAAGCTTTTGTCAATATGAGAGTCGACGTGCCCAAGATTCATGGGAGAAGGATGTCATTTGTACAGTCCCATTCGTGCCTCAAATTAAATTATCTTTTGTCCTAATATTTGTTATACTGTAGTTGCTGTTCACCTACGGTTATGCCACAATATAAGCAAGTCCTACAGAATGGTCAAAGGCTTCTTTACATTGTGGTATTCATAATTCAGGAGGACAATCACCTTCCACGTTCCCAAAACCTTGCTAAAAATAATGTGTTTGTCATGAGCAGAAGTTACCAGATGTATGAAACATCCCCCGCACAGACCCGAAAGAAAGGAAAAAGAAGCGGAGATAGCATCGCAGCGTCTTTGCTATTATTCTTCTTAATCAAACTTTATTTTTTTGGGTGCCTTCTTTAATAGTGCCTCATATTTTGAGAAAAGAAAAAAAAAAAGGTCTTAGATTTGCATAAATATGTTAATCCTCAGTGAGGCTTGCCAGTATTTTGAAGGGGTACTCCGGCCGTTTTTTGAGCTACCTAAACAAATTGCATTTTCCGACTACCCGGACTTCAGTCGTCACGGTATGCTATTTATTTTCTCGAAATTCAAAATAGCAATTGAGAAAACGATAAATGAAGATGATGCCGAAACCAGCATTCAAATTTTCGCCTGCTCTTGAGTGGTGTGACGTCACATATGGTACCAACTTTCAGGTTGTGCATGTAGTTTTGAACAGAGTATGTCGAGTATTTTTTGCGTGCTTCTCAGTGAATCAGTTACCAAACATTCTTTTCCCACCATCAAACGTCTTGTAATCAGTTGGGAACATGGCTTACTGCCCACTTTGTACCATTTCTGTCGTCACACTTCAATGTTGCCAGTAGGGGCTCCCGGTTTGAGAAACGCAATGAAAACGAAGTTCGAAAATTCAATAACTTCGTGAATTTTTTTTCTTTTCACACAATACTTGGGGAACTCGTAGAGCCATGTCTATCGGTGTGTTGAGCCAGTATTGAGGCAAATCAGCGACCAAGAAAAAATCGCCAGAGTACCCCTTTAAGGTAAACAAAATGCACCTAGCTGTGGCTTACAGTGTAACACGGTCACACCGCAGCCTTAAAGTATGCTGCATCACGTCCAAGCTATGAGCAACATGATCAAGACTCAGGGTTCGCTTCACAATGGCAGGAACGACACTCGTTCATTCGAGCTTCGAAACATATCAAGGTTGCCAAAGGCACACACGGCGCTCGTCAACAGACGGCGTATGCGTGCGCACCGAACCTGCACGGCATGCACACTAGTGTTCACTTCAAAACATCCAAACTATACACTCGAGCACATTGCAAAGTATTCGGTAGTCCAAAGAGTTACTATTATGAATTTACTAAACGCATCCTCGCAACTGTCGTACTTAATGTGTACCAACAAAAATATTAGCACAAAGGCAAGAAAAGATGCCACTGGGGTGCATTGCAATACATGTTCTGGGAAAATAGATGCACGGTCATGAAATCCACAGCCCGCACTTGGACCATAGAGCAGTAGGATGCGTTTATCTTTACACCCAGGGCGATGCGTGAAAGAAATTGTCCCTGCAGAAAAACGTCACTCCAGTTCTTATGAGAGCTACACTTTGTCTCATCCTACGATGGACTAAAGGCCAAAGCTACGGGCCACCAGGTCCAATCACGATCCACGGTAAACTATGACATGCTCAACCATGATTAAAGATGAACGAATAATGCTCCTAATCAAAATGGGCTGCATCATTTCTATAGCTTTGACACTGCAAACAGCCTGTATGTCGTGGCTTTCTTTGCAATGTAAAATTGATGAGTCGCTCAGTAACGTTCATTGAAGCGGAATACCAGGCAATTTCTAAGTGGCTCGTGATTGGATTTGGTGGTTCGTAGCTTTTGCATTTAGTCCGTCGTAGGGTGAGACAAAGTATAGTAAACTGGGCAAGCTGCTAGACGGTAGATATAGTGAGGAAAACAGCGCAGAAGAACGAAGACACAGAAAAGTGATTGTGCCTTACGTGTTCCTTTTCCATTTCTTCATCCTCGCACACTGTTTTTCTCACCTTGCCCCTTTCTTATGTTCAAGCGCTAGTCTTTTAATACGGGAATTTAGTGAAATAAAAAGAATTATCGGCGTTTATGAAAAACGCAAGCACTAGTCTTTTGATACGGGAATTTAGTGAAATAAAAAGAATTATCGGCGTTTATGAAAAACAATCACTAATTTTTGGGACTCAGAAAGTTCATTAGCCACTTTGCTTACGCTTACGGCAAAAGTTAATTTCGCCGTAAAGGGGTCAGAACACAAGAATTAAACGGGTAGATTACTGTTGAAATGGAATGCTCATAAGTTACTTTGTATATATACACCGGGTTTCACTATTGCTAGAGCTCTAGTAATTGCAATAGTCAATTTACAAATGTTAATCAGTTTCATGAGGCAATGCTGGCAGAATTCTGAAGTCGCACTACCCAAGTTAGTTGCACCATGGTGTCCATAAACCATCTGATCATGATCGTGTGGTTGAACAGTCTCCCAACCTAGGCTTACCCTTGCCTAGATCACAAGCGCTGGGCATCAGAAGAATGCTTGCATAGCTCCCAATGCGAAAGCACTTCGAAATGTTATGCAAAGTCTGTTGTGCAGTGGGATGTCAGAATGTACAGGAGAATTGGCCACCAGTTTTGTTGTTCCGAAGAATCCCACGCGACGGAAGGCATGGTAACTTAACGTTGCACATGATGGCTGTGCCCCGTTAGACGCAACGCGTGCGGACCGTTTCACGACCGAGTACTCGTACGTACGAGATCATTGCGGACAACGGAGAGTTTGTCCGTGACAATATCCTCGTCGTCACCGGAGCTGGTCGTCAGCGGGTCGAAGTCAAAATGACCAGCTTCCAACACCTCGATAACAATCGCTCTCGTCGCTGCTGCGATCAATGTCGGATACGTCGGAACTAGAAGACTCCAAAGCGAGTAACGCCATAGATGCCATAGTCTCAAAGAAACATACTTGAAACGACGAGGAAGCTAAAGTGCAAGACGCCGAGAGACTCGAGTCTGAGAGTGCGTGCAAGGGAACACCGCACCGCCATGGATGGTGGGTAACGTATGTAACCGACCCAGCAAACATGGTGGCTTTCACAAATGGGGTGGATCTGAGGGTCCCAGAACGAAATCCATTTAGGCACGAAACTAACGTGCCATTTTCGAGACAAATATAGAAAAATAGAATAAGATTCAATGGGCCCTAGCACTTTAGTTATCTCATTTTATTTTGAATGCCGTAAGAGAGAGCTCAGTAGAAGCTACTAAAGCGGGGCAAGGTCCTCGTGCGTGTAGGATAGCAGCAGGCCTTTGCCATGGAAACGCGACCCAGTTAAAGAAAGGAAAGGTTATTCGAATTTCGTATGGCGACAGAATCGAGGTTGCACGGGCATTTTCCGCACACACGAAGGAGTTTCAAAGAAAGAAAAGTTGCACGGAAAACGTAGCCAAGTTACAATTGCGGTGATGGAAGTGGTTTGACCTTTTGCAGCAGTTCCTGTAGCAGGCAAGATACTGGTTTGCAGCAGCCACTGACGCTTTTGGAGTCGATGCCAACATCAGTTGGCACATCACTCAATATTTAAAAAGTCATTGCGTCGCTAAATAAGTCCATCCATGATAATGACCGCAGCAGGCTGGGAACCCCTACGGCTACGGTTTCCAGCCTCGGCCTGCTACGGGGAGAAGCCCACTCGGTCGTTTTCAAAAGGTAAGAACAATGCGCCACCACATCCGTCGGCAACATAACCCAACGATATCTCGGAACAACCGCTACGGCGATCAACAAGGTCATGCAAGCCGGTGCAATGTTTCCATTTTTTGGCGAGTCAGACAACAGTCGTTCTCCCTCTTCCCCCCTCACTCCCCTTCCACGTTATATGTGCTGGCTCGACTGAGGGAATGAACTTGTCAACCTACCAGCTTGTCTGTCTAGCGCGGTCTTCGGGGCACTGTGGCATTGCTACGCAATGGGTGCTCAACAAATTGCTGAAAAATTAATGATTGCGCACGCAACACTTCAGATGGAAAGAAGCCTCTACCCTCCCATTTTTACACCCGGTAGTTTATTTAGCCTGTAAATATAGTTTCTGTAAAATGACTAAAAACCATCATACGAGCGTATGTCTATCAATAAAAATGCCCCCCCGTTTTAAAAACCCACCCAACTCGATACTCTGACATTATAAACAGCAAAAACAACCACCCACAAGTATTAAGAAAACCTACACTTGCACTTTAAAATTAAGACAAAGTTTGCTCCCTTTTCGACCGATAGCTGCACAGAAACTACCTTGACTACCATGTTTATTCAAAAAAATATACCCACTATTTTTTTCTTCTCGTTGTTTTTTTTTTTTTTTTTTAGATTAGAGATCAATTTAAAGTCAAGACAAATAAAGGTAGACATGGAACAGTTTTGATCATAATTTCCAAGCCTATCGCAATAACCCAGGCACTCACCCATGTCAGCCACTGCTCCTAGCACTCGGGTGCAAAGTGGTAAAGTTCAACGTGCGCTCTGGTGAGCGGCAGCGCGGAAGCACGTGGCAGACATGACAATCGAGTGATCTCATCAGGAGTACAAGGTCCTGGTTCTGTCTCGTCAGAATAACCGCCATCCTGCTATTTTGCAATGTTTTCTCACGACTTT